CCCCTCTCTCTCTCTCTCCACCCTTTCTCCCAATCTCTAGTCCTCACTTCGTCCCGAATTCGGGACTTATTCTAGTCCCCGCTGTTTCAATTCCATGGGTATTGATGCAGTCCACCACCGCATCTTCCCTCACTTTCCCAAATTTCTCAGCTCTTCCATCGTTGTACCAGTACCTGCCCGCCTGTGAGATCTTCACCCACCCTCCCGTTCCTTCGACTTCCCACCACCTCGCACCACCTCTCACTACCATCTTTACCCAACTGTAGCCGCCGACGATCAACCGATCCTGCACGAAGTGATATCACCCTGGTTGGGCCAGCGGTACCTGTTCGGACCCTGAAGCCCTTACGCCCAGTGTTTATCCTCCTCCTGTGATCACCAACATCATCACTTACTTATTGCCCCGTGGCCGATGATCGCCGGCCATTCCCCTCCCATCCCCATACTTCCAATATTCTCCGCCGTCTCCGTTCGCCTCGTCACTGTGGGGAACACCCGGCCATTCTCCAGCATCATTTATCGCTAACTAAGTGATTCGCCGATGGGTCCTCCCCGTCACCACCCACTTTCTTCTTCTCCCTCTTCTTCTTCTTTTCTTCTAGCCTCTTCCTCTCCTCTTGTTTTGATCTTCTCCATCCTCGTACTTCTTCTCTCGCCCATTGTCGCTGCAGATACCTCAGCCGACTGGACGGTGAAGCCGTCCAATAACTCGGCAGACCTCTCCTGGATCGGAGACTATAGATACCTGTTGAACAGCTCTCAACTCGTGCCGTCCGCATCCGTGACCTTAGCTCCGCTGACCCAGGCCTTGGTCAATCTCACCGAGTCGGAACTTACAGTAAGCCGTCTCCGCCTCAAGAATGTTGAGATATACGACCATGTGCGTATTCCGGGGACTCCGATGGACTGACCCGACCTAGAATTTCCCCATCACGGGTAGCTTGGTGGACGTAGACGCCACCAACTCTCGGTCTTTAAGTAGCCAGGACATCGCTGTCATCAGCTGCGACGCTTCTGCATATTCCGGCAACTTAGATGCCAGTGACACTGTGAACTACGTCCTCAACGCGCAGCAGAAGGCAGCCGCGGTAATCCTGTACAGTGCATCTGCAACTCACTGCACGTATTCACCTTCCATCTCATCCGTCAGCCAGTACGACAACGTTTTTACTGTGTTGAACCCGGCCGGGTCCAAGCAGCTTTCTACACAGCTTACTTCCCTCGAGGACGGCTCATCTACCATCTATCCTAAGTCCACCAACATGTCGTTCATAGCTTCGAACACGAACAACCAGGTCGGGTCGACCGGCGACAGCCCGAACACTGGTATGTGTCTGAGTTCCTTGACTCATGCTCGTGACTGACACCTGTGAATAGCGATGATCATTTTGTACACGATCACCGGTATTATCACGGCGCTCTTTCTTGCCATTATCATTACCGGAGCAGTCCGCGCCCATCGCCACCCTGAGCGCTATGGGCCACGGCATACGGCGGGGCGACCGCGACAGAGTCGAGCAAGAGGCATAGCACGAGCCATGCTTGACACGATCCCGATCGTCAAATTCGGGGACAACAACGACCAAGGCGGCAAGACCGATGCAGCCAAGGGGGATGTCGAGATGGCTATGGGACCCGAGGCGCAGTCTCGTGAGACTCTAGAGGAGACAGGTGAGACGACGACCATGCCTGCGACTACGAACACAACGGATGAGGTCTCTGCTCCGGTATCGCCTCATTCTCAGGAGATGCCGGTGGCTGCGCCGCATTCCACGGACGAGCCACGCAGCACTGCCCCCGATGCGGGATCGACCACGGATTACCCGAACTTTGCCTGCCCAATCTGCACGGACGACTTCGTTAAGGGCCAAGATCTGCGCGTGCTTCCGTGCAACCATCAATTCCACCCGGAGTGTATTGATCCCTGGTTGGTGAACGTGTCGGGCACCTGCCCGCTTTGGTATGTTCTCTGAACACCTCGAACATGACTGTGCGACCGAACTAACGAATGCTTTAGTCGTATCGATCTCAACCCCGCTCAGCCCGACGGTGAAGAAGGGCCAGACACGGGTGATAGCCACGCGGAAACAGCTCCCGAGGCGGCCAGTTCCACGCCGGCAGCGCCCGAGGGCAACAGCCACCAGCACCGCCACCGTCGACTGAGCAGTTATCTCCACAACACGCTGAACGCCCGCCGTATGCGCGATGCCAGTGTCGAGGAGCGTCTCGCAGCGCTGCGTAGCGTCCGGGAAGAGGCGACTCGCCAGGACTCGTCCTCTGACCCAACCGAAGAGAGTGATGAGCACCGCCGCCGAGGAAGCGGTCTGACGCGACGGCTGCGCGAGCGTTTCCGCGTGCGCACTCGGGCGCATGAGACTGAGCCGACACCAGAAGAACCGGTCACACCCGCTTCTGCCACTAGCTAACGATCTACATACACGATTTTCTCGGTCTGTACATGTTACATGTTTTTCTTTTTTCATTCGAGCACCGCGCGCAGACGAAGCATTTTTTTTGTTTTCCAATTTCACTTTCATTTACGCCATTCATGTGATGCTATACTGTGAATTCAGTCACAGATAGATGCACAGGACATTGGCGACGAACGATGATAACGACAACTGACAACGCCAAAGATAATGACGATCATGGGATGCTGTTACATAGCCCGGCCTGGCTGCTACCGGCTTTCTCTCTATTCTTCATCTTCTGCAAATACTTGTTCTCTTATGCGTTACCATGCTTGGATGGTTGTTACATGGTCAAGGGCAATAAACGGCGTTTGAGAAGGGCTTCACCTGTTTGGGTTATTGGGATTATTGATTCTGGGCTGTACATAGGACTATACTCCTTTATCGAAGATGGGAGATTGAATCTCACTGTGGACGATGTCGTGGAGGATGATACGTAGGTGTGGATCATCGTATCAGGTAGAGACTGCCTCAGTATAAGTACTAGGTACTCATAGCAACGAACAATAGCGTATATACGGATTCCTTGATGCTAATGGCTAGAAGAGGAAACTCGATGCGGAGGCGGCCTCACCCGACACTACTTCTTTGAGTACTTTGTGGAGGACGTTAATCAAAGCGAGTCAGTTTCCTCCCCTCATACACAAACCACCCCCTCACTTGATTAACCCCCCCCCCCCCCCCCCCCCCCCCCCCCCCCCCTCCCCCTCCAAAAGTCTTCAGCACCTGTTCCCAAGTTTACCCCAAAGCCCCGAGGGGATAATATCGTTAAGTCTCGGATATTTGGAGAAAAATTGCCCCTGACCGGGCCCCGCATCCTCCCCCCCTAAGTTCCGTCCTCCAGATCCCGGGCCCGTCCGTCCAACCTTGCAAGTTGCACCCCATGGCACCGTGATCCTTCCAAGTATCGAGCTTAAGCCACCCGCCCCTAATCCCGGAGAATGGAAAAAAGGAAATCGAAAAAAGAATTACCTAACCTAACCTTGAACTTTGGTTGCTGTCAAGGAGACAAAAAAAAAAACGTGAGGGGGAGGAGGAGGAATGATGCCCGCAAATTACGTACACAACCGTTTTTCCAACGAGAGCTGCTTTTCGGATTCCGGGATCCGGCGAGGCTAGGTTTTTGAACCCCATGGGGTAGAGAGGGGAAATAAACAACTTCTCAGATTTTGCTACTTTCTTCTTCGAAGGTTAGTGGTGGGTTTTGCTTCTTGTTACTCGTTCTTGTAAGTATTTTACTATTATCTGTGAATTCAAGAATTGAAAAACTGAATGATTTGGGCAATTAGGTTCTTTTTATCGTGTGTATAAACAATACAAGTGTTTTGGCTGGGTTGGACTCCCCAGCAAGGGAATTCTATGTTGGGTCGAGCTTGGGTTGAGAACGGTACTGTTCTGAGTGGTAAGGATACAAACAGGGAGGTGTTTCCTTAGATTGAACTTTGGAAGGTCCCTTAAGCTGAGTTGAGCGAGGCTTGCAATGGGACTGAACAAATTGTTCGGGCTTCAAGTTGAGCTGCGGGCGATCTTGAGCTCTGAGTCTCGAGACAATATATCTTGATTTTATCTTATTTATTGTAGAGGCTGGTCGTGTAATGTCGTCAATCTTTTTCTCGAGGTTGATGCTGATGACCTAATTTTGTGACTTCAATTCACCCTCCCATTAAATCTTCTCATTCTTCAATCGGCGATCGAGCTTAGTATAAAAATAAACCACTACGTGCCCCCCCTTCTCCAACGGGGCGAAGAGAAAAATCACGCAGGGCTAGAACAACCTTCCCGTAAGTGGGGTAAAAAGAGGATGACACATCGGGGTTTCGAGGCCGTGGTGATTGGGCGGGGCACCACTGCGTGTGTCGGTTGGAGTCGGCCACGCTGGTGGCTGTTCTCTTTGCCCCCAGTCTTGGTCCGGATGAATGATTGACAGTCAGGGGAATGAGACTTGAGGGAAGAAGATTTACTGAAGGAAAGAATGCAGTGGGCAATTTCAATGGGATATAGGCAGCAAGAATGTTGCGGCTGGGGTGGATGAAAGCGGAGGTTTCAGGTTCACCTGCAGCGATCAGTTCTTGTTGATGGTTGTCATATGATTGAGGGGTGCTGAAGAGCCACCACAGGGGGCAATTGGAATGAACATGATTCGGGTTGTGTTTGCTCCGGTTGGACTTGTAACAGAAGGACTGAGTACCACAGAGTACTGGAATCGGAATTGAATTTGTAGACCAAGTAACATGGAAGATCAATGACAGTCAGTCGGAAGGCAAGATAACAAACACATGTGCATGTCGTCATCTATCCTCGGCTGAGCCTCTCCCCTTCACCATCCTATCCCATGCTCTCCGACAGCTTTGATGTTTAAATATCGGCGACTGGCCGGTCCCCCCACCCCTGCTCTGTGTCCAGCTTACTCCGATTGAAGTAATTATTCGTGTGTTTGTTTATGGGCAAATCATCCACATCGGGATTTATCTGTTTCGGTCCAGTCGAATTGCTTGCCGGTGAACGCAAGCAGCAACCAACCAGTCAGGAAACTTAAGGTGGTGTGACCGGTTTGGCCATTCTCTAACATACTTCAAAGCTCTCATGGCACCCTCTTCTTCTTCCTCTCCATCCACTTCTTCCTCCTCCATCATCCCCACCTCCACTTCCTCTTTCCCACCCCCGTCAGCTTCCTCCATCCTTTCCACTGCTACCTCCCGTCTCGCCTCCCTATCTTCACACATCATGGGCTCCTCAAGCCCTAACGTCTTCTCTACGGCCAACGTGCCCGCCGCCCCGGAGGATCCTCTCTTCGGTCTCGCTCAGGCCTTCCGCCAAGATCCCTCCGACAAGAAGGTCGATCTCGTTATCGGCGCCTATCGCGATAACAACGCCAAACCGTGGATTTTGCCCGTTGTGAAGAAGGTAAGGTTTTTTTTTTCCCTTCTGGGAGCTTGATCACGGCTAACGAAATCCAGGCCGACGAGCTTGTTCGCAACGACACCAACCTCAACCATGAATACCTCCCCATCAAGGGATTGGCCGATTACACCAGCGCGGCGCAGAAGCTCATGATCGGCGCCGACAGCCCCGCCATCCGCGAGAACCGAGTTTGTCTACCCCTTGGGAGTACACGGTACAACCAGCATCCCGTACTAATGATAATCAACCCATCAGGTCTGCACATTCCAAACCATCTCCGGCACAGGCGCCGTCCACCTGGGCGCGCTCTTCCTCGCCAAGTTCCATCCCGCGAAGCCCTCCATCTACCTCTCCAACCCTACCTGGGCCAACCACCACCAGATCTTCACGAATGTCGGCCTCTCCCTGGCCAACTACCCCTACTTCTCCGCCAAGACCAAGGGCCTGGACTTCGACGGCATGCTGGGCGCGCTGCGATCCGCGCCCGCCGGCTCCGTCATCCTCCTGCACGCCTGCGCGCACAACCCCACGGGCGTCGACCTCACCCAGGACCAGTGGAAGGAGGTCGCCGTCGTGATGCGCGACCGCCACCACTTCCCCTTCTTCGACTGCGCCTACCAGGGCTTCGCCTCGGGCGACCTCCGCCGCGACGCCTGGGCGGTGAGCTACTTCATCGAGCAAGGGTTCGAGCTGTGCATCGCGCAGTCCTTCGCCAAGAACTTTGGCCTGTACGGCCAGCGCACGGGGGCCTTCCACTTCGTGTCCGCGCCTGGCGCCGAGGCCGCGGCCAACAACAGCAACATCGCCTCCCAGCTGGCCATCCTCCAGCGGTCGGAGATCTCCAACCCCCCGGCGTACGGCGCGCGCATCGCGAGCCGGGTGCTGAACGACGAGACGCTGTTCGCCGAGTGGGAGGAGGACCTGCGGACGATGAGCGGGCGCATCGCGGAGATGCGCAAGGGACTGCGGGAGAGGCTCGAGGCCAAGGGCACGCCAGGCTCGTGGCAGCACATCACGGATCAGATTGGCATGTTCAGCTTCACGGGGTTGTCGGAGAGCCAAGTGAAGATCCTGCGCGAGAAGTGGCATGTTTACATGGTAAGTTTTTCGGGTCAGTTTCGGTGGCTACATACTAACAACGGGACAGACGAAGAACGGCCGCATCTCGATGGCGGGACTGAACACGAATAATCTGGATTACTTTGCCGAGGCGGTGGATAGCGTGGTGCGGGAGACGTCATAAGCGGGTTGTCTTTTTCGTTGAATCATAAACAAAGCATACAGACCATACACACATAAACCATTGAGGGGTTATCATAATGCCAATGCGCAAAGAAGCAAAAGATTAGAATGTGTTGCTGGGATTTACAGTGTACAGTGTACAGTTTGCCTTCCACCCTTGACTTGACGGTAAGTCTAGAAGACCAGATCCCACACCACCAACCACGTACACAGTCCGACGGTGCCCCAAAACACCGCCTGCGCGGTACTCCGCCGCTCGCTCGCGCGCTTGAGCTCCTTGTTTCCTTGCCCGATGTTGGAATGCGTATTGCTCGCGTCCGTAACCAGTTGGCTGATGTATTCCTCCTGCGTGGACAGATGGGCCACGAGGGTCTGTTGGAGGGAGGAGATCTCCAGGAGAGATTTCTCGGCGGTTCTACGACACACACCCACAATCACACACATTAGCTCAGCCTTCCACTCGACAGAACCCACCCCCGAGAAGCTCCGCAAGGGGAACGAAAGGGGAAGGCAACATACCGGACCTTACTCAACGTATCCTCATAATACTTGACCATGGCATCATTCTCCTCCGCAAAGAGCTGCAACTGCTCCGGCGAGAGCTGCGCCTCGATGGCGTGGAGTTCGGTCTCTTCTAACCGCTGGCCCTGCGTTTCCCCGGGCGGCAGCATCCTATCGGCCGCACCTGCACCTTGTCCCGACCCTTGACTCTGCTGCTCTCCCCGCACCCCCTGCTCTCTGGCTAGTTGTTGTAACTGCTGCTGCTGCTGCGACAGATAAAGCACACTCCTCTCCCGTTCCCTAACCCTCTCCAATCTCTTCTCCACCATCCCACGCTGCACCTCCACCACCGCCTCCAACTTCCGCTGCAGGAACCACAGCACCGCCGCGCGGAGCTGCTTCGTGTTCTCCTCGGCCGCCTCCTCGGCCCGTTGCTCCGGGGTCACCGCGCGGGTTTGCAGCTCATCACCGCCAGCCGCCCACCGGCCCAGAATCCCCATGCGACTCCCGTATTTTTTCCGGAGGAGCTGCGCCCGCGTCTCGTGGCGCAGGGTCTCGGCGGAGGCGAGCGTGGAGATGGAGGTGGAGAGTTGGCGGAGGAGGTGGGAGGTTGAGGTGTCGATTTCGGTGCGGTCGGTTTCGGTGAGGTCTTTCGCGGGGTGGGTGGGGAGGGGGACGGTGGGTGAGGCGGTCGAGGGGCTGGTGGGTTTGGGTTTGTTGGTGTTGTGGTTGTGGTTGGTGATGGAGAGGTAGGATGGGCGGATGCGGTGGAGGTAGTGGAGGAGGGAGGTTATGTGGTTGTTCTTTTTGGAGGGGGTTAGTGGCTGTGTTTGTTGCGGACTGGGTTCGAGGGGGGATTTGGGGTAAAGTGAGGGCAAGACGTACGATCCGGTAGGCTTCTTTGAGGAACTCGTCCGCCGTCTCGGTGGAGAGGTGATGATGCCTGTTCGAGAGGCGCGGGGCATTGGGTTTGCTTTTTAGGAGCTCGTGCAGAGTTGGGGTTAGGTCTGTCATTTTGGAGGGTGGTGGAGCATGAGAACGGGAACGGTATGGAGATGGGTGGTGGCGGACTAAACAGAGGGATGGTGGTGGTGGTGATGATGATGTTGACAGCTTGATGGAGGGCGGTGGAACTGGCCGAGGCGGAGGAAAGGGTCCTGTCCCGTGATTGTGTGGATACATTAGTAATGCATTATGCATAGCTTGATGCATAGTGATGCCTCAGGCGGGCAGTGTACGGAGTATTGTTCAAGTTACTTCTCACCTCCGTATAATAGGTCTAGGTCTAGCTCTATGTTGGTGATATGCGAAGCGTCTATCGGCCACAATACTGTTATCTGTCTTCAATGTGATATCTTTCTACCGCCATCTATACTTAGGGAGCATAGGACAAAGCATGGACGATCGAGATGGATGACTTGATGGAAAGGTAACAACCCAGTAGCAAAATGGGTCTGCTATATCTCACTGTCGGAGATATCATTCTCGTTAATTCCATCTCAGAATCCACCATAGAATAAAGAGTCAGCAAGTCAACCAAGAATAGCCCGACAGAATCATTGTCTGAGATCGAACCGCAAAATAAATCCCTCTAAACCTAGACCATCTTGGAAGACAAGTACGCCCCAGCCGATCTATAAAATGCATCTCAATCACCCAGCAACGCTGTACCGTTCCCAGTCTCAACCCCCTACCCATCTGACCAGATTCAGGTTATACAAACACTAAGAAAAAAACCGGCGAGGTCCAACATCTGTACAAAATGGATTACAGCGGACTGGTAGTCTCTGGCTTCCAGGACCAAAAGATCCGATACACCCTCTTCGGAGCGCCGGTCCTCGAGCTCTACAACATGGAAGTTGACTATCCCGACTTCAGCGGCTATATCATCCCCGACAAGCAAATCGAGCGGGCCTGCCAAGCCCTCGAAGATAACGGACTCGAACGCTGCACACATGGCGTCGACTGCCCAACCATGACGGGCCACGAGCAACCGCCCACAGACATAGCTCACTTCCATTACCCCGGGGAGGTCAAGCGAATTGTGGTGAGTGGCGGCCGCGAATCCCGCACCGCAGGTGATTCCACTGACTCGGCATCAGAATCCTCCGCTTCGAGCGACGACGCCTACCAGCCGATGCTGACCGTGCGGATCTACCGCAAGAGCGTGTACATGTGGCAGGCGCGCGACCCGCCGCTGCGCCGGCCCCGCGCCGTGCACGTGGACTACGTGCTGAGCGGCGAGGGCGAGAACCGGCTGCAGGACACCGGGCGCAACGACGTGATCCTGCCCAGCTTCGCCTGCTGGACGGAGACCCTCTTCCTCAACCTCTGCCGCGACCTGATCGGGGGCAGCGTGCTGCAGGAGCTCTGGCAGCGCGAGCTCGAGAAGGTGGCCGTCTCCATGCAGGATAACAACTACCTGGACATCGAGCCGCCGTTCGGCGACCTCCTCTGCAGCATCAAGGAGAACCTCCGCCTGCAACGTGACCCGCTCTCGGTCGAGGCCCGATGTAAGCTTCGGAGGGTCTACGACGAGCTTCGGCGGACCGGGGAGATGCCGAAGACGCAGGGAGCCCTGTACTCGGACCTGGGCCTGGAGCCGCCGCAGCTGGAAGATGGCAGCGAGGACGGCGACGGCGACAGGACTCCTACTGCCCGGCCGTCCTATGGTTCGGATGAAGGATCTGGGGAAACGCTGGAGACTGAAAGTCAATCCAGCGATGGCAGTGAGATCGAGACGCCTACCGGGTCATCAGACAGCGGAGGCGGGTCCAACGAAGGCAGTTCTGAGGCCAGCTCTAGTGAGGCCGTTTCTAGCAACGCCGGTTCTAGCAAGGCTGGTTCTAGCAACGCCGGTTCTAACAAGGCTGGCTCTACCGAGGGCGGCTCAAGTCAATCCACCAGCGCTGAGAATGATTGACTTGGTGAGTCTGCTTTCAGTGGCTTCTGCGCCCCAGGCACATTCCTCGTGGACGACCTTTTTCCCGAGGTTATGTTTTCCTAGATCGTTTGTATTGTCAATAATTGACTATTTATGTAACATAAAATTTTCCTGTATTAGCAATTATATGTAACCAAGCCCAAGAATAGCCGCTCTACTCAAGCCGGCCTCTGTATCAGTAGGCGGAAGCTACCCATGTAATGCAAAGATAGCCTCTGTGGAGATCAAGGTGCACCTACCACCGTGGGTGAGAGGATGATTGCCAGAGTCAGTCATAGGCTCCAACTTCACCCAAAGCTCGCAATCACGACTATGCAACCGCGACATGATGGATGGAAGGAATGTAGGCTACTACTAATCATCCTCGAAGGATGTTTGAATGCGGGGCGGTGGTTGTAGGATCCTGAAGGGAGAACGATGACCCACCGTTCACCTTAGCCCGACCCCACTACTGCACAGACAAGAACCAGCGGGACTCACAACTAGGTTCGGCAATTGCTACGTCGCCTAGTCCCTGAAATGTGTACTTTTTTAAAGACAGATGCCATGGCCACCGGCGACCTGACTGGGGGAAAGAAGATTAGACTGCATGTCTTTTGCCCAATGTCGAGGAAAAGAAGTGCCCATACATCAATTTTGTACTTTCGAAGTATATAATGAATGCATAAATAAATATTCCCAACTATATGACTCAAACACATCCAATAAAGCCAGTGCGCGTTTGACTGGCAGACTCACAAACATTTCCTCAATTTAGAAAGTACAAGACCCAAAAAATCAAATCACAAAAGAAACAATTCATTGCCTAGTAGACTCGAGCACACTTCACATAGTCCAACCACCACCTATACACCCAGGCACCTCATGAAATTCCAGCACACCCACAGCCCCTCACAGCCCCAAAATCAACCCTCAAAACTCAGAAAATTCCTCTCGACCCTCGCCTCCGGCCCCGTAAGGATCATCTCCCACCACGACCGGCAGCTCGGGCAGGTCGACACCAGACTCACCCGCAGGGCGCGGTCCATCCACCGCCGGAAGCACTCGGTGTGGAAGTCCACGCTGCACCCGGTGCAGTGCCACTTCAGCGGGCTACCGGGCGCCGGGGGCTCGTGGCAGAGCCCGCAGAAGCCGTCGACCGCCTGGGCGTGGGTGTTGCACCGGACCATGCAGGTGAGGGGGGTGGGATGCGTTGTATAGGACATTTTTAACAGGGTTTGGTGCTTTGGGGTGGTGAAGCTCTCTCTATAGGGTTGAAAGCTGGGGGGGGGGGGGACTAGGGGGGTAAACGGTTGGTGACTTTAGGTGCTTAGTCTACAAGATCGTTGGGGGACTTGTCTGCTGGGTTCTAGTGTGCAGGTTAATTAGGTACGGGAGGTGGAGACGAGGAAGGGTTTTATAGGTAGACTCGTTCTCTTTTGGCACAATGTAAGCCATATGAACTTGGACCTTGCACGTATAAAGAGAGTTAATGTGGGGTTTGAGGGGCTTACAATAGAACAAAGGTAAACGGGAATAGCATTCTTTGTTTGACGGCGGGACTCGTTGCTCAACGGACCTTACAAGGCGTTGGTTGGTGAAGCATCGGCCACGTTCTTTGACAATCGTATCTTTGTGAGGTTGGCACTGAGTTTTCAGCTGAGGCGAGATGTTTCTTCAGCCTGAAAATTCTTGTTGTGTGAGAGGAGTATATTGGCTCTGGATATTGTCGAAGACATAATTCTTATCGTCGGCCTCTACATCTACTACACTTCCTGCTTCATGTCTTTCCATCACTATTGACTGAAGAGCATCCAGAGATATTTGGTAAAAGGAACGATGAAGCAAAGGTCGGGCGCATGTACTTGCAGCAAGATATAGCTTCTCAGTGGAATCCTAGCTCCGCCGAGTCAAGACTGCGTCAACATTGACACTCAAGGATGCCATGCCAATAATAGACACGTAATATAAATAGGGTACTATACACTAAATACAAGTAAATCACCACCCAATCATGCCCAAATCACAGACTACAAACTCCCATATATGCCCCCCGCTATAGAACATGACACAAAAGAAAAACCAAACGAAAGCCACTACCCATCCTGCCTAAAGTCCTTCTGCACGCGGATCCCATGCAACGGCAACAGATCGTCTTCCCCGGACGCCACGCTCGTCCGCCCGCGGATCTTCGTGACCGTCTGGCCGCGATCATGCTTCGGCCGCAGCGACACCTCCATCTTCAGCGGGACGCTGTCGATCTCGGATAGCTCGCCCTCGTCGGGGAGGTGGTAGAACGAATGGCGGACGACGGGGTGGGAGGACGTCGCAGCCTCCCCTCCGCCACCATTGGTTGACAACGGGATATCCCCGGCGGCGAAGCGACTGCCCAGCTGAGTGGCCTCGGACTTGGAGGAGAGGGGGTTGGCGGAGTGGCCGGTGCTCCGGAAGATGGCGGGCATGACGGCTTGGATGCCCATCGTGCGGGCGGCGAGTTGCAGCGCGGGCCGGATGGTCGGCAGGCAGGCGGAGACGATGCCGGCCGACATCTCGATCGCGGTCCAGCCGACGGTCGGGGCCAGGGTGTAGGAGCTGTCGGCGGCGGTGTAGGAGAAGAGGACGCTGAAGCGGTAGGCCGAGGCGAAAACCACGCTGTTTTTGGTTTTTGGTTGTCAGTTGGTGGTGGATTCGACGAATTGAATGTTGACAGTGATGCTGTGGAGTGACTTACAAGAACCCGAGGCCAAATGCTATGGTCAAGGCCACCTTCTCGGACAGGCGGAGCTGCAGCTTCCAGACTTGGGGTAGTGGCAGGAAGAGGATCACCAGGTCGGTGGCGATGGTTGAGGTGGCATTGGCGATCCAGGTGCCGACCTGGGAGATGCAGTGGCCGGGGAGACTCGGATACCAGAGTTTCTGCACGGGGACGCAGATGAAGATGAACAAGAAGGTGATGCAGATGACCCAGCAGATCACAAAGGTGCCGATTATATAGGCCCAGCGTTTGAAGTAGGCAAAGCGGAAGATGCGGTAGTACATCAGCAGAATGCTGAGTTTGGTCCAGACCAGGTTGAAGACGTAGAGGATCTCGGCCACGACCAGAAATTTGGCGATCAGGATGACCTGTCCGGTGGGTAGTTGGTCGGCGTGCACGCCCATGCCTTCGTGGATCATGGCATAGATGAAGCCCACCACGACGAAGTTCCACCCCTAGATGGTGGTGCGGTGTGTCAGCGTGGTTCGATGTGATCTAAGTACACTGCAGAGTAAATATACCATGGAAAAGATAATCATCCAGTCATCCCACCAGAGTTTCTGCTTACGTTCCAGTCGAGAAACGATACGCAGCACAACACACAGAAAGGCAAGCACCGTCACTGAGGTGGTGGTGGCGGTCGCCCACCGCTGTTCGTCCATCGCCATGACCACTTACGCCTGGGAAGAAAATGGCTGGCCGGGGAAAGCGAGGACCTCGAAGAAACCTCAGGTGGGCAGGCGATAAGTATTAATATGGGAGCCGTGCATGGACAAAACCCGTGGTGGGAGACCCACTGCCCGACGCTGCCGACAAACGCTACATTTGGGGATGGGCTCAGGCGAAATTTACTTGGGGGGGGAATCTACGCCGCGTGGTCAACAAGGAACTAGTGTAGCCTCGAACCGAACTATGGGGAGGAAGGAAAAAGCACGGAGAAATCAACAAAACGAACTGCTTCGACTGATGGAGGCATGGAGCTGTCGTTCGCCGCCTGTCAGTGTCAAAAATTTACATGTTCAGGTTCCACTGTCCCAATTAGGGCTGGGACCAGACAGGCCGGCGGCCAAGGCTTGTTAACATTTTATTCAACCTTCGGCCAAGGAGGCGCCGGCTCCAAGTAGTCGAAGCCACTAGAAAGACCCTAACACGAGGTCGCCCCATCCGATGTGTCAATCCTTTAGCAAATTCGGGTTGTTCTACCCACTTGGCACACGTTGGCATGCAGTTCGTTCCTGAACTGTTCCAACTTTCAACCCTCTCCTGACACTAACTCCGTGCTACTCTTCGTAATCTATCTGCGCCCCTACAGTAGTAGCCTAAGATCCATTTTTGACTTCTCGCTTTCCCTGCAGCCCGCTCAGGCACCGTAGCGAGTGACCATCTCACGGATCGCCGCGTTAACCTCCCGCGGATGCGTGGCATTCAGGTAATGGGCCCCTCCCTCCACCATCTGCAATTTAGCCTCCTTACTAGCGGAGAACCGCTGGATCTGTTCTGCGGGGACCGTGGTCTTGAAGGGGAAATCCTCCGTCCCCTGATCCGTACGAATTATAGCACATTAGCCATCTTGACGCTTCTCCCCAACGAAAATTTATCAGATCCGGGAGGGGGGGATCTTCTCACTTGTAGCCAATACACGGGGCACCGCACATCCTTCAGCCGCAGAAGCAGCCCGTCCCGCGTCAACAGGCACATCAAGGCCATGCGCACCTTCTTACGTCCCTCATTCCCTGTATAGACCTGCTTCAGCGTCTGCACCCAGAAGTCGGTCGTCTCGGGCGTTGCCGAGGCCCCGAAGCCGATTCCCGCGACCATCCCGCACCACACATCGTCGACCACAAAATCCGGGGTGGGAGTCTCGCTCGTCCATTTCTCCAGGAATGGGGTCAGCAGGGTGACGGGGTCCCAGCAATCCTTGCTGCGGGAGTCGGCCGATTCGTAGTCCATCGAAGTACCTAAGGGTAGGATGCCAAGGATCTATCAATAGAAAAAAAAAGCAAAGAAAGCACGTGAGGTTAGTCAATACGATCGTTAATTCCGCGCGCGCCCTTCCCCCCCTTCTAGGGGACAATCAGAATGTGAAATAACAAACCCTATCTGGTGCCAACAGGGCCATGCGTGCTACAACCCATCCTCCCTGGCTGGTTCCCAGGGCAAAGGCCCTCTGGATGCCCAATTTTTCCATCACTTGCAGGGCCATGATGGCCGAGTCCCAGTAGGTGAAGTGTTCGGCGGCGGGCGCCAGACAGCGGGTGGCGCCATGGCCAAGCGGCTCGATGGCCAGCAGGTTGGTGGTGCTGGTCAACTCGGCATCTTCGAACTGGGGGCGGTAGAGCGACACCGTCATGCACATCGAGTTGATGAGCACGCAGGTCGGCTTGGAAGGGTCGTAGGCGTTGTTGTTGGACAGGGCATAGCCGACTTCGATGCCACCCATGTGGGGGACCGTGATGGTTTGTTGAGCGGCCATGATTATTAGAAGGATGTTATTGATGGAATGATGCAATCCGTGGAAGGGTGTAGATAAGAATGGGAAAGGTAGGAAAGAATGATGGCAGGAGATTTTGAAAAAGAGTTAATGCGGAGGATTCTTGGTTAATTAATGTCTCCGCCTTGTGTAACCACTTCTTAATTATCCGATATATGAGTTTCTCTTCCCTTGTCTCTGTCTCTCTCAACAAGAATTGCTTGCACACCCCCTTTTGATCCACAACCACGCCAGACAGGTTGCGAATCTGCGACACCAGACGTGGGCGACCAACCATTCTCACAAGCAGAGACAAAAACTAAAATCAATGCGTTGGGAGTGTGTGCGGGCAAAAGGAGAACGAGGGAGGACTGGATGGGGCACCTACGCGGTGATGACAGCCCTGACAAGAACGGGGACCGTCCGACACGGAGTTGCTTCCCCAATCCGGGCGGCTGGCTCCACCACCACTGGGCAGGGCAACGGGTTCCTGACTCGACCAACGCCGAAACTTTCCTCTCATATCGTGGCATCTCCTCGGATTTTTGCTTCTGGTGCAGTTCACAAAATCCGCGGCAACACACGCGTACCGAAACTATTGTTTTGACTTTCTTCGAGGGCATTCGGACGTCTGCCGAGTAGCACAATTTCTGTTGTGGAAGAGGCGTGGGATGGAACGAATCCGAGGACGGCACGAGCTACTGCCGTCCTGATTGGTCGGAACCACGAATAACGTTCTGACCGCGGTTTGGATCCCCTCGTAAGAGGTTTAGAGTTGATCCTTCAGAATCAGCCGGTAATAGTCACAGAGCAATCAATGATTCACCAAGGGTCGGTTATTGTCTCTTTCCGAAAAGGGAAGATGGAGAGAGGCCAAGTCCAACCTCATGACGTGGGAGGGAAGACCGAACCCAAGAGGGAAAGATGGGCATGACCAGACGGGAGCAAAACATGGATCAGCCCCTGTCAGTGTCGGTGAATTAAGCTTATTAAAATTGATTAAAAATCCATGCGACCTCCTGGTCTCCATCGACCACATGGCAAGCAGAAAAGGGTTCCAGGCTTACTGCAACAATGGGACGTGATAAGTATCCTATTACTCCTTCGAAGAGTAATGCAGTGAAAGGCGTCATAATCATCCTTATTCTTGTTTTTCTGACATTAATGGCCGACTTTTGCCCCCGTAGCTCCGAAATTTGCCCGGGTGTCCGGCACGAGAACCAATTCACTGTTGCCGAGGCATTTCAGATTCACAGAGACTCTTACAACACTCCATAATTCCAGATCTCTACACAGCAAGTAAATACAGCTGACATATATCTCCAAGGGCCGAACACCACAAAACAACTATATTGCACGACATGGCATCCTAGAAGCCCGCCTCGGCGCCAGAAGTGGCTACACTCCCACTTACTCAACACGGACAATGCTCGGGAGTTATGCACTGTATGTACAGGATTGCACATGTGGGAGCCATCTGGTTTGCGCTGGTCTGATTGATATGGCGCAACACCCGCCAGTCATACGGCGTCGAACCCACTTCTTCCTTTCCAGAATGGTTTAGCGCTCTCCCTTGCCTTCCGGCTCCGATAAATGATTCCTTCATCTCTCTTCCTGCATACATACGCATTCCCGACTATCAGTAGGGCTAACGAAGAGCTAACTGTCAAAATCAGGGGTAGCGGGAACTTCGTGGCTCACGAGGCATCGTGCTCCTACGAGCTACTCTAATCCGCTCTCTTCGGTGGTTCCACCCCCGTATGGCCTGTGGGCTCTTTTATGCAGAGCATTGGTCTTAGGAAGTTCTTGAGACTTGGGAAAACCAAAACCATAGGGGGTTTGCGTTGTTGCAACCAGCAACGGAGCATGACGTCTCTCTCTCAGAACAGCCATACAGTTTCGCCGTCCGGTTGAGGTTTAAACTCTACCAAGAGAACCCGTGGTGATCACATATATGCGCTGGTAATATTATGCTAAACATCTGGACTCCATGAAGTAAGGATATCCCTCGAATGAACATAACCGGTCTGCGGGTATCTGGTGCACGAGTCAACGAACCCCATATGCTGCGTGCGCATTATCGATCGAATAACATCAACGCATGAGCGACGCCATTTCTCGCTAGAATGGTATTCGCATAAGCGCAGAATGGCATGTCAATTTTGTATCAAAATCGAGATCTAGGAAGAAAAAAAAAGGCACGATGAGAAACGGCAGAGAGACATTTATACACTATCCAGGAACTATAGACTTTCAAACACTGCATTCCACTGTATCAGGCGCTGTGACGGTTCGCGCGCCAGACACTCTTTCCACCAAACGCCCCTAGTCTGAGAGGCCTAGTCTGATGAATGCCTCGAGTCTTCATCTAATAGTCAGCAATACGCGACATCCATGGCTCTGCTCATAGCCCTCAACTATCCAAGCCATCTTACAGTGCACAGCTTTATTCAGTCCTCAACCATATCTCGCAAGTTAACAGCCTTCCGAACAGCCAATCTGCACTTCACGGTCTTATACATTGAAACAGACCCATTGCTCCAACAATAAAAACGTCATCGTCATCATCGTTACCATCTTCATCTTCATCTTCACCCACTCTGCTCTCCAACATTGAACACCAACTTACACCCGAACCATCTTCTCCTACCGCAAAGCATGCTACCCCGGAATCACCCCGGGCAAACACCTGTCCCCCAACCACACAGGATGCCGGACAATGGTTCCCTCAGCCAACAGCCGCGTTGCCCTCTCTAGCCACGCCTGCGCGAAATCTCTGAATCGCCATGGTGTCAACCGCAGTTGCGCTGCCATAGATGAGGATGTGTTGTGGTGGTGAGGTTAGTTTGTCGTGAGAAAATGGAGAAAAGGATGGAGGGGGAGCCAGCTGCAGGTTCTGATACAGTGATTGACTGATGGTGATCAAGATGACTCCCAGAGTGGCCGCATCCTGAAAGCTGAGAGAACGAGACAAAACAGTGTCCTCCCCGGGAGTTATCGCCGCTGTATTTCTGATTATGTTCTTGCCAAACGACTTTCCCCATCATAAGAAGCCACGCGTAAGCGCTGGCCTCGATCTTGCTGAATCATTGCAGAGAACCTTTCTCATAGTCGACAATCTTGGAATTACCCTGCTTCTAACCGCGACTTTCTTACTGACGACTGTTCTTGGTGAAGCCAAAGAGCGTTACACCTGGCGATCAACATTCACCATCACGCTACTCGTTGTGTCAGAGAATCTTGTGGGTAATATTTGTGGTTTGGGAGCGATGAGTGGCAGGGAGCACGGGAACTCGAGAGCCTGAATTCCCCTGGCGGTTTTTCCAGAATCGGGTGTGGATTGCGATACTCCTGTGAATCATTCACAGTACACTCCCCTGTTTCTCTCAATGAAAAAGCACGGTACTAAGGATCAAATCTTTTGGGGATCTTCAAAAATGCGGTCTTCCCTGGGATGATCTGGTTCGTGACTATGTTCGAACTTCCGCAGCGGTTTGAGATGATCAACCAACTCTCCTCCTTTCATGCCGCCATCCGTTTCATTCCCTTCACAGTGGCGGCCCCGGTCCGATAATTCTGGCCTCAACCGTTGCAAAGATGTTCAAGGTCCCCTTGCTGTATCTGCTTTATATCAGCTCATTGATGCAGCTGGTAGCCTATGTTCTCCTGGGGACGGAGTCCGGGCAGCATGGCATCTCGGTCCGTCGATACAGCTACCATGGGTTTGCATGCGGGATCAACATCCCACTGTTGACATTGATAACGCCCCTTTATGCTACGAAAAAAGGGACCATGGTAATCTAATTCGATATTTGGCTGTAGAAACGATCGAAACGTTGCTGACAGGGGAAACCTTTTCTGTTATCTTACTCTAGCGATCGCCATGGGAGCAATTGCGCAGCGTTGAGTGATGGGCGGCTGCATCGGGTTAGCCATTATCACAACCATTCACAATAGCTATCTTCACTCGCATCTGACCCCGTCTCTCGGGCAGGTGTGACGGAGGCAGTCCTACAGTCAACTGGAGTCATCACGACTCTGCCCGCGGGAACACAGGATCTGATTCGCGGCACTTATGCTGCCAGCTATGACATGCAGATGAAGGTGCTGGCGTGGCCTTGCGGGCGGGCAGGTCCTGACCACGATGGCGATGTGGCAGCAAAGTCCTATTATAGTATAGTTCTTGAGTTATTCGGTCCAAATAGTTGTCTCCGTAAGTATGAGGTACACCAATTATATTACCTAAATAACAAATGATTGAGGCTATAATGGTAAGCTCCAAAACCAGCAGGTCATGCTTTGCCTAAGCCGTTTGACTATGGGACCAGCTCAGACGGGTAGGGCAAGACTTTTCGATATGCAAGCCCCTCATGCACCCTACAAGCCTCTGCATTCCTTGCAGTAGTAGTGCGACTTCCAGCAGCCCATGCAACGAACAATTGATTCAACAGCTCCGACTCAGCGTGGGGTGTCCATGAGAACACACATCTGCTCTACCTAGCTTGTCTTGCAAGATTTATTGCCCATTCAATCGGCTTGGGTCTACCCAATTGGCTAGTCTGGACTAGTGAATCCCTGTCATATGGATGAAGCCAGAGCAGCAAAGTTGCCACTACGCACAGATCTCTGTAATTACTGCATATCCCTTGTCAGTTAATTTGTGTTTGTGCTGATTCACTGTTGCTTATCTTACTACTTCTCTGCTTACTTGTTTTCTACACGATTGGCTTTCCGAGAGCGTGCTATATCAAGTTTCCAAGATGATCCTTGGTTGTAAGAAAACTTAAATGAATCTTCTGGCAGTTATCGTTTTCACAGTATGTACTGTACCTTGGGTAACATCCTTGGACCCTCCGACCCCAAAATTCATTCGAGTGACCCGGCATTCTGTGGGGAGGCCGGTGACTACCGTTCTGATACCCAGTACCCTGGGGTGTCGCTTGGACCCGACACCCACCGCGCAAGCCCGACGGAGTGCGAGAAAGGATTTCGTTGATGCCCCCACCAAATGGGCGGGGTGTGTCTTATCGCGCCCAATCCGAGACAAGACACGAACCTCGCAGAAAAGACTTTACGTTAGGCCTACTGTAACCGGGCAGGGTCCTTATCAGCTAGAGCCTAGTCCCCTCGGGTAGCGCCACTAAAAATGCTTAGCGGATGCTTAGCCTCAAGATTGACGCTGCATGCCGCGTTGCGTCGGAGCTAAGTATCGAACGATAACTTAGCGACTAACAATGTATGGTTCGCTTATCAGCTGCAAACTAAGAAGTCCGCCGCCACTGGGCTGCAAGCCGGTCGGCCGGTTTCATGAGTGTGAGGTTCCCCTTAGTTCATATAAGTTGGGAACTCCATCCGCCATGGGTGTTGGTGCAAGGACGCACATTTCTCATCCTTGCAACCATGGAGATCAAACAAGCAGACCTCTCGATCGATGAGGGACTGGCTGGCAAGTATGAGGAGAAGTCCGGATACGACCGATCTTCGACGGAGCCCAGGATTCTTGAGAAGGGAGAAACGTTTCCTGTTGACGGGGATCAAGGCTTCGAGAGCGATCAGGTGGTGAGCTCTGCGGCGGATCTCGTCACCCAGATCATCAAGGTCGAGGATGATCCGTCCCTTAACCCTTGGAGTTTTCGGATGGTTTTCCTGGGTATGTTTTTGCATTGCCAAAGGCCAGGCGGCGTCTTTGACTAATCTCATACAGGAGCTGGATTGTCTATCTTTGGTGGTGTGCTGCAGGAGATCTTTTACTTCAAGCCGCAGACCATCTACGTCTCCCAGGTTTTCCTGACTGTCATTGCTTATATTCTTGGAGAAGTCATGGCGTACGCCATCCCCCGTCGTGGCATGATCGGACGTCTGTTGAACCCCGGGCCATTCAACGCCAAAGAGCACGCTGCTATTGCCCTGATGTCCTCGGCTGCCACCCAGTCTGCACTGGCCACTGAAGCACTTTCGGCCCAGCAGCTTTTCTACGGTGGCTATCCCAACCATGCCGCCGCTATTTTCATCGTCCTCTCCTCCCAGCTGATCGGATTCGGGATTGCGGGCCTTTTGCGCGATGTGATCGTGCGCCCGACCAAGATGATCTGGCCCATGACATTGCCCATCACTACTCTTCTCGAGTCCATACACAAGGACAAGCAAGAGGCGAAGGCAAAATTGAAGATCTTCTATATTTTCTTCGGGGCGCTCTTCGTCTGGACGATCATCCCCGAATACATCTTCCCCGTTCTAGAGGGTGTCTCCATCTTCTGCTTGGCCAACCAGCACAGTCTGGTTTTCACCAATCTTTTTGGTGGTGCCTCTGGAAACGAAGGGCTGGGATTCCTCTCCCTTTGTTTTGACTGGAACTATATAGCATCCCTTGGTTCGCCACTTTGGGTTCCGCTCTACTACTTGACCAACAACCTTATTGGCTACATAGGATGCATTGTACTCTTCATGGGTGTGTACTATGGTAACATCTGGCGCTCACAGGACTTCCCGTTCCTGTCTCAGCTGCTTTACTATGGTGACTCAAACTCCACAAACTACAATGCCTACAATCAAACCCTCATTCTCAGCGCGGACTATACCGTTGATCCTCAAGCCCTGCAAGAGCAAGGCCTGCCCTGGCTGACCGGCACTTACGTCGCTTACCTGATCACATCGAACATGGGCCTGACCGCTACATTGACGCATATGTTGCTATGGAATTTTGACGATATCAAGGTGGGCTGGGCATGGGCTGCCCCGAGCCAGCTCAAGAAGTGGCTCAAGCCTGAAACATACAAGTTCTGGGCAAACCAGGAGACCCCGGAGGAGCGGTTGCAGCGTCGCGTGAATGACGATTCTTTGGACCCACACTACCGGCTCATGCTGCGCAACTTGTACTATGACACGCCGCTATGGTGGTGGGGAGCAGTGCTCCTCGGCAGTTTCGCCGTCGGTATGGGCTGCCTGTATGCCATGAAGTCCACGCTCCCCTGGTGGGGGTTCATCATCGCCAACTTACTCACGCTTCTTTTCATGCTCTTCTTCGGCGCCCAATATGGACTGACCGGGTTCCAGTTCAATGTGCAGCCAATCTGTCAGATGTTGGCGGGTTATATGTTCCCTGGCAAGCCCTTGGCCAGTATGTGTCTCTTCGTGTGTACTTTTACCTTCTGTTGCTAATGTGTTCACAGACCTCTACTTCACTTGCTTTACGTATAACGCTCTCCAGCAGGGACAGGTTCTAGCCAAGGATTTGCGACTTGCGCAGCAAGTTCACTTATCGCCGCGGTGCACCTTCTTCGTGCAAGTGAGCGGATGCATTATTGGAGCCCTTTTCAATTATGTGATGATGTTGATGTGCGACCCCATTCTAGCCCACGATTCAAATTTCGGTGTGTACTAACCTGCCGTCTTGAAGCATCGTGCAAAATCAATCAGAAATCCTGCTCTCCGAAGACGGTACCAATATCTGGAGCGGTGCCAATGTTCAGATAAGTGCCCTTCTGTCTTCCCCGCACGAGAATCCCGGCTGATCTCAGTTTACCAGTTCAACAGCCTTGCGATTGCCTGGAGTATGGCCAAGGACATGTTCTCCATCGGCGGTCGGTACCAATGGGTCACCATCTCCTATCTGGTCGGCTTCGTCGTGCCTGTCCCATTCTGGCTGGCACACCGCTTTTACCCCTCCGCCATCTTCTCCTACCTCAATACCTCTATCATTCTGTGGTACATGGGCTGGCTGTTCGTCGGCATTAATGCCTCCATCCCGGTCTATTTCGCTCTTGGCTTCGCCGCCCAGTTCTGGCTGCGTCGCTACCACCCTCACCTTTTCAACAAGTATAACTACATTGTCTCCGCGGCCCTGGATGGCGGGACGCAGATCTGTGTCTTCATCCTTACTTTTGCTGTATTTGGAGGCAGTGGCACTTCGCATCCTTTCCCGTGAGTGGTCCCGGAGTCTGACTTTGAGTGACATTGATCGGCTAATTGAGGTAGTACCTGGACCGGCAATCCCGACACGAGTGTTCATAACTTGGACTACTGCATGGTGAACCCGGCGACGCTCTAGATGATTCGAATTCTAGGTGACTATTACCTGGAAAGCTTTTGTACATCAGCATGTCTTCTATAATCAGCAGAGAGGGATGTGATTGGTTAGTTACTGAATGACTTAACATGTAATGGCTTGCCCTTTTCACTAAGGATAAGAATTCTAAGGACCGTTGGTGTAAGCAAAGCATGCAGAAATTAGCTCAATAATGGGTCGGAGTTGGGGAGTCAATGTGCAGGATGACACCTCAGGCATTAATCGAGTTGACTTCCCGTGCCCGCAGCCCGCTTTTTTTCCACATTTTCCACACATTTCCACACTTCCACTTCCCCTTTTCTTTGTCCAGCAACCAGCCGCCTTTCAATCTAAACTGAATGCAGTGAAGGCACAAAACTCCCCGGAATGGAGGGATAAACTGTGCTGTGCATTGCACCAATTGTGCTTCCACAACCCGACTTGCAGTCATTCAGACATCATCCTTGTGAACCGCGGCGAATGCGCCGGCTAATCTCAGGGTAGTCAGCAGTCCCTGTCGGAGTTTCGGGTGCGAAATCGACCACCGACCTCCGACGCTTTATCTCTCCGTTGGGCCCACTGAGCTCTCGATCCACTGGCTAGACTGCATCTTACACCTTTGCGTGCCTGCGTGCCTGCGTGCTTGCTTTTGCTGCGGCCCACATCACTTGTCCTTGAAGCCTTTATGAACTCCCTTCTACCCATCGTCTAGCACGATCACAATTCTGGGTGAGGGGAGCCCTGGTTCTCATATGAGCATGAGCTGTTGGCTCTTACTCTATGATAATGCTTGCCACGAACCCCTCGGACCTCGCCATGGATGTTGATCTGCACCTGCTGACTCCCCACAGACAAGCGAACCTCCACTACCGGTCTTGGCACTACGCAAGTCTAATAAATATCAATGCAAGGTTGCAGGCACCGTCCTCAGCGAACTCTTGCACCTTGCGCGCATCATGTCTGCTGCTGCCCGTCCGCATCATCCGTCAGGTCCAACGCCGCCCTTGAACCAGTCGTGCGAAAATTGTCGAGCCCTCAAGGTCCGCTGTCTGCCGGATCCGAATATTGCGCATCAATGCCAACGTTGCACACGCACCAGGCGAATCTGTGTCTTTGCGCACACCCTTCGACGCCAGCCTCGAAAAAAGACTGGATCACGGGTCGCTCAGCTTGAGAAAGATGTCCGCGACCTACGCGCTTTACTCCACGAGCAGAATGCTCCGATTCAAAGATCGGATTCAGCCGGCGTTGACACCGTTACCGCTCCGGTCTCCCTTTCCCCCACCACCACCGCGGACACTGCTGCCGCCTCCGCCGCTACCGCCACTATCGCAAGTCCCGTCTCAGAGACGGCTCCTACTCGCGCTGCGGCAACAACAACAGCAACACCCTTTGCATCCTCCATTTCCGACTCCGCCCGCTTACAGACTGCATCGTCATCTTGTCCTCCTCGCCCGATCGTGACAAGCCCGGCTGCGAATCCCCCTTCCCATGTCAGCACCACTGGCTCGACATTCATGAGCTCTTCGCCTGGCTCTGCGGATGTCGTCGACCGTGGTATCCTCGCTCTGGAGACGGCACAGATGTTGCTGTCCGTCTTCATTTCTGAACTCACTCAATTCTTTCCGGTGGTTGTCCTTCCAGGAGACACAAGTGCCGACTTCCTACGCAGGACGAAGCCAATGCTGTTCCTGTCCATCATCGCAGCAGCGTCGCTAACGCTTGAAACACCGCACGCGACCGTCCTACATGAAGAACTTCTCGCTGGCTTCGCGACACGATTCTTTCTTAGGCAGGAAAAGTCACTGGATCTGGTACAAGCCCTCCTCGTAATGCTTATCTACTACCTCCCTCCCAAATCAGCCATGCATGGGCAGTATTATCAATACACGCATATTGCAACCACTATGGCACTAGAGCTTGGGATTGCAGCCGGTGCCGTTGGTCGCAAAACCCAGCGCTGCCATGCGGGTGAGGGGGAATTGCCCCCATCAGTACATAGTGACCAGGCCCGGGCCGTCCTCGGCTGCTATCATTTCGCATCAAAGTACGGGCTACTCGTTCACCGGCATTCTACTGTCTGAGTTACTGACTTCTCTATAGTGTTAGCATGCAGACACGTCGACCGAACATGCTCTGTCACAATGCTGTTATCGGCGGCTATGTCAGGCATCTTAGTGTCTCGACCAGTGCTTTGGACCAGCAACTGGCAGCATGGTTCGGGCTGCAGCGGATCATGGATGAGACACTGGCTGCTGCAGGTCATGACAACACTCTGACCGACACTCCTATTTTGGAATCGCAGATGTTGCCGATCCTCAAGTGGTTCGACACTCGCATGCTGCAGTGGAAGATGTCGATTCCGAAGGAGATGTTCACGAGTACGTATACGTCCGCAATTGATGATATTTCACCGGAACTCATTCTTTAGCTTGGATGAATCTTGAATACCACTACCTTTACCTTGCGATTCACGAACAAGCCGCGGGCGAGGGCTACCGCGACCCCGACGCAGCAACCCGCAGGTATTACACACTCCCCCCTCTCGAGGGCGATACGGAGCGACACAGGGCCAATGTGCCGGTTAGCGCGGCGCGGGTACAAATAATCACAAAATGGGTGCTCTCTGCCCAACAGCTCCTTGACGTCTTCCTGCAATGCGACATTCCGACCATGCGCAAGCTACCAAACATGACCTACACGCGGATGATCTTAGGGGTTTCCTCCCTTCTGCGTATCTACTACATGACCCAGCTCGGCCCTCTGAGTGAGGTCATCACTCCGCAGATGATCAACGTCGACGAATACCTGGATCGCCTAACGCAGGCCCTATCGGAAGCCTGTGAGAACCAGAAATTCCGCGTCCCGAGCAAATGGTACCACGTCATAGCCGTCAAGAACCGCGAATGGTACGAACAGTTACAACGACGGCTGGCGGGCTTTTCCTCCGAGAATCCCTCGTATCTGCGCGGGATCTTCCCGCCCCCGACCTCCACGGCAGGTGTGCCCGGCGCACAGCCGCCTGGCATGTTGCCCTCGCTGGTTCCCGGTGGAGCCCCGGCTTACATGGAGTCATGGTATGCGGACGACCCAGCGGGGAGGGCGGATGGTGTGAGGGAGATACCGGCGGCGCCGATGATGTATCTCTCCTCGATGCAGCCGGTCCCGGGGACCGTTGAGGCAGGTGGGCACTTCGCACCTCCTGCGGGCCACGCCGGGTGGCGCTTAGATGAGCCGCTGCCCGATCTGTCGTTCCCGTATTAATGATGTATACATGTGTAATGAAGAGATGAGCTTACGCAGAATCCGTCCGCTGTACCTCACCCCAGTTTAATCATTAATTGAATCGTAACCGTATCCGCATGGTGCTCGACTTTTAGTGGGACCATTCTCCCTGGGATTCTCCTGGCCACTCGTAGGCAGGCATGCGACCGTCGGTCTTGATCAACCTTCACGCTCACAACACCGTCGGCGCTGGTTCTGATGTATGTGATCGAACATATCTCACCTGCACAATCGCACCGAATAAGGGTCCTCGGGCATGACCCTGTTTTGACCCTCCGACCTCCGACGCGGATGCACACGGTGGAGAGAGGGGGTGTGTGGACCCTCCGGTGCAAGGGAGGTTGCATAGATGCGAACTCCGTTGATGCGATCAGGATATCAGATTAGATTAGATTCTTACGGCGAGTGGGCTCAACCTTTGCAGCCGGTATGAAATGCAGCCACCGTGTTGCCGCGCGGGGCCCATGTGGATTGTAGACTATCCAGTCGACGGGGAGAAAACTGTATCCCACCTTCCTTCGCCTCTGCCGTATGAGATTGCCGCTATGGGAGAAGGTAAGGGGGATGGAGTAGGAGCAAAAAGTAATGACAAGAGTGGGATTCGAACCCACGCCACTTGCGTGACTAGGAATACTGCTCAGGTGAGCGAATATATGTGATCAGGTTGCCTGACCCTAGCGCCTTAGACCGCTCGGCCATCTTGCCTATTTGATGGTAGGTGAACCTGTACTTGAGTTAATATCCAAAACTTGATGGCTTAACAGCATTGGCGCCGGGTTTTGGAATTGCGGTTTGGGGTAATTGGATGGTTGTCTTGGAGGAATTCTTGGATGGGTGTGGGGTGATTTTGGCTTTGTCGCATCCTTTTTTGTGGTATGTTTATGTTATTTTTTTGGGGGGGGTGTTGGTTGGTGGTGGTGCACTGCGTGGTGAGTTGAGTTGTGGTTATATATTGTTTCGGGCTCAGTGCTATCTCGGAAGGCATACCCTGCCCAGCCGACCAAACCACCTCACAGCAAAACAAACGCCAACACAGATCCACATGTACGTACAACAAGAGTCAAATACCAAAGCCATATCCCAGGAGGCTCCCAACATACAAAGCACAGCGCCCTCAACCAAGTTGCAGCACCCTCACAGCGATCATCTATACGTCCTGGTCCCGACAATCACGAGGAGACAACTGTGAGATGTATGAGATGGCCGGAGAGGGGGTATACCCACTGCAAGGGCAGTACCAGGCGAGTTCATAACGTTTAAGATGGCAAGCCAGACCTGATAGTTCCCCCAGCTATGCCCAGCGAGAACAGAAGCCCAAGGCGTACCCATGGTATTTGAACGACGGAGACCGATAGCCATACAAGGACACAAGATATGGGCAGAAGCGAGTATCGCACAACACGGAAAAGTATACACAATGGAACATGCGAGCCACTGCACAGGCCATGAATACCGACCACCGCAAGACACCGACAACAGATCTAACAGTACACTATCACACGCCAACGAGCACCAGCATGCTGATATAACCCCGAGCGTCCGCTGGACCGACAAGTGCTAACGAACACCCTCGGTAAGAATAGTCCCAATCACACCGAAGACCTAGCTGGACTCCAGCTAGCCACAAAACAAACGATAGAATTGAATAGCCAGTGAGGTGCATCAACACACCGGCAAACGGCTGCCTTCTCCATAGGGTTGCGATAACTATCACCATACTTTACAAGGCTACAACCAGAGGCTCAGCCACATGATCTTGGTTTTGCCGGAATCAGTCCAACGTGCAAATATAGCAAGGATTCTAGGGACCTGTCTAGCTGAAACGACAGAGTATAGTAGCAAATAACCCCGGAATAGCCAGAAGGGTCCATCAAGGGTCCTACTTACGATTCGAAAGCATCTAGCTAGATATGCCTCCTGATTCACGCCGTCCATAATACCATCAACCCTGCATAACAGCATCCAAGGCAAGATGGCCGAGCGGTCTAAGGCGCTAGGGTCAGGCAACCTGATCACACATATTCGCTCACCTGAGCAGTATTCCTAGTCACGCAAGTGGCGTGGGTTCGAATCCCACTCTTGTCATCACTTTTTGCACCCACTCAGTCAGGTATTTTTGCTCTACTCATCAACCCACGTACGGTCGGTCGTGTCTGTCTACTTTAGTTTGCCACCTCCCTGCACCTGCATACGACTATCATATCACAGCAAAGTGTCGGCCATTCCCGCCTTGCCATGCCTGGCACCCCACTGCGGTCCGCTTTTGAGTTTGCGCCCTTTTTTCCCTGTCTGGTTTCTGGACGAACGCCATCGTACCCATCAGACGTGCAGCCAAGCGAGATGAGTTGTATCGGTCGTGCATACACCTATGACCTCATCTTGTCGCTGACAACGACGGATCGAGTATGCGGTACGCGCCCTCGGAGCTGCGCCGATGGTAGAGCGGGTACGACCTGTCTTAGTGTACCGGTAGTTCAACAGCAAATCTACCCACCAACTTCCGGTCAGTAGTGTAGTACATTGTCCTATAGCCTGTCCGTTCGGGTGAGAGGGGGGTCAATTGCATGACACAATGTGCTTTAAATCGGCCCACAGCTACATGAGTACGATTAGACCAAGTAAGCAAGACTAGCATGTGTTCGGTGAATTGCCTGCGTCGGTAACCATCGGAGTAAGGAGGGGGGTGGCTTTATGAATGTCTTGGGAACATGAGTGACTACAGGATTGTCTATTTCAACAACCGGGCAAGATGGCCGAGCGGTCTAAGGCGCTAGGGTCAGGTTCATCTGATCACACATATCTGCTCTTCGGGAGCAAATATTCCTAGTCACGCAAGTGGCGTGGGTTCGAATCCCACTCTTGTCATTAATTTTTGCTTCTGCTCACCACCCCTGGTGATATGCGAACGATATGTGTCTTTTTGTCCAGGACGCCGTTCCTCTCTCTGTTAACAGAATATTCCTCTAATTACGGCGTTAGTGGTTTTGATGCACTGAGTCGATCTACCCTCCCCGATCACACGCTTCGGTCTCCGATTTTGAAGCCCAATGCCTCCTGACTACTGCCAACACTACCTGTATCGCCTGCAATAGCTCCCTCAAACAGCCGAAGCGTCACTCGTAGGTCGCGAAAACCCACTCGTGGAATTCCATCCAATACGCGTCTGGAACCCACGCGTGCTGGCAGTAGTGACCGCGCTGGCTGTGCGTCGTCTGTGAACAGTAAACGTCGAGGCTGGCCAAACTATCACGGCGGTGAAGCAAACAGAAGTTGCAGAAGTGACAGGTCAACCGGTCGTTGTTCGCCAGTGAGATTGACATGCATGGGATACAGTTACTGCGGGTGTGCGTAGATTCTATTTTATACAGACCAGTGACGCTCGTATCTGTGCTTGGGTCGCAGATACTCCAGCCTTGCCTCATGACAGCAGGGGACCCAATCCAACCGAAAAGTCGATAGACCCTGATAAATGAGCGTCCATACTGCATCAAATCGATGATCATGATATTACCGGTAGGCTGTCAATCCCTTTCGGGCTCCTCAACACCGCACCTAACACACCTGATCCGTGGAAGACTACTCAAAAATGAGCTGCATGTCTTATATTGACGTGACGTTAGGTACAGTACCGCATGAACTCAATACGGTGACGTCTGTATATTGAATCATCTGGCGGAACAGAAGTCGCTGGCGAAGGAGCCCCTCAGGTTGTGCTCCATAAGTTGTGCACAATCCAACCATGTGGTCATGATAATGTCATGCCTCTCTATCTTTAGAAACGAAGGCATTGCGGAGAAACTCCAGATGGGTCAATATCAGGGAACATTATAGATCAACAGTGGACAGGCACTTTATCTGTACCCCGAAATCTCGATGAGGAGATCTGAAAAAGAATTGGGTCTTGAGGCTCATGATGCTGAATGATATCTTCTTTTTGTCTAGACTTGTGATGCCTTTATGAACTCACACACATGCCATTGCTGGATACTGCATTTTACCCGAAACGGAATAAAGTTTACATGAGATGGGAAGAGACCGCTAACTGATCACTATTGGAACTAGCCCCCCCCTCCCTCCAGAAGCCCATGCAGCTAACCAGCGGCCACTGCGTATGACAGACAGTGTGCATCCCGTTTGACCCTGAGATTAAGGGGCGTCGAGCTGAAGCCATCGCCCAGCCTTACAAGGAGCCGTGCCGCACATACACGCACACGGCACCGTGCTGAGCCTAGACCGGGAGTTTTATGATTCTATGGTTTCGAGTGACAGGTCCAGATCCCTTGGTTGGGTCTTTGTCGACAGAAAGCCAAGGTGAAGGAGAGAGGGGGATTTCCTAAAATGGGATTGAGTATGTGGTTTCTATCCCGTGTAAGATGTAGAATGGCAGGCATCCTTAATCTCAAAGGGAATTGTCCATTCACGCCCCGACCGTACCTGAGGGGCGGCGGAGGGAATCCCCTGGGTTGCAGTGAAAGTCACCAGTGGCGTTTTCTGTGGTGGGGCGGGGGATTCAGACTAGGACAACTAAACACCACTAAGATAAGCCCTAAGTCTGGCCCTGATCGGGACGAGGACTTAGGGCCGGCTTAGGTAGAGGCTTGATTGGTGGAGGAGATGACCGTTGCCTGTTTGGGTTCCTTTGGGGGTCTTTCAGGAATCAGGAGCAATCAAATCATTCAGCTTCAAGGTTGAGAGTTCCCAGAGTTTCCACTTGTTTTCTCAAGTTCCCTTTTCTTCCTACCGCCACCACTTCCCAAGTGGGGGCCACCATATCGCCATGACTCTTTCGACTTCTGCATCGATCGGACGGGATGAATCTATTCCATCAAGCCGAAGGAGATGAAATCTACTCCTTTGTATGTATGAGAGTGAAGATGGGAGAGAACAGGCAGGGTGACTGACTATGGGAGTTGCCAGTCCGACAGCAACAATGGGGTTCAAGAATGATCGACGGATTCCTTTGTCCTCTTTCAAACTCCCCTCCAATTGCACAACCATGACCTCAGGGCCCCTCTCTTCCACTCGACACATCGGGAAAAACTGAAACATGGTCCGCGTGGGTGTCCATCTTTTTGCTTTAATTCTTATTTTGATTTGTGTTTTTTATTTTTTTTTTCTATTTTCTTTGATTTTTCTTTTCAGACCTGGGCCGTACGTTTGGGGATTTTCTGACAAGTCGCACGCGCTTCATGTTGACATTCCGCCTTTCTTATCTGTCGGTCCTTTGTGTCGGTTTCAACAACTCCGTTCAAGTCTCACCTCTCGTTGTTGATTCTTCCTCTTACTTTCTTTTCCCGACCGGCTCTGTCTTTTCACTCGTTCGCTCATTGTCTGGCCTCAGCCTGGGCAGTAATCGCAATTAAAACACTCGCTTCGGAATTGTTGATTCCCTCGACAGACTGCCGATCGCTGGTCCAATCCACGCGGTCTCCTCATTTTACACCATCCGACCCACCCTCAACTCCACACGAACCGGTGGACTCAGCACACTCGTTTTCTGCCATTGATCGTTGGTTCCTGCTTTGCCTCTGGTGGGAATCGCTTGGGATTCACCCCCTCCCGCCAATTGCGCTTGTGCTTACGCACTGGGGCTGCAGGGCAGCTTCTGGACTCCTCACCCTAGTCGATCGTTCTTATATCGCCCTCCCCCCGTCAGGCCGCCCTGATGTCAGGAAGGCCTGGCATTACGGAGAAGCGGTTGTCCGCCAAACGCTTCCACCAGCTTCGCGACATGGCCCCCGACAATATGCTGAACCCTAACGATGTTACCATCGATATCCCGCTGCACTCGGTCTCCAGTCGCGGTCAAACAGGCGCTCGCAAGTCAAGCGTCAACGCACCCGACTCCCCAGGCCCTTACCAACCACCGGTCGATAATAGCGAAGAAAAGCAGGGACTCGTCGCACCAAATCCCGGTCTGCGCAGGCGAATCGACGAGTCCACGGGCCGTTCTATCGATGACCCCGAAGATGGTACCGTCACTCGTGTCGGCCGCTTCTACCAGGCGGTCCTCAACTACTCAATCGCTACCCGCTATCTGATCTACGTGATACCGCTCGCGTTGATACTCGCCATTCCGATTATTGTAGGAGCCACGGCCGCGCAGGACGCGACCATCGGCGGAGTGACTCTCCCCTGGTTCTTCTTCTGGTTTGAAATTGTCTGGATTAGTTTGTGGGCATGCAAGCTCGCAGCTCGAATCATCCCTTACATCTTCCAAACATTGTGTGGGTTCGTCAGCTCTGGAACCCGCAAGTATGCCCTCATCTTGCGAAAGCTCGAATTTCCGATCGCCACGGTCCTGTGGTGTGTGGTTTGCTTGGTGACATTTTTGCCAGTAAGAGAGGCTCCTTTCGACGACTGGGTATTACACAAGCTGACTGAGCCCTCATCCAGGTTATGACGCAAAATCCCCACCAGAAGAAGATCAATGACACCTCGACCAAGTCATGGGAGAAGTCGATCAAGAACATCCTATTCGCTCTTTTTGTTTGCAGTTTGATCTTCTTGGGCGAGAAGTCACTCGTGCATTTAATCTCTATCAGCTACCATCGGAAGCAGTTTGATGCCCGCATCAAAGAAGGGAAGCGGAATGTCTACCTTATTGGTCTCTTGTATGATGCTTCCCGTCAGATGTTTCCCATGCACTGCAAGGAATTCCGCGAGGAGGACGCCGCCATCGCGGACTTCCTGCTGCAGAACCCCACGAGCAAGACGCGCATACCGACCAGCGGCTCAGCCCCTCTCCGTCTCATTCGCGGAGTCGGTCAGAACGTTCAGAAAATTGGCCAAAATGTTCAGAGAATTGGTGGCAAGGTCAAGGGTGCCTTTGGTGATGTCGCCCAAGAACTTACTGGCAAGCAAGTTTTCAACAACACCTCCACGCGCTCGATTGTGACAGCGGCATTGGAACATCGCAGAACCTCGGAAGCCCTCGCGCGCAGAATCTGGATGTCATTCGTGGTCGAGGGCCGGGATGCCTTGTATTTCGAAGATATTTGTGAGGTGCTCGGCACGGGGTTGGAAGTGGAGGCCGATGAATGCATGAAAATGCTCGACCGCGACGGTAACGGCGATATCAGCTTGGATGAGATGATTCTGGCTGTTGGAGAAGTCCAGCGCAACAAGAAGGCACTGAACCACAGTTTGCATGACATCGACCAGGCCACCCGAGTCTTGGACAATCTCTTGATGACTGTGGCATTCATCGTGGGTGTCTTGGTCTTTGTCTCTTTTGTGACGACTGGATTTGGCACGGTCATTGCAGCCGGTGCCACTTCTTTGCTCTCCCTCTCTTTCGTCTTCTCCACTACGGCCCAGGAAGTGCTGGGCTCGTGTATCTTCCTCTTCGTCAAGCATCCCTTTGACGTGGGTGACCGCGTGGAAATCAGTGACAAGCCCTTCTTCGTCGAGCGCATCTCCCTCCTCTTCACCGTGTTCCGCAACGTCAATGACCACCGTATCACGCAGATTCCCAACTCGGTTCTCAACGGTCTGTGGGTCGACAACTTCACTCGTGCCAACGCCATGCACGAGGTCTTAAAGGTTCCCATCGATTTTGACACTACATTCCAGAACATCCAGCGCCTCCGCGAGGAGTTGGAGGGATTCGTGCGCGACAAGGACAATTCGCGTGACTTCCAGTCCGATATCACCATCGATGTTAGCGGCGTCGGTGACATGGATAAGTTGGAGTTGAGCGTGTATATCCGCCACAAGTCCAACTGGTCGAACGAAGCAGTCCGCGCGACACGTCGCTCCAAGTTCATGTGTGCATTGATCGCCGCGGTCCGCCGGGTGCCTATCCGCAAGCCCGGATCCGGTGGTGGTGACGATGAAGAGAAGCCCGAGGACAAGCTGGAGGACACCCCTGAAATCATTGTTGAGGATGTGGTCAAGCGCGCTAGACGCGACTCCGCCTCGTCCGCCGAGCCTGTTCGACGCCTTCCCCCGGATTCTAGCTTCGCCACCACCGAGTCTCGCTCTACCGGCTTTGACATGGGTCAGTCGCCGGGTTCCATCCAACGTCGTGGAGTTGGTGCGTCCGTCAGCTCCTACAGCGAGGGGCTGAGCGCCGAGCACGCCGACCGCACCTACCCAAGCTCCCGTGACGGCCAGGAAGTCGACACGTATCAAACCCCAGCCGGGTCGCCCGGCCAGGAGCGCACGCGGAGCGTCAACTACGGCTCAATGACGCGCGAGCTGTCGACGGGCCGGCGCAAGGAGGGCACAGCAAATATCATCTCGACCTCCACGGGTGGTGTGCCGGTCCTGTCTGAACCAGTGCCCCCTCGGCGGCAACAGGAGCAACAACAACAGCAGCAGCAGCAGCAGCAGCCCGTGCGGTTAGTTTCTGAGCAGAACCAGCAAGCCCAGCCCCCACAAGCCGGTGCAGCAGCTGCCGCTGTGAACGGGGCCTCAGTCGCGCGCCAGCCGGAATATTACAGCTATCAGGGCCAGTACTACAATCCCGCGGAGGAGTCGTACGACCCCAACCAACCCTTTGAGCTCCCGTCGATGGCGGAGCCGTCGGCTGAGAGTCAACGGGAGTATTCGTCACACACCCTGGCCTCGTCGCGGACGGCCTATTCAGGCGACTCGGCAGAGGAGCATCAGCCTCGGGCATACCCCCCGCGGCGGAACCCGTACGAGGGTCAATAAAGAATGAAGAAACAAGAACAACCCGCAAAAATAAAGATACCACAATACGCAGCAAACTAGAATAAAGTGTGATCACGAGTGACGATCAAATTCGATTCCACCATAGGGGGGCGGGGGGGATGGCGTGAATTCTGTATTATTATCAAAGATCTATTCCCCAAGAAGCAAAAGACTGACTTTAGCTGATATATTATGTGCATTTGACCAAAACCGATGTAGTTCACGCAGGTTGATGGTATAATAATACCATCTGAAGAGATAGTGTAATTCCTTTCTTAGACATTTGCCATCCATGAGTCTATTATACAGTCCATAATACATACAGTCAACACCACCAAAACCCCGAGAAGATGAGCAGCGGAGAAAAGGTTTTAAGATGACCTATTTCGTCTCCTTCCACGGGTAAGAGACCTCATCGTCCTTGCGGACCCAGATCTTGGACTTGCGCTTGTTGACCACGTGCTCGACGAAGGCCTCGCGGGTGTACTGGGCCTTGTACTTGCGGATCCAGCGGGGATCCCAGAGCTCGCTGGCGATGCCCAGGTCTTTGCAGCAGCGCACCAGGGCGTTTGAGCGGCACCCTTCCGTGGCCGTGGGGATGCCGTCCGGGGAGAAATAATCCTGTTCGCCGCGGGCGACGGAAACGAGCCTGTCACCAAGATGATTATCAGCATCAGCATCCGCGTCATCTCGGCTCAACCCAATACCATCCAATAAACCCCCCAGGGGGAAAAGGTAACTCACCGCCCATGACAAACCAACGCATACTCGCGCGTCACCATCTTGGGGGTGACGATGCTCTCGCTCCGCGGCACGAGCCCCCACCCGCCCGGCCCAAACGCCCGGTTCAGGATCCGCCGGTACTTGATCTCGGGCAGGTACAAAATCCCGTCCGGCTTGATCTCGACCTCCTCCGGGTCGGTGGGCGCGAGCAGGATGTCCGCCGCTTCCTTGGGGAAGGGTTCTGCGGAGAGGCCGTGGAAGGAGCGCGTCCAGTCGATTCGGTCCTCGGATTTTGGGGAGGTGTCGGTGGGTGTCGGGAGTGGGGATTGGGGCTGGTCGTGCAGGCCGGAGGTTGTTAGGTTGGGGGTGATTTTTTGAGATTGGTTTGGTTGGGGTTGTGGGGTTTGTTGGGTGGTGGTGGTGTTGGGTGGGGAGGAGGTGGGTTTTGTGATGTTGTTGTTATTGCTGTTGTTGTTGCTGTTGTTGTTGAAGGTAGAGGTGTTCGGCCTCGCGCGTGCTGCTGATGGTTGGGTTGCTTGGTGGGGGCGGGTTGTCATGAGGGTGCGGGTGAGGGTGAGGTTGATGGCTGTGGGTTTTGTGGACGCTGTTATGCGCAGAGTACGCGCGAGCGTTGGGAGGGACATTTTGGGTGATGAGAGGGTGGGATGATGGGAGGAGAACTGGGATTTGGAGTAGAGAGGTGAGTGCGGAGGTGAAGAAGCTGAGCTGCGGATAAGGCAAGGTCGGGATACAGTCACGTGATGATACGCTGCTGGGGAGTGGAAATGCAGTACACTGGATTGTGCTGATGGGCTGGAGGAGTTGCGATTTGGTTATAGATCACTTTAAGTGGAAGTCTTTAGAGTACACTGATGGGATAGTCGCCGGCCAAGTTACCCTAGTCCTAAGCATCCTGCGTCTGCGTGCGCTGGTCGTTGCCCTGCTGTTTCCAGCATTCGCGGAAGGCTTCCATCTGAGGTTTGAGTTAGCGGCCAGACGTAGGGGGTTCAATCATTGATTGCCATGTTTGAGGGCGCATAGGATCCGTAACGATCAATATAGTGTTGGATAGTGTCTCCACAATATAGAGCTCATCTGGGCTCAGCTCGATGTGAGGGTATACGGCCTCCGCAGCCGGACTCAACGCACCTCCTTTTGGCAACTGCGCCAGTCTTTCTTCTGATAGACGCAATCGTTCAAGGTCATCTGCTCGTCTGTGTCATGGCTTAATAAATCTCTTCTTGATAGACAGCCAGGTCAATGGTTGTGGGTGGCTCTTCTTGACTCACCCGCACAGCCGGTTCTGTTGATCCGCTTCTCCCTGTCGGATTCGCCGTCAGTCCGAGTCAACTCTCACTCCCTCACTTTCTTTCCCTCTTCCTCTTCTCCGTCTCCTTCTTCACACTCACCACTCGTCTGGCTCATCATCATCATCCTCCGCCGCGTTTTCAACCGGGGGATTTTGTCTCTCTTCCTTGTTCGTCATTGTTTGTTCTGTAGCTGCTCTTCGACCGGAGAGTTGCAGTTGCGAAGAGAAACTTCCGAGACCCGAACGTTGCACGGTTGAACCGTTCCTCCGCCATGGCGACGACAACCCCCAATCTGACCGGGAAAAAGGTCAACGTTCTTGTCTACTCCGGTACGTATCTTCTTCGCTCGCTTTATTTAACCGGCAGACACTGAGACATTCGTCTCCTAGGAAATGGCACCACCGTCGAGTCCGTCCGCCATTGCCTCTACTCCCTCCGCCGCCTGCTGGCCCCTCACTACGCCGTCATCCCCGTCACCGCCGACATGCTCCTCCACGAACCCTGGACCCTGACATGTGCATGTCTCGTCTTCCCCGGCGGTGCCGACATGGGCTACTGTCGTGCCCTTAACGGTGCCGGAAACCGTCGCATCGAACAATTCGTCAAGCGCGGGGGCGCCTACCTCGGTTTTTGTGCGGGGGGTTACTACGGCTGCCGCCGGTGTGAGTTCGAGGTCGGCGATAAAACGCTGCAGGTGATCGGCGAGCGCGAGCTGGCCTTTTTCCCCGGCACCTGTCGCGGGGGTGCCTTCCCCGGATTTGTCTACCACAGTGAGGCCGGCGCCCGCGCCGCCGAGGTGAAGGTGGCCAAGGACGCTTTGCGGGCGGGCGTGGTCCCGGAGCAGTTCCGGTGCTACTACAATGGTGGCGGTGTGTTCGTTGGTGCGGCGCAGTATGCGGACCGAGGCGTTGAGGTGCTGGCCAGCTATTCTGAGGAGGTCAATGTTGACCCCGGTGAGGGTGGCGCCGCGGCCGTGGTCTACTGTCGCGTGGGTGAAGGTGCCGCCATTCTCACGAGTCCCCATCCGGAGTAAGTAGCGCCGGTGATTAAGTTCTCTGAATAGTTGTTCAAATTGGGCCACGAAACTAACAATGCTTTTTCTTTCTTCTACGAAGGTTTGCAGCGGTGAACCTGGATAAGAAAAACGGGGGTGCGGAGTATGCCAGGGTCGTCGATGCTCTGGCGGCCGATGATACCGGTCGCACTGACTTTCTGAAAGCGTGTCTAATCAAATTGGGTCTGCAAGTGAGCCAAACAACGACGACGGTGCCTTCACTCTCCTCGCTGCATTTGTCAGCTCTGGAGCCTACCGATACGGCCAACCTTGTGGCCTTGTGGGATGAGCATATCACCAAGGATGGTGATAAGGAAGTTCTCAAGGATGAGAATGATACGTTCCGCATCGAGCGTCCTGGAACTTGGAACCTGGGTGAGTTGGAGGCCTCGCTTCCCGCCCTGTCGGAGACGCCGACGGCGACCCCGACGGAAGGTATTGTGGATTACAACGCGATCGTCAAGCGACTGGTGATCCATGACGATGTGCCATCATCTAAGCTGACACCCTACTTCAACCACCATGCGTTTTATTCGCACCTGCGCGAGTACCAGGGACAATCCCGAGAGGGTGCCTCTGTATTCGGCTCCAACCTGGTATACGGGGAAGTGGTCACCAGTACGAATACGATTCTGGAAAAGTAAGTTTGAGATCGACTCTGTGACAGCTCACATGACTGACTGACTGACCGGTCAGAAACCCGAAATTGCTGCGCACACTGCCCACCGGCTTCACCGCCACGGCCACCACCCAGGTTGCTGGGCGGGGTCGGGGCTCCAATGTCTGGGTATCGCCTGCAGGGGCTTTAATCTTCTCAACGGTGTTGCGGCACCCGATGGAGAAGATCCAATCAGCCCCGGTGGTGTTCATTCAGTACTTGGCTGCGATGGCTGTGGTGCAGGGTATCAAGCGGTACGACGAAGGCTACGACGCCATGCCGGTCAAGATGAAGTGGCCCAACGACGTGTGTATGTACCCACCTCTCCTCTCGGATTATGACTATCATCATCGTTGCTGATGACCCGCAGACGCGCTTGACCCGGAGCACCCCGAGAAACAACAATACTCGAAAATTTGCGGAATCCTGGTGAACTCGCACTACTGCGCCAACGAGTACATCTCGGTGGTAGGAATTGGGGTCAACGCAACCAACGCATCCCCCACCACGTCGCTGACGGCATTGGCGAAACGCTTTGTGGGCCCCAGAGCGGCCCCCATCACGTTGGAGAAGCTGCTGGCACGGATTCTGACGACCTTTGAGGAATTGTACGGACGGTTCCTGCGGACAGGCTTCGACCGAGAATTCGAGGACCAGTACTATGCGGACTGGCTGCACATGCACCAGGTTGTCACCCTGGAGGAGGCTGGAGGAGCGCGGGCTCGCATCCAGGGCATCACTCGAGATTATGGACTGTTGTTGGCGCAGGAGCTGGGCTGGGATGACCGACCGACGGGTCGTGTGTGGCAGCTGCAGAGCGACAGCAACAGTTTCGATTTCTTCCGGGGGTTAGTGCGGCGGAAGGTTTAGTGTTGGTGTTGTCGATGAGGATGGGGATGGTGATGATGTTGACGATGACGACTTGTGATGATGATATTGACGACACGATCTCGTAGAACGTGTGTAGTTTACAGTAGATACGCACAATAGACAGTACATACGCACTGACTAGGTAATGTCCGAGATTCATAACATTCTCGGTCTTCACCGAGTGGCGAGGCCCCAACCATCGCTTTCACTGGATCCTCTCCTGAATCAAGTCCCAAATGTGCGATACCGATCGACGGAATGAGCCGTGGATGAGATCGCCCAAGCAGGCAACGTCTCCGTCATCGTAGTCAAAGAGCATAATCTCCGAAGTCGGATTGGCCGGCTTCCCGACGGAGAACTAGCCCGGAAAGAGGAAGGGTTTTGTGCCTCAGGGCTAAGGTTTAAATGCTGTGATGAGTCAGCAGCTCTCTCCACGATCATGTGGCTTCCACCTCCTTGCATTATTTCCTCATGTCGCTTCTCCCAATCCTCGCTGCGCATGACTCCGAGATCTTCTTCTTAATCATCAGCACCAATGCATCAGTAACGTCAGCAATACAGGCAGCATCATCTCCAGAGACAAGACTCGATGTCTGATTCCGGCGGAGCCAATGTGGAGCACTGCAAACAGCCACCAACGGAGCCACCCCGTTCTTTGGCCCGCTTAGGATGGCTGACACGTCTGCAACACTGCACTTCATCTTTTCGTCAAGCCCTCAATGGTCAGACTTGGACCCCCATCAGCAGATTGCCAGATACAATAGATGAGCGACTACTGCTTACAGCCTCTGCTCCGGCCGTTTGTTTTAGCTCTGCGCCCGCCCGCCGATCCGTCGACGCCACATGAGCCTAGGACTTCGCCGTCGGCTTGAGACGGGTGGGAGCCCCCCCGTTCGTGCGCATTATATCATGCCAGTCCTGCCTTGTACACCCGGGAGTTGCACATCCTGTTCCTCGGGCCTGCCATCGACTCCACTCCATCTGCACGACTAATCATCTCAATCTTGTAGCCGTACTTGTGATGTCCGCAAGTCTCGACCGACTTGTCGCCTAGGCCTCGGTTCATTCTTTCTTTCTGGCATTCACCCCGCGTGCCAGCCCCCCGATTGCTGCCAAGACGTATCTCTTTATGGACCCTCTCACCAATTGACATTCGTTATATATCAGCATCATCTCCCATGCTGAACTGACCTCTCTCCCCGCCAATTTTCTTCCACGCCTCCCTCCGCTTGTAAAAACCCAATCGGTGACTGACTGACCACCGATCGCCCATCATGTCTGTCGTCTTGACGATATCGGCTGTCGCCGCCATCCTTTATGTCCTCTGGACACTACTGCTTCGCTGGCAACATGCTCAGAACGCTCGCCGCTGGAATTGCGGTTCCATCCCACACTACCCTGGAGACTGGCTCGGAACCAATACTCTCAAGGAAGCCCTTCGCTATGACAAGGACCGCAACCTGCCTTATTTGTCGCGTCACCGTATTGAGAAAATGTCTGCCAGCCAGAACCGCTACACCACCACTTTCCAATTCCGCCAGCTGGGACAAGATATCATCTTGACATGTGAACCCAAGAATGTTCAGGCCGTTCTGGCTCACCAATTCAAGGACTTTGAGCTTGGCACTCCCCGCCGCAATGCTTTCCACTCGCTCTTGGGCAATGGAATCGTATGTCCACTGACCTCACCTAACTTTTCTACTTGAGACTAACGGAGGTCCACCATTGTTTAGTTCACTGCCGATGGCGAATACTGGACCCGCTCCCGCGGCCTTCTGCGGCCCCAGTTCACCCGCGACCAGATCAGTGATCTGGATCTAGAGGAGCGGCACGTACAGCAGGCTATGCGCCTCATGCCCGTGGATGCTACTGGCTGGACCGAACCCACCGACATTCAGACTATCTTTTTCCGGTTGACCCTCGACTCGGCTACGGAGTTTCTCTTCGGTGAAAGCGTTGAGAGCCAGGCTGCTGCTCTTCGTAGTGGCAGCAAGACTCAGGATGACTTTGCTACTCAGTTCGACCGCGGCCAATGGTATGCGGCACAGCGCGCCCGTTTCGAGAAGATCTACTGGATTGTCAACAACAAGGAGAGCCGCGAAGTTGAGAACTTCGTTCACGCCTACGTCGATCGCTTTGTGGATGCTGCTCTCAACATGGATGCCGAGAAGAAGCCTTCTCACTACGTCTTCCTCCATGCCCTCGCTGAGATGACCCGGGATCCCGTCGAACTACGTTCTCAGCTGCTCAATATCCTCCTCGCCGGACGTGACACCACTGCTTCCCTCCTCAGCTGGTGCGTGCTTCTTCTTGCTCGTCACCCCGAGCAGTACGCCCGCCTCCGCGCCGCCGTCGTCGAAGAGTTCGGCTCCTACGCTTCCCCCAAGGAGATCACCTTTGCCGGCCTCAAGGGCTGCAAGCCGCTCCAGAACGTCCTCAACGAAACCCTCCGCCTCTACTCGATTGTCCCTGGTAACCGTCGCATCGCCGTCAAGAACACCACCATCCCCACCGGCGGTGGTCCCAACGGCACGGATCCCGTGTACGTCAAGAAGGGTCAGGCCGTATTCTACAGCACCTTTGTGATGCACCGCCGGCCCGACCTCTGGGGCGCGGATGCGGATGAGTTCCGTCCGGAGCGCTGGGAATCCCGTAAGCCCGGCTGGGAGTACCTTCCCTTCAACGGTGGCCCCCGCATCTGCATTGGCCAGCAGTTCGCTTTGACGGAAGCCGGCTACGTGATGGTGCGCTTGCTGCAGCGGTTTGACCAGATCGAGGGCGTCGGCAAGACGGCCGCAGGCGAGATTGCCATGGCGGTGAGCCTGACCAATGCTCCCGGTGACAACGTGACGGTCCGGTTGCACGAGGGGAACTAGGTATATGGATGAGGTAGTTGTATTGGGGTTTCTTTGTGAGATTAGCGATTTTCATAATGATCTGATTCTATCAAAATACATAGACTTTCTTCTTGCTATACCGATACGAGCCTTCATAGAATGCCGCGTAACCCCTAGATCTAGTCTCCAGTGGCCGTGTAGCACTTGGTTTCGGGTATGCGCAGTGGATGGAAGCTCTTTGCAGGCTACGGGAGATGGCACGGGGTGGTTCAGTTTTGTACATTGCATTTACACCAGGCCTACAAACGGGCGGAGGCGCATGAACGCGTGTACAAGGTCTCGGAGACCTGCAGAGGGATCCGCTGCACGGTGCGCCTGTTGCCGTTGCGGTTCCACCCGCTGTATATAGTGCTTCTTCTACAGCGAAGAGGTGCCTGTAGCACGTCCACTTCAATTCTTTTATTGTAGTGGATAAGAACGGAGAACCCGCCTTGAGGACCGTCAGAGGAATTATTCTTTGTAGACTCCAGGTACCAGGTACCTGTCCAGCATGTGACTGGTGGTCCAGTGCTGGGTACTGGGTACATACAGTATATGGGCGGTGAATTGGCAGCCATAGTCGCACTCGATGAAGAGAAATGGAACCATGGTGAGATGAGAGATCTCTAGAAGAAGACATATAGGCGTGGTTACCACTCGAGCGACACGCACAATAGCAAAAAGACTGTGTACAATAAATTTCTTGCATCCATAGAGTCGATCCTTCACCGCTCACCATACCCCACCCCACCTCACCCCCTCGCAAGACAGTAATGCCGGCAGAAAACGAAATCCCACGGCCCAATGCCGCCATCGCGGGATTTTCCGTTCCCTCAACTTCTCTAACTTTATCACTTCCATACCTTCTTCCAAACCTCTTCAAGCCAAGTTCCTACAAACCACAAAACAAAATGCCCATCCTCACCACCTTCCCCCTGCCCGCCTCCCCGGCCGCCCTCCAGCTACCCGAGGGGTCCTCCACCTCCGCCGCCCCGTTCTTCCTGGCGTTCGTGACCTCGCCCGACCCGGCGACGGGACAGTCGTGGTGCCCGGACGTGCGCGCCGCCTGGCCGGTCCTCGAGGCCGCGTTCTCCGCCGCCGAGGCTCCGCGCCTGGCTGTTGTGGAGGTAGGGCAGAAGCCTGAGTATGTTTTTCCTGACCTTTTTGCTTTGCTTTTACAGTGTTTGGTTTGACTATGCAGCGGGTGCTGTGCTGAGACATCTGTTGCCTTTTTTTTTTTTTGGTTTGGTGTGTTTGTGTGGTGGTGAAAGACGGCTAACAGAATATGCTCCTCCCACTTTCCGCGAATAGATGGAAGGATCTTGCGAACATCTACCGCACGACGTGGAAGGTCCCGTGCATCCCCACGGTGATTCGGTATGAGGTTGTAGCCGGGCAGACGGTGGAGACGGGCCGGTTGGCGGAGGGGGAGATTCTGGAGAAGGGGCGGTTGGAGGGGTTGATTCGTGGGATTTGAAGGGTGGGAACTGTTCTTTATGAGGTTACGATGGGCCCTTAGGGAGGGAAAGGGGGTTGGTGTATTGTGTTTTTTTTTCTATGCTATGAGGTGTGCTGATGAGAGAGAAGAATGATATCATGTTCGTTATGACAACTTTGCGTGTAAGTGTTAGTAGGCTAGGGAGCTTACGCGGTTGCAGCTGAGCTGGACTGCAAGGTTAGCCATGGTGTTGTTTTGCGCATTGTCTTTGGGAACGAAGTACCCGATTTCTTTTATCCTGGGGCGGACGGTTAGGCTGACCACCATGGAGATTAGTTGGGATGATCAACGGGTTATTTCAAGCGGAGAGGTGGACGATCCATAAGCATGTATTCGCACGAAAGATGACTGATCTTATTCAATGGATCGGATCTAAAGAGCCGGTTTCATCTGCTTTGATGGCAAAGCCTGTGAGGAGGTGTAGTGGTAGTCACCACAAATAGAAGGAGATGATATTGTATGCGGCTTACTGCTTGTCATACTGCCTGCGGCCTAACCCAACGTCATGCCCATTTCAACAGAGCCCAGAGCCACTCTGAACATGCACAGATGTAGGCGAGTCCCTTTGCAGGGTCATACGAACCTCTTGGTTCTATTCCGCAGCAGTAGCGGACGGTCAGGTAGTGTAGTGCTTGGATAGTAGAGGCACTTTCGAGCCGGAACAAGACTGGTACAGATCAATCTAAAGCTTACCATTATTACCGAGACAGGCCCTGTTGCAATTTCCGAGAGTTACTTGCAGCGTGTATCTGAAAGTATGAAATTGTACGACAATCATGTTTGTCAGCCTTATATAGCCATGAACAAGGGGGAGTGGGGAATATGGAGAACGACAAATTTACTGAATCCCAATTTCCTAGTAAATAGTGATGTTGGTCTTGAGCTCTTTCGTATATCCGGGGGTGGGGGGTGGGGTGGAATTAGGGCTCCAGGGACACGGACGTGGTTTGAGCTGAGAACGCGCCACAAACCCTTGGGGTCTCCAGCCGCAGCTGGAGACGAAGACTCGAGGGAAATGACCACCAATCAACTGCAAAGAACAGTTCAGCTGAGATGCAAAGAGGTCCTCAGCTACTGACATGGAGAACAAAAGATGGTCATTTCTGCCGAGCAGGCAATTTGTAGCGACGGACGGACACCACATGAATGTACAGTACATCAATGATAAGCCCGGCTGATTCCCCTACCTCTTGGTCTTCTGAAAGGAAGAGAAGGTAAATAACTCCTTTGGGAGATCTCAAATGATCTATTAATCTTCACCATTCAAAGAGAGAACACCATGCCCCGGCCCCTCACCCTCACCCCCAAACCCCAACCCGCGCGGAAGCGCCTCATCGTCTGCTGCGACGGCACCTGGCAATCCGCCGTCTCCGGCCAAGCGAGCATCCCCTCAAACGTGACCCGGCTCTGCCGCGCCATCGACAGCGTGGGGATCGACCCGCACGACCACCAGCCCTGGCAGCAGATCGTCTGGTACGACTCCGGGGTGGGCACCAACACCACGGCGGCGGGCCCGCTGCGCAACTTCGTCGAGGGCGCCCTGGGCCACGGGCTGGAGGGCAACATCGTCGAGGCCTACCACTTCTGCGCCCTGAACTGGAACCCGGGCGACCAGATCCTGTGCTTTGGGTTCTCGCGCGGCGCCTACACCGCGCGCGCCATCGCCGGCCTCATCTCGGACATCGGCATCTGCCCGCCGCACCAGATCGCGAATTTCCCGGCGCTGTGGAAGGTGTATAAGAAGACGCCGGCCGGGGAGCGGTTCTATGGCAGTGATGCCTATTATGAGTTTTTCCGGGGGCGCCAATCCTCCTTCGGCGGAGAAGAGGGGGAGGAGAATGGGGCAGAAGAAGAAGCGGGTTCTTGGGAGTCAGCCGCAGAATGGGCATCGACCCCCGAGTCACGGCAGGTGCAAGTGGTTGGGGTCTTCGATACCGTCGGAAATCTGGGCTTTCCAGAGCTGTTCGGCCATGAGCTCCCTGCCTGGCTGACCTGGACTGATAAGCCTGAATGGCACAATGTCGGTCTTTCGCCGGGTAAGCGACCGCTCCCGACTGCCGTTGGCTCAAATTAAGTTTATACTGAACCCCGAACCCAGATATCAAAAATGCATTCCAGGCGCTGGCTTTGGACGAGCACCGCCGACTATTCCGGCCGGCCATGTTCTTCGTCCCAATCCCAAAGGATATCCCAGAAAGCCAATCCCGAGCGATCAAGCAGCAGGCACGGGACACCACCCGCCAGTGGCTCGAACTCGTAAGAAGCGGCACTGCCAGCGTCGAGGAGCTACACGCAGCCGAGAAACGACGCAACGCGGCTGCCCGCGAGCTTTTGGCATGGGAGGACAGTCAAAAGGAGCCGTCCCAGCTGACGCAGGTCTGGTTTCCGGGGTTCCACATCCACATCGGGGGCGGATCCAGCCAGACCCTCAAGAACAAGGGCAACATGGAAGAGATGTCCCATATCGTCCTCGCCTGGATGCTGGACCAGATCCAGGGGTACGTCTCTCTCGACCGCGAGCTCCTCCAGCTCGAGGAAAAGACCCGAGAGGATCGTCTGCGGCGGATCAACGAGGCGCTGGAGGCGTACCAGAAGAAAGAGCGTCGCCGGCAGTCCGAGTCCTGGGCCCAGTGGCTGTGGCGCACGGGGCAGGGTCTGATTGCCGCCATGCAACACCCGCTCACCCCGTCAAGCGATGCTCCCCCGGCCTATCGCCAGATCCGTCAGTACGGCTGGGCCACCGGCGACTTGCCCGACAGCTTCGACTTCACCTACCGCCTGAACGGGTCGCTGGCACGCAGGCCGCGTCGCTATTTTCGGGATGTCCGCACGAATGACATTCTCGGGCATACTTGCGAGTACATCCATCCCACGGTGGGGTTTCGACTGAAGCACGTGCCTGGATATCGTCCGGCTGGGCTGCGTGATGGCCAGTATGCTCGTCAGCTTAGGGCTGACGGCCAGGGCTATGAGTATTGCTTCAGGTACCCCGGTGAGAAGGATGAAGAGGTCTTGCCGGAGTGGGAGATGGCTAGAGATGAGCTCTCCTGGGAACGGTGGGTCGTCAAGGGAAAGGAGGCGTTGGCGTATGTGGATAGCTTACTCTATTGACCTGATTGTTAATCGTATGCGAGCGAGTGGGTGGGCCCACTGGTATGCGTGCTTACATCACTTCCAGCTTCTGCATAAAGCGGCCTGCTTGTATAGGTGTCTATTGGGGTGTTCAGCATAATAATATACCTTGGAACCTGCCGAGTACCCTGGGAAGATCTCGGAGATCAGGTAGTAGTTATCACAACACAAATAGCCCTAGCCTCACCACATTCAGACCTCATTCGTCTGAAAGATTTCTAAGATCGCGGCCGCCATATATAAGTCTGGTCCTCCTCTCGCTTTCCCTTATTACGATTCGTATGTGTTCTAAACATAGTACTGATTTGAAAATAACCCGTATATAAATTAAAGTTCTAAAGAAACAAGCACATACGACCATAGGGTGTGGAAAACAGGGCTTCCCGTCCGCTCAGCCGTACTTAAGCCACACGCCGGGAGGTTAGTAGTTGGGTGGGTGACCACCAGCGAATCCCTTCTGTTGTATGTTTTTGCTTCTTGCTTTCTATTATCACACCCTGTTCATGATTAAAGCAGCTCCGCTGCTTGACCTTCAAAGAATATTGGTCTCAAAGCAACGCCAAGAGTGTGCCGATACTTCCCAACTCCGACATGGTAGATTGAATGCAACATCTTGGCTTTGCAGTGCAGGTCCCACTGGTCACTGCGGCGAACTCCTTCAATGAAGACTATCAGTGTAAAGTAAAGCAGTATCGAAATGAGCTCTAGCTCTAGCTTTTCATGGCGTCCTTCCACCTTATTCACTCGCCTGACTTCGTGTTAGACAGTTCCACTGATTTAATGTACCTCACCAAACACCCAATGCCGAGGATATGTCCCAAAGCCCGCACCTCACTGTCTTGACGGGGCTCTGTGACACCATCCCAATTGTTGTAGATAATCCCTATCGCCGGACATAAGACCTCTTCCCCTTCAAATAAAACAGGATGCAAGAGTGTCAGGCACCAAATGCGCGGCAGCAGAGTATCTACTTTGATTCAGGTCCAGACTCGAGTTGGCGAAGCTGGGATCGGCGGTTGGTGGGTTAGTGGTTGGGGGCTCCACAGCCGCCAAGTCTAACTGGAAGGGCCAGGCACAAAGATGCTGTGATATCGAGGTGCCATCTAACGTGGGATCCGGAAGTGGATCTGTGAGATCCATCACGGTTGAGTGTGATTACACTGCCAAGTCATTAGATTCATACATTTAGACTGCCGTTTTTGGAGACCTCTTTCGGGCAAGGGGGGGGCGGCGGCGCTTGATCAGAAGGTGTTCACTTACTCGAGCCAGGGGAACTCGTTGATCAAGGAACAGTCGAGCGGATCCTCCCTGATCGATGAAAAGAAAACCCCCTTGGCGATCCGCAGGATATCGGAGCTGAGGACCTTTCCCGTCAGGGGCCCGAGATGAATCATATTATCCAGGCATTGCACCGCCTGCTCGACCACCGCAAAGGTTTATTTCGCATACGCGATCGCGGTGGCCGGGTCAAGCACCTGGTACAGCAGCGTGATGCAGGCGGCCACCAAATAGCTGGCGAGGGATTTGTCGGAGCGGGCGTCTGGCTGTCGCGTACCCAGGCTCTCCTGGGCGAAGCGGATGATGTTGCAGGCCGAGCTCATCGAGATGTCGATCGACTCTTGCAATCGGATGACCCCCGGCGCATGCTGCTGGGCCTCGCGGTTCAAGTCGAAGAAGGTGGTGAACACGACCATTGGCCGGTGGATGAGCATGCGCATCGTGTGGTAGAGCAGCCCCAGGTGCAGGCGTTGGATCTCCTGCCACCCTTCGCCGACGGAGGAGTCCTCATCTAGGAAGTTCAGGTAGTCGATAACTTCTCCGCCATGGCGAGGAGACGCGCGTCGAGCTCTTGCATGTTGCTCTCCACCAAGTACTGTTCCGCCGCGCACAGCGTGCCCAGCGGGAAGATGCGGGTCAAGATCCCATCGACTAGTTTGCCGATTTCCGCGAGCACGCGCACGAAGGCACTCCGATCGATGGCAAGTTGTGAGGAGATCGTGCACTGGGCAGGGAACCGCGGCCTTGCTGCGGTCATTGTGTGTACCGATGACGTTCCGGTCAACGGGTGGAGCTTGAAGCTCCTAGCCGCCCATGGCAAGCGAGGCGTAGCAATTCGATACAGTGGCGGACGTGGTGAGGGAATGCCATATGCGGGAGTCCCTCATCGCTGGTGAGATTCTGGCCACGGGCCGCTAAATCATACAAGGCCCAGTAGCCCTGTCGAATGCCATTCTAGTTACCTCAATGACTGTCAGTTACTTGCCTGCGCACATCTAGAGACTCAATCCCAAGAGCGCCATACCAGGCAGTGCAAATGGTGAAAAACAGCCAGCGCTGACCGGTGGCTGGTAAGGGTCGGATGCTCGAAAAAGCCTTTACGCTTAGGGAACAGTATCTCCCATACCTCGTTGGTCAGGGGGAATTGTTCATCCTGGAAGGTGCTGAACACATATGGAGTGGTGGCCACAAATGCAGGAAAATGAGGCAGTGCTTATATCGCTGGTGCAGGAGAGCTCACAAGGAATCGAGGGAGGTGCTTGGTATACTCCAGCAGCGAAGCCGGTCAGAAACGACACTATTACCAGCGAGGAGGTGTACAGAGTTCGGCGCGTGTTCGCCCCCCACCGTCCCTTGGTCTGGACAGCATCGTGCTCGCCTATCAAACCGTACTCGGGAGATAGCGTCATGGTTCTGTTTGGTTGGAGATGGGGAGGGAGATGAGGGGCATTTGACTCCACTTTATAGGCCGTTCGTTCTGTGGCATGATCCTCAAAGTTGAAGCTTTAATGATCTGCAGGAGCATTTAGCCCCCAAATAGGCTGCAGCTGCTCCCGTCTTGTCCAAGCTCAACCTCGTTCTATAGCCCGCAGCTATATCTATGTGAGAGAAATACCCATCACATTCCCTCATGGAGACAAAAACATAGCCAAGGTTGGACTGTGGTGGGGTGATTGGGTGGTTGTGTTATCACTGGTCTATACTATGCCCTTCCAGCTTTTTCCTTACATTTTCACTTTATGCAACAAAATTCTAACTCGACAGACTATAGGTGCTCAGGGCATTTCCGTCCCTGCTTCCTTGTGCCTGGAGTAAGTGTTCTCATTCCGCTATCTTCCTTCTACTAGTTAATGTTTGCTCATCGAAGCACCTTTGTACAGATACGCAACCTGGGTTGGGGCTGCATGTATGGGTGGGCCCCTCTGATTCCGTCCCAACCTTTCTTAAAGCTCTGATTATTACACGGTAGCTATCAAGTTTTCAATTCTGCTATCGTACCGAAGGGTCTTTCGGATTCCCTATGTTATGCACGCCACAGCGGGGGTGGCCGCGGTTGTGTCCGCCTGGGCGCTGGCTTGTGTATGTCATGATCCTTTTATCGACTTGCGTGCTGATCAGCTAAGCTCTTTTTTTCCTTTTTCGCGTGCCGCTAGGCTCTGATTGTTTGCCTCCAGTGCATCCCTTTGCAGGGTTACTGGGATAAATCTATTCCCGCCAAATGTTGGGTCAATAGCCGGGATTATTTTCTGGGCAAGTCTATCCCAGACACGGTCACAGATCTGTGTATACTGGCTATTCCGCTAAAACCGATCTGGGAACTGCACACCAACCGAATGCAGAAATTCGTGCTTACGCTAACTTTTCTCGTGGGTGGGCTGTATGTTGTCATTCCCAGAGTGGTTACTGAATCTGATGAGGGGTTTTGGGGGAGAGGGCAAGGGTGTGCTAAACGCTGACTGCATCGCTAATGTGACCGTCATCTCCATAATCCGGCTTGTGTGCCTGCTGAGAGTCGATCTGAGCTCGGAGGACATTACCTGGAACTTTGTACCGTACCTGATCTGGACGTGTGTCGAGTTGAATGTTGGCACAGTTGCTGGTAAGTCTAGTGACTCCATACCTTCCTCCCCCTCGCTCCTACACTGGCTAAGCTCGGAGGGTGACGTTCACAACCACAAGCGTGTCTCCCCTGCCTGCGACCCTTGTACACATATCTCCGAACCCGGATGGGGTTGCCGAGCGCTTTGTCCAGTCTCCAGGCGGGCGAGAGCAGATCGTGGCCCAGCAGTCGATCGAAATCCGTCGGCAAGGTTCGATGGCGGCTGTTCACGGAGGAAGATGAACACTACGGGGACGGGGTGCCGATGCAAGCGGGGATCAATGTCCAGCAATACTATCTGGTGCAGACTAAGACCGCGTCCCACAATGGTGACGTAGCTTCATCGTGCTAAGGGGCTCGGGCGCGGACTCAGAATAAGCACTAGCTAGAAGACTAGTCAGGGGTCAATCGGGCAATCCTTTGAAGCCATTCCTTTTTCATCTGACGCATGTGGCTCGTGCTTACCCGAGATTGGGGCCTAAGTTACTGTGCATGTATCGAGTTAAGACAGTTAATGTATTGTATGTGCTTCTTTATATAAAGAAAAGGGAGAAGATCTCTTCCTTTCCTGCTCTGTCTTTCCTTCCGCTGCCAAAATCCAAGAATCTCAGAGCAACAACCAATAATATAACCATGACGACCCCTTCCCCAACCACCTATTTCCTACGACGCGATCGATCCGAAGCGGCTCGGTAGGCCTTACCCCAATCATCATATCTTGTTCTTCTTTTTTTTTTTTTTATTTTTTTTTTATTTTTTTTTTTTTGCCCCATGATTTCTTCTCCGCAAACTCTCACAGATTTTTCAGCCTCGACGCGCAACATCTCCTGTGGCAGCTGCACACAGGATATCTCCTGCACCCGGAAATTCCTCGCAAAGATGGAATGGCGATTGCCGACATTGGAGCTGGAACGGGGTTAGAGAACCTTCCTTCGTCTTCCCCAACGCTCAATCTCTTCGAAAACCGTGCAAAATCCAGGATCTGGGCCCTTGAACTTGCCCCCAACCTTCCCGCAGACGCTCGCATCGTCGCCTATGACATCGCCGACACGCACTTCCCGGCAAAGGAGTATTGGCCTGCGAATGTGCGCTTCGAGCTGCTCGACTCGCTCAGCCCGACAATCCCGGAAGCCCTAATCGGCCAGTTCGACGTGGTGCATCTGCGCATGTGGGCCTTCATCATCCGGGACAACGATCCGAGTGCGTTGATTCGGCATGCTGCGAGATTGCTGAGTATGTTTATGTTAGTTTTGGAATTAGGCAAACAAGAACAAGAGGAAAAAAAAAAAAAAGAAAAAGAGAAACACATAGGGGAAACTATTTCCGAAGAAGTAGAGAAATAAACACGGAAGAGCAAACAGAACCAGGTGGTTATTTCCAATGGGAAGACGCTAGATTCGGCAGTATCGTGCAGCGTGGTCTTCCTGCTCAGCAATTCCGGGAATTGATGAATCGGCAGACGGTGGTGACCGGGCATGATTTCCGGTGAGATTCTCCTTCTGTTTGATTCTTACTTTTGCTTTTCCGCCCTTCGGTTGTCTCTCTACAAAGCAAGTTATCCGCAAGAAACTTTATTCATCAAGACTGATATGGGAATCTCACAGATGGCTCGACAACCTCGCCCACCACATCCAAACCACTGTCTTAGACGACAAATGCGAGAGATTGGAGGTGATCGAGTGCCGGCAGCAAACGCCCTGGGCGACCCCACAGCTCATTCCCCTCGCCACGGATACTTTCATGTTGGCGTTAGAGAATAGCAGTGCTGTTTTGGATAAGCTGCGGGCGGTGGCGCCTTCGGTGCCGAGTCAGAAGGAGTGGTTGGCCGGTCTGGCGGCATTGCATGAGGATCTCATGCGGAAACAGCCCAGAGATGGAAAAGAAGAAAGAGAGGAGTTTCATTGGCTTCCGGTTAGTTTGTTGGGGCGGAAGATGCGGCAATGATTTCTTGCGAGGTCATTGAATTATTTGTGGAGTGGCATCAAGAAGTGAATACGAGTTCTGTGGGAGAGGCATAAGGCTATTCAAATGAAAATGTTATCAGGAAGACGTCGACGGCATTGAATTGTTGCACGGCGCGAGAGGGCTGAGTACTACTACCACCTGAAATAAAGAGATTTCCAGAGACAGGTGTCCAAGAGTTCTATTTAGTGATCATCATGTGGTCTTAGATCTACTAAACTTATTCAACCTACCTACGTAACTAAAGCTAGAGGCGGCTTTGACGCAGTATGTAAGAGCATGAAGAAGCTAAGGTTTCCGGTCCCAAAAAAGGCTTGGAAGGTAACTACCATTCACAGAAACAAGATGAAGGATATGCAGGAACTCAATGCTTGGAGGTGTGGTTTGACAAGCTATTTCGCTCTGCCGATCTTTACTGCACACATCGAGATACCTCACAAACCACCCCCCGCAGTAGCACGCCCTCCACCTTCGTAGTCAGTCATCTTCTGCAGAGACAACCGGGCCAGCTCTTGAGCGTGTACGCCAACCCTTGCCTCATTTGCAGCGAATGCAAATTGATCCTTCCACTGCCGCCACCTCTCCATGCTCCAGATCTCCGACCGTTCGACGATCTTCTCCCTCTTCAGACACTGTTGACAGACATAGCGCCCCACTTCAGCACGGAGCAGCCACTGCGCACCTGCGATGATCCAACCGGCAAGCCATCGGAACCCTTGATCCTCGCCAAACCCTTGACCCTCGGCATCATTGAGATCAGAGTACCAGGGATGCGAAGGAAGGATGCCCTCCAACGAAGAGAGCCGCCCACAATCGATCAGATCCAGTGCCGACATGCGCGCGATGGCAGACTGGAAGTTCCGCAGTCGGAGATCTATCTCCGTAGGGGGCAGTTGCTTAGCCGCATAAAGGCGGTATAAGTAAGCTGCGAGACAGGTTGGTCAGGATGTTTTCACTTCAAACTCTAGCCGGTAAGAGAAAAAGGAAAATCATCGGAGAGATAACAAGAGAAAGAAGGAATACCCTGTTCTTCGTAATGAGCCACCATCTGCAAGAGTAACCAGTGGCCCCCCATCGGCCATACTTCCAGAGTCGTATACATGTTCTCCTCAACTTTTTTATCGGAGGATGATGCCATAGTAACAATCTTACGTCTTGGTAGATCACGCAGCGCCTCCAGAAACGCGATCAGCCGGTCTTGGCCGACATGGCCGGGCGGGAAGGCCGAGCCTAGTCGGAAAACCCAGTGCATAAACATTTCGATATGTCCTCCGGGGTTCGGGCAGTAGATTCCCAGCTCTCTCTCATCTTTGCCGTCAGGTAATGGTAATTGGCGACGGATCTCGTCGGGCAAGCTATCGGGATGAAAGTGATACGCCCGGTGCAGTTTGTACAATCGCTTCGAGTCGTGTGTGATGCAGGTGTCTATTTCTATTGCAGCCTCTCGAGGGGTAACTTCACCCTCAACAAGTGCAACCAGTTTGTTCTTATAAAAGAGGTCTTCTTCATCATCGTGGGGCTCGAACATGTTGAAGTCAAGCACAGTATCGAATCCGGGGCTCTCGGTGCTCTCTGTAGAAGACGACATTGCGAGGGTGAGGTTGTCGCTTTGGCTTTGTCGAGAAAGGACTTTGAACCGAAACGAAGAGCAGCTGGATGTGGGGTGATGAGGATTATTTTCTAGTTGTGGCGTGGCTTAGACATAGGTAAGCACTAAATTAGTGAATACAGCTTGGTTGCAGTTAGGGCTATCCTTCCCGGTCGGATTTGCCCGTGGCCGAGCCCACGGAACAGGTCCCGGCGTGCACAGGCCTATAAGAAGCGCGACTCTATTCAACATTATCTTGAAGATGAGTCAGATCAAATGACATTGCGGCTGTCTACATTTGTTAAGGAAAATTATTTGAGCTTTGCGTGGGATAGCGCCCCCAAGCTTGGGGCCCTTGGCCCCAGTTTGCCCCTGCCAGTCTCTGATCACTCTGCCCCAATACAAACATCAGAAATCACTTCAGCGATTCATACAGACGAACTCGCTAAGATAAACACAGGAGTATCGTACAGTCAAAGTCTAGCCTGTCTGATATAGACGCTGCAACAGCTCCAGTAGAATATGATCTTTTCTCGCGTAGCTAATTCCGGAACGCATAACAAGCAGTATGTGTTTCTATTGGCGAACTAAGCTGCTTGTGTCAGTAGTGCTGATGTAGGTATCAAAGACATCATGTCTCACTTGCTAGTTGCATTTCAGTAGGCATGCATCGAGGAGTCCAGTATAATTTCAATCTAATGTTGGTCAGTAGCTCTCTGCCACGAGGACAACGCCCTATAAAGCCAGAAATATTCTTTCTCTGAACGACCTTGTTCCATGCACTATCAGACAGACCAGCTCCCCTTCTTAATCCTCCATTCCCTCACTACACACATTTGTTTATATGGATACGAGGAAAGCACTGACGTTCTCAACTTCTTGGAGGCACGTGCCGTAAGTTTTGATGAAATTGTCTAATTCCCTGGTTCCTCTCCTTACCTGTTCAGCTTCACACACCCCTCCCAAATGCCTCACCCCGCCCCATAGAAAATAATGCCTGACGTGAGATTATGGTAGGGTACTATCACCTGCGCACCCAAGACCAACAAGAGTACGGTCAAAAGCTTCAAGATAGCCGCCTCCACCGCCGAGGCTCAAGCCAAGTCCGGGGGCTTCGGTACGACCACCAAGAGCGGCTACCCGCATAAGTACCAGAACTTCAACGCCCTGACCTGGGGCGTCCATGAGTGTGACGACCAACCGAAGAACAGTGACAGCAAGCTGCTGGAGTATCCGGTCTATTGGATCGGAGCCTCGCGGAAGGCGTGGTCCAAGGACGAGAAGAAGAAAGCCATGGGAACCAACTGGGAGACCCCGATGCGAGTCGTATACATGGAAGGGAGTAACGAGGAACTGATCTACTGCGGTGTGATGATACATGAGACTGTGGAATCGAGCCTCTCGGGCACGGATGCGTTTGTCGTGTGTTCCTGAGGGGGCCCCTCCCGCCGGGCTCTCTTTACCCCTGAGACTGGGATTTGTTTTCTTTTCTTTTCTTTTTTTTTTTTCTCTCTCCCTCCCCTGTTATGAGATATGGTGATTCTGGTCGGAGAGTACCGATAGGACGTGTCTTTCGAGTATGAAACTGATATCTAGTGGCTGGTAATATGAGGTTCTTATGCTGTGTTTTGAAGTCGATGACCTATAATTGAGCTACATCTCATTTCCCCCAGGCCAAGAAGGACGAAAATATATGTACAAATCCGGAATTCTCTAGCCTTTACAGAGAAATCCAAAATACATTGTATGTCGCAGCAACATAAAGAAAGCACGTACTTGGCGAAGAGTCAATATATACCATAAGATTAGGGTGAAACAAATAAAACAAATAAGAAAACTTTGAGCTGTTCACGTGGTATCAATATATTGCTGGAATACCAATAACAATTAAAAAATGCACAAAGATGCCATTAGGAGGGCCCTACCACTTGGTTGGAGCCTTGCACACTCACAAATTGACCATATGATTGACCATCGGGTGGGTTAGAATGTCTGACCTAGAATCGGAGATTAGCATGGATTTCGGGTTTAACTGCGATCGTCGCCACTTTGTCTCAGACCGCGCAGCCGACGCCCCGCAGGACCCGACCTGCACTTCCTTTTCATTGGCCGTGTCATACACCTGCATGATGTCTAACTCAAAAGAGAAATAACCTTCCTCAGGGTTCAGGGCGCTTCCATGGATGCATACGAGGTAGAAGAACCAACCTTGTTAATACTTGGATAGAAGATTAGGACGCTCGGCCAGGGTTGCTTAAATACCGGCAGATGGCGCTCCGCATGAGTGTCGGCCCTCATGTTCAAATACACAGTCTCGAAACTGCGAATCTTGCCAGGACTTCAATCAAAGTACTTTCCTGTTCCCAAAATGACGAAAACTCTCGCATTCGGCGACCAGCAGGTCCCAGTTCCGGGATTCGGCGCCATGGGCCTCAATCACGGCATGGGAACAGATCTCGATGCTACCCAGTCCGAGGCTGTTCTTCTGAAAGCTATTGAGCTCGGATGCACCTTCTGGGATACTGCGGTAAGTCTAGGTTTCGAAAAACGCCCAGGGCCTGTCTTCTCTAATGGCCTTGCACGAGACAGGTTGCCTACAAGGCCGGCGAGAACGAGAAGCTGCTGGGGGACTTCATCAAGAAGCACAATGTTCGCGATAAGCTCTTTGGTGGGTCAAGTTAAACCCTTTCTCTCTCCCTCTCTCTCTTTTCTTTTTCTCGAAGCACCCTAAGCTCACATCATAGTTTGGTGTAGTTGCCTCGAAATGTGGCTTCGAAGTCTTCGGACCCGAGCGCAAAGTCACCAACTCGGCCGCTCACATCAAGGAATACCTTGAGGGCACCATTGAGAGACTTGGTTTCACACCAGATCTCTACTATCTTCATCGAATCGATCCCAGTATGTCCCAGACAACCAGCCGACCGTGGAGCCGTGATGTTGAAATCTATGCTGACCGAGACTTTGCTGTGGAAAGACACCCCTCTTGAGGAGTCCATCGGCGCCCTCGATGAACTCCGCCGAAGTGGCAAGACCAAGTACATCGGTCTGTCGGAATGCTCTGCTGCAACCTTGCGCAAGGCCCACGCCAGTTCGTCTACCCGCAGTCAGCTTCATCCCTTAATGCTCAGCGCTAATATTCTCTTTTCTCTAGTCGCCAAGATCGACGCGGTCCAAGCGGAGTACTCTGCGTTTGAGACGGTGCACGAGACGAGTGGCCTGATTGACACGGCCAAGGAGCTGGGGATTGCCTTTGTAGCCTTCAGCCCGCTGGGACACGGCTGGCTCGTGGACAACTTTGACTACAAGTCTCCTGATGACTTTGCCGCGGATGATTTCCGACGCACCGGTATGTTCACCCACACTGTCTACAAATCCACGCACATCCCCCTCCCCCACCTTTCCCTGGCGCGCAAGGGAAGCTGACTTACCGACAAAAAAAATCTAGTCCCGAAGTTCCAAGGCGAAAACTTCTACAAAAACAAAGCTATCGTCGATGAGATCAAGAAACTGGCAACTCGGAAGGGTTGCTCGGTCGCGCAGATCGCGCTGGCGTGGGTGGCTGCGCAAGGGCTCATCACCATTCCGGGAACAACCAAGCCCTCGCGGTTAGAGGAGAATTGGGAATCGCGCAATGTCGAATTGACACAGGAGGAGCTCACCGAGATGAGACGGCTTGTGGATAACTCCAAGCCGAGTGGAGAGCGCTTCAACGAACTGTTTGGATCGTTGTGTGGTCATTAAGGCATCAAGCACATCCAGCTGACGGCAGGCTATTTTGGCGGAGGCTGGCCTGACTGGGATTGTGTCCTGGAACTGAGCCCGGAATTCCGCTCAATGCTTGAGATTAGACGTATGGAATGGAGATATATGCTTACATTAAGGAGCTCAGCTACTGTGGTGTATAAATGTATTGATCTCCTTGGGCTGGCTTGCATGCCGACACGAGCGGAACTCAACAACTGTGTAAGCTTAGCAGTAAGCATGGCTCTGCACGGTTCACGTGTACTTTCGCAAGAGAACCGGGAGATCTTGAAACCGATAGATCGTCGTCTCGATAGCAGCGACTTTGATTACAATTTTGCGGGAATAGCCCGCACTGGGCTTCGTGGTGTGTTGTACCTATGACGACATTGGGGACGCCAGATGAAGGTGACAGTTTTATGGACGAGACTAGAGGTTGACGGAACAACAGCGAAAGGATGGCCCGAGTCCCATAGATCACCACCCACAATCATGTCCCAAGGTTTAAGACTCTCCATCGTTACTTTACCGGGATTTAAAGCCGCAAGCAGGATGTAAGAGATTAGTGAAACCTAATTCGAGCTGTGTATGTTACGCTACTCAAAGGCTGAGGGGGGTCTGTGTACAGCAATCCGTCTTGAAGTCTTTCAGTTCACCGGGCTAGAATGGTGTGAAGGCAGATAGAATCTTTAACTTTGTGCGACATGAAAAAGCGGCTCCTCATTGCGACGTGCTCTCCAGGCGTTGGTCGAGTGAAAGATTTCCCAGCAGCCCCGGAGCACCCATTCCCAGGAGCGAGAGAACGGCTCAGTGATCTCCCACCCGCTGGGATCCCACGGGTCGCTCCAGATGATGATCCCCGAATACTCCCCGTGCACGCTGCCAAGCCCTTTCATAGCCAGGCAAAGCTTGCTTTCGTCGTACGACTCTCCGGCCAGAATCAGATTGTCGCGCATCGCGGGGTGGGGAAGCAGGTCAAGCCACGGATGATGGACAACGGTGCGCTGCACGAGAGTAGGTTGAAGACTGGCGGGAAGCGCCTGCTCCATCTCGTGTGGCCATGGTCCCGGTAAGTTGAAGAACGAGATGGCATCATCGTCCATGTGCTCTGAGGTCAGACCAAGAATCTGCATAGTCTGCAGCTGGCCTCTAGTGAAATTAAACTGTATCAGGTGGAGCAACATATCGGAACGCGGGTCTCCAGATGGATGCTGCTCGCGCGCCACCGCTTCGATGCGCTGCAGCACGCTCTCTGGTCGGCTGATGTCGAGGTCGAGACCGTGGATGCTCTCGACCTTTCTCAGAGTAGCTAGCGCTCTACTCCTCTCATCATCTGGCTGCGTACGTATGGTTCGTTCAGGGTAAGGGGTCCACGGAGACGTCACTGGGGCGCAATCCTGCACCGCAGCAGAGGAGGGGCTAGCACTGCCGTCGTTCCGACGAGCTGACGCACATTGAGAGCCTTCCGCTTTCTTGAGGCCTACAGCACATATAGTCCTTTGATTAGCTTACAAGCCTTCTGCAATGCTTTAGTTCCCATCAAAAGTGGGGGTCATATGGGGCGTTCTGCACGCACGTCGAGCTCTCTGATTCAGCCGGTTTTGCAACCTCCTGCGCAATTTGAGGTCTGCGATACCCGACCAATCCTCCTCTGGCCACTCTTGGATTCGTGCGGTGATTTTTTGTATGCGAATTCGTTTGTTGGCTGACGCGGTCCCAGAGAGGTCATTCTCTCGCGGGACACGCAGCTCATCGGTATTATCCAGGTGGGACATCCTACTACCAGTGGAGATTGCAGATTGTCGTTCCGGGATCCGGGTGTATATGCAGTCGGATGACAAGGAACACTCTAAATATGCTGTTGATGGGGCAGAACAGGAGGGAGAAAGCATATGGAAGTGGGTGCGGAACATGGATCACGGTGGTGCAAGCGCAGAGCTTAAGGGTTTACAATAGTCTTCGCCTGCGATCCCATTCCATGTGAAGTGGGGCCTTACCATTCCTGAATAGTCTTAATGCGATCCACTCTGTCATACACCTGCAGGAACTCTAACCACTTCTGGCGATAGTCCCAGGCTTCTTAGCAGTGACCATGTTATCGAAAGTTCGGGGGCGAGGACTAGTTTGAACCTCTCAGCCTTGTCCTTGGCTGGGTTGCAGACCGGTAACCGCCTATCTGCCATGGTTCGTATAGGAGCACCACCGGATATAACGGGCGTATCGGTTGTTCGTAGATGTTGTTTGCAAAGATGAATCTGTGGTACTTACTGTACCGTGGACTTCAGAAAGCTTATACCGGAAGTGGTTAGTCAGTACGGCTAAAGCTCGGCTAAAGCTTGGCTAGGTAAGGCCGGCCCGGCGAGCTTCAGGGTTCCAAATTTAATCTAGTTCAGCGTGTGGTCGAGAGAGGCGGGAATGGGATAACATACGGAATCTGAAGAATGCTCTTCAAGTGCTATACATTTACCTAGCAAGAAAGAATATATCCTTGGTATAAAATTTCCGAAAGCCGCTACCGTCAGCCTGTTTATTTTGTGATTATAATGAAAGCCCCCTCTCTTAACCAGTGACCCAACCGCACTCTCTGGAGCAGCCAAGTTTAAATATACCTAGTTTATACTCAGCCTACGTCACACGAATTAGTAAACCGTAGTATATCCTGTCAGCCAATCATGCCCACTGGGTAGGTAGTATGACGATCACCTTGCATCTGCTATAACCTGGTGTGACAGAAAATAATGCTTTCTGCCTAAATTATTCGCCAGGATTGCAAACAAGCACAATATGAGTGGCAGGGCTGAAGCTTGAGTACCATTAGCAAGTCACGCCAAGCAGATCTAGCTAGACGATAAGATTACCCTGAGCATGCATTGGGCATACTCCCGCGTATGTGGCTGATCTTGTTTTCTCTGGTCTATATCGGAGACCCGCAACTAAATGAGGAAACTGCCGACTCGCTGAACGGCTATCCCGGATACGATGACATAGGATTGATTACACAACGAGGAGTGATCGCTCAGATGTCGCCAGGCAGATATAAATTTCAAACCATGCACAGCTGAGGAGGCACTGGTAACATACTTTCTGCTTCCATCCATATTCTGTTTCATTCTGGACAAGATAACTCAGTCACGATACCATTGTAACAGAACCAAGCACAATGGCACCTCAAATTTGGTTGATTACTGGAGCGTCATCTGGCTTTGGAGTGCTCCTCGCTGAAGCCGCGCTGAAAGCTGGTCATCGAGTTATTGCCACGGCCCGCAACCCGACCAAGGCTGCCAAGGATTATCCCCAGATTGCATCCTTGGGTGGCACATGGCTCCCCTTGGACGTCACTAGCAAGCAGACGACTTCGCAAGTGGCACAAGCGATCGAAGACCATGGCGGCAGAATTGACGTGGTGATCAACAATGCTGGGTACGGTCTCGTGGGTAGCATCGAGGATATCAGGTACGAGGGCACAAGCCGCAAGTCGGAGGCATATTCCTGGGGCTAAAACATTGCAGCGAAGATGAACTCGACGTGCAGTTCCAGACGAATGTGTACGGCGTGGTCAGGGTTATTAAAGCTGTGCTTCCCCTCATGCGGGCGCAGCGCCAGGGCACCATCGTCAACATCAGTAGCATTGCGGGTTTCGCCGCCGGGCCATCTTCTGCGGCGTATGCCATGACCAAGTTTGCCGTTGAAGGTGCGTGAGTGACCGGCTCGGTCATATGCGAGCGCCCTATCTTTGACTGTCACAGTCTGTGATGTTCCTGCTAACCACCGTCCAAAATTAGCCCTGTCCGAAGCGCTCTCTGCGGAGCTCGACCCATTCAACATCCGCCTCCTCCTCGTGGAGCCCGGGGCCTTCCGGACCAACTTCATCGGATCGCACAGGACTCCCGCTGCTGGGCTAAATGAGGGCTACAAGGACACGCCTCTGGCAGCTGCGATGAGCAAATGGGAGACCTTTGCGGGCAAGCAGAGCGGAGATCCATCCAAGGCGGTGCAGCGGATTCTTGATGTGATTCAACTACAGGGCCAGGGGCAGGGCAAGGAACACCTCCTCCGCCTACCGCTGGGGACTGATTGTTTCCCGCGCATGGTGGAAAAGCTGGAGACTGTGAAGCAAAACCTGGATGAGATGAAGGAAATTGCTTTGAGTACGGATGTGGATCAAGAATGAAGAGATGAAATTATTCTATGATTGGGTGCGAAGCGTGCACGGGGTAAGATGCAGTTTCCCTTGTCGAAGTGGAAGACACCCTGGCTCTAGTGTTCTGAGTGGGTTTCCAACTCCGGGAGAAAAGATGACATTGTTTCCAAGGATGCCCAGATGCACACAGGGTGCTAAGATTTGAGCTCCCACGAGCTCCAAGGTGCAGGTCTTTACCGTACGCGCCCGACACCGTTTGGAAGTGCTACGCCGAACCTATTCATGCTACCTGAACCAACAGGCGCAAGATTGTGTGATCTGGCTGTTGTCATGTCTACCTATGATTTCCAATTTAATCTCTATTATCCTATAGCAATCCCAGGCTCTTCTACGCAGAGCCGTCAAGTATATCTGTCCCTAAGTTAGTTCCATTGGCCGTCAATACTGCCATGAAGTTGAGGTCCTGCGATAAGACGACATTCTGCGATACCTGCTGTTTCTATCGGATAGAGAGATATTTGCCCATAACTCATAAGAAAGAACGTTCTTAGGGATGCTCCGTGCTTCTGTCTGTAGACAGGCCCATCCTGGGACTTTTGCTGACGACTGTGTTTGGAGATCGGGATCCGGAGGAACGAACGGATCTCGGGCGGAGAGGCGAGGCGGACCGGCCCTTGCGTGCTCGCCAGTTTGCGGTAGATTTCGGCGAGGTGTCGGATCAATTGGAAGAACCCGGAGGCATCACAAACGATGTGGTGCAGCCGGATCCCAAGCGCGACGCCGCCGCAAGCAAACCGCGTACGCTGGACGGCGAAGATGGGATCGCGGCAGACGCCCTCGAGGGTGGGATCGAAGGGGGGGCGTCAGAGCATTACCACAATCCGGTAAGCTGGGCATCAGAATCCGGCGAGCACCCTGACCCGAGGTGGCGAGATCCTCGAGTTGCAGGGCACAATCCGCCACAAACAGCTTTGGCTCCAGTGCCGAGACGAGATATGCCGGCTGCTCTGCTGTCGGGGTGGAAGTGCAGACGACCGGTCAGGTGCGGAAAGAGCTTGCTCGAGCTTGAAGATTGGAAGCAACTCGAGTGGAGACGACGGCAAAGCCGAATGCGCGTGTGGATTCTCGTAGATGAATACGACTGCAATGGGAACCGAAGGGAAGACAAGGTGGTTCATGGGACCTAACGGCCAGTTTGACTCGAGGCTGGCCGCTGACGTGGAATCTGCGCAGTGGAGAGGCAGTCGTTCAATGATCTGAACATCGTTGCGGCGATGATCCTCGGCCATCCCTGTAGATTATGCTAGAAGCAAAAACCAGTGGAAAATTGAGAGACTTTAGCGTCCGGTTGGGGACGAAAGGGTTGATGCGGGAGGTGAGAGTTTGGGAGAAAAAAGCAGACTTACTCGTGCTCTTCGATCAGAATATGTACTTACTGGACTAATTACCTGCAGGTAAGTACCTCCGACGGTAGTACTTTATATAGGTGAATTGCAGGTGCCCACACCAGTGACATTACCCAAGCCTCGGACGTACCTATTTTGGAGTAGGGCTAGCCTTGGACGAAGAAAAGGATTCTATTGGTTGTGCTCGGCATCAAGACAGATCTTCTCGAAAATGACCCCGAAAGTGCTCATGTAAGACTCTGACAACTCTAGAAGCTTGGATATGAATCAAACTGACATAAATGAACCCCAGCACCGGCGTGACAGGCTTTGTAGGGGGCGACTCATTAGACAGCATCTCCACGCTCATCCCGACTGGGAGGTGAGCTGTCTGGTGCGGTCGCAGGAAAAAGGCGCCCTAGTCCAGCAAGCCTACCCGCAGGTGCGGCTAGTCCATGGCACGACCGACGACGTGGACCTGCTCGAGGAGGAAGCCTCTGCCGCGGACATCGTCTTTCACTCGGCCGGAAGCGATGAGCATGTTCCGCCGCGTCGACAAGGTGTCTGTTTCCTCACCCCACGAGAGACCGAACGCATCACGCCAGGATTCCACCATTGGCTTCGTGTGACTAAGATATCTTGGGGGTTGAGAACCGACGGCAATGCAGCACACAGACCCCAGGGCCTCTGTATGTTTGGAGGAGAGATCGGGGCTAGCATCGGTGCATTATTGGTGCGATGGATGGTGTTCAACCCTTGCATTGTCGGTTACGAGAAAGTTATCACCCTATGTCTCGGTCAGAGACTACACAGCAGCCCTCCGTCCGTTGACATTCACTCACCATTTAATTTTCGATGAGTTTTATGATCGGAGCACATTCCGCGTCCCTCGGAAATCTACTTGCCTCAGCTGCAGTTGAGGTGGATAAAGCTTGTGCCTGTTTCCTTGTTGTTGAGGGAACCATAGGTGCGGGCATCAGCGCTTTCAACCGCCTCTGCAGAGAACGATAAGCTATCACAAGGGGGGCTACCACAAGGGGGAATTCGTGCTCATGGTACCCAACGGTCGTGGGTTGACTCTGGTCCAGCGCCAGGGCCTGCGGAACACACACAGAATTGCGCCTCAGGCAATGTATACAACAGCCAGGCTTGTCGGACTGGAAGACACACCGAACCTTTAGCTTCCTGCCTGGTTGCTTGCATGAGCTGTGATTCATGGGCAATAGGCGGTACATACTGACAGGCCATGCAGCTGCGGGTACCCCTCCTCATGCGCGTTCTGATAGCGCGAGACCCTTAGCGAGGATAATCCTCTGATGTGGGGGACATGATTACCGGCAGGGTCCGACCCCAGGATTCGGTGGTTATGGGGTGATCAGATATTGATGTGACGAGGTAAAATTTCGGGAGCTTTTTTTTTTTTCCCCAATGCCGGTGCTTTTGGCATCCGCTGACGTCATTTCATTGGTAACCCTAAATCAGGTAAACAACACTCACTACACTTGTGTACAGTAGTTGCTTTAGCAAGATGAGTACGACCCTTTGCTTTGTCGTTTGGGGTTGATCATATTACCAAAACAAGTCAGAGTGGATCATAAAGTTGTAATAATGCCACTGCTATGGTTTTTTTTCTCCTAATGCCCGGAACAGGGTGTTTGTTGGAAGTGAGCATTGATTGGACTAAACCATACCAAATTATTATCTATGACACAGTATTCACAACAATCTCAAAGAGACGTCTCATAAGCGGGCGGGGCACTCCGCTCCCACTCCTCAAACTCCGACAGGGTCACCTCGTACCCGAGATGCCGCTTCAACAGCTCATGCGTCACATACCGCTCCGGGGTGTTACCCTGCGCGTCAACGAACGCGACATGTGGATTGACCTCGCTGATCCGCTGGAGCTCGTTGGCATGGCGATGGTGGTGCGGACACCCGTCGGCCCCGATCAGGAAGATCGTCACGTGGACCCACGACAGGCTGAGCAGCTCCAGCTCGAACTCATCCATGTCCGTCGCCTCGCCGTCGAGCAGGAGCAGGAGCCGGAGGATCGGCATCTGGGGCCCCGCTTGCCATCCGTATACCTCGTGGTAGGTTGCAAAGGCTGCATGTCGTTGGAAATGGAGGTCCTTGACCTGCTGCCAGCCCGCCATGACGCGCGTACCGCCCCCCACGGTGATCTGGCTCCACACGGAGGCGAAGTTCCGGTGGTTGATGTAGCCCATGGAGGCAGCTTTGTTGGCGAAGGTCACCAGCTGGTAGCCCTCGCGGTTCTGGTCATGGGTGGCGAGCGTGTCCGTGAAGCGGCGGATGACTGCTTTGGCGACATCTGGGTGGAGAGCGGATCAGGATTGAGGAAAAGCTTTATTTCTTTACATGGACTAGAGTCCTGAAAGGGAGGGGGGGTCTTGTACCTTTATTTTTGGGTTGCATTGTTCGCTCATAGCGGGCGACCATATATTGCTCATAGGATGGTCGCACGGGGTCAAAGTCCATCGACCCCGACACGTCCAGAAGGATCATTGTATTGTCCGTGGGCAACTCAGGCGCATCTACCGCCCGCAACGGAGATGGCATCACCTGTCGCGAGTAGCCCACGGCTGAGGTATTTTGCGTCTGACAGATATCGTCTAGCGCCTCGTAAACGGGCGGCAGGTCTACAGCAGTTGTCATGCGCGTTCGCGCCATCTCGAGCGCAGAGATCACGTCCGGTTTGAGCCACTGTCTCGATTCAGTGCCGTTGGTGGACTCGAATCGATGATTCAAGACCCAGTATAACCGCTCCTCGGCCGTATTCTCGTACCCGCGCCAGGTGGGCGTTATCCCACGCCATCCCTCGGCCGCCTCGATCCGGAATTTGAGCGGGTTGGAGTTCTGCTTTGCCCACGCGACCGGGATCGGCTCGAAGTAGCCGGCGCGCAGGAGGTGGAGGTACTGCATAGGGCGATGCACACGGAGGCTCACAATGTGCTGCGTCAACCCTAGACGGTCCTGGTATTCGGTGACGATGCGGCGGAATTCGGGGTCGGGCCACCGCCCCGCCTCTTCCACCAGGATTGCGTCGCGCAGCTCGCGATAGTCTGCTTTCCGCTTCGCTTGCCTGGCAGCTTCGCGCTCTTCAGACGACCGGAGGGACAATGACCTGCGCATCTGGGTCAAGATAGACGGCTTGAGCGAGTCGGATCGATTGTGCGCCGTGTCCGAGCCTTCGCCGTCGTTAGCGGCCACCGGCTCCTCCTCCACCTCCCAGATATTTGCTGTCGGCTCGTATTGATTCGCAATTCGCTGCGCAGTAGCATTGAGGCTTGAATTCAAACGAATGGTTTCGACCAGCCATCGGGCGTGGTATCGGGCTTCCGGCTTCTGGCGTATGCGACCTACGGGACCATACGGAGTGATGATTCTGGCGTAAGGGTTGTTGTTCCATATCTGTTGGGAGTAGTAGCAGTCGTGATAGTATTTCTCGCCTTTCCCCTCTGGTATGTCAGTCACCTGGCCGTCTTGACAATGGCACCACATAGTAAAAACAAAGATTGCGGTGGGGTGGATCCTCACCGGGATACATCACGGCTTCGGACCACATTTTCAGCACTGCCACGCGGTTCTGCTTGCGGATCTTGTACTGGTGGACGTCGCAGGGGCAGGTCAGCATGTGCTTTGCCTCATGCTCCGGCTCAATCTCTTCGTTGAAGATCTGATGGTCCCACTGAATTTGTTGTAATCGGCTTTGCATCTCTTGCTATGGATACAGAGAGACTTCTGAGTTAGGTGAGAACAATAAAAAAGGGGGCCGGGAACGAGGCTCTGCACACCTCATCGCGCGCGCGGAGCTTCGCCGCCTCAATAACCGAATTGGTATGCGTGGTTCTAGATTCGTTGCCTCCCATCGCGACGGCCGCTTGATAGGAAGGCAGAGGATCAGCATGATCGGGCTGGGTATTTTGATCCTGGCTCACGGAATTCGAAGTGTCGCCCGGTGCGGCACCGTTGGCGTGTGTGAGAGAACCATCGTAGAAGTGGGTGATGGCTTCTTCGAGGGTGGTCGCTCCCTATGATAGATAAATAAGCTGAAACAAACAAGACAAGTGATCGAGGAAGGAAAAAGCTTGCCTGTAAGTACAACAAAGCTTGTCCCTCGTTGGCATGTGGCACGATCGTGAGGAACTTGGCGATATCTTCCTGCGTGGGAACCATCGTGGGCAAACGACAGGCGACAACTTGTTAAGGTCGGCGAAAGTGGAGTAAGCCGGCCACCCATCATTTTAAACCCTCCCCTTATCAATGATCACAAGGGATGCTAGTGCGATGGAGGTCCTTCCGACTATTGAAAAGCTTAGCTTGAACATTGTGGCTTAGGCCGTTAATATGTAGAGTGGGGCACGCGCATCCCACTAGCCGGTGGCAGTGCCAGTCATCAGTCTCACGTGATGAGTTACTAGTCACTGTGTAGTGTGTACCTAGTAATTATGTACAGTACTAACCAAACTAATTCAGTCACTCGATATCTGCTTGCAACAGTATGGACAAGTAATTTGAGACATGGATTTCGTGACACTTGCGAGAGAGGTGGTATGCTGTGTGTATTCTGCTACGTGAGACTATCTGCGGAAATTAGGCGGTGAGCGGCAGCTTGGTTGAGGCCTCAGGACCGCCGTCAGGATTGAATGATTGGCTTGATAAGAGTTCTTTCAGCCACCAAGAAAATTGCGATAATCAGGGCAGAGCCACCGATCGGTTTACCATCATTACGGTTTTCAAAGGTTCAGGTTCCTTATGAACCATGCTCCACTCGTCGGTTCTTCGGGAAAGACTTAGCCTGGCCCGCGGCCAGGTAGGGCTTCGGTACCGAGGTAGTCTTTGATACAGAATCACAGCTCATTGGCATCATTTGTTGCTTGTCATGCGGTTGATAAGGTCTGCATCATCTTGCTTTCTAGTGTACTTAAACGGATTTCACAGAACTTCCCTTCCTCCCACTAAATGCCTATTAATTAATCTCTCAAAAAATATCACCCGACTTGTCACAAGCTGATCGGGACCAGTTCGCTAACGATACAGCAAAAGATGTGCTAAATAGTGTTGATTGTAATCAATGCTCACCGACAAAGGTACCGTACCTCTGACATTGCAAAGACGACCGCGCATCACTGGCTTACGCAACGAATTAGAATCCGAGGTTTAGGGCCGTCCGATACTGAAGCAGGCAATAGCACGTATTTTCTCCAGCTCATGGCACCAGTCTATCAATGCGGAAGCAGAAGTTGTCATCACCTCTGGTGCTAGCGAGGGTAAGTGCTTGATGGTACTTATGTCGACCGAGAGACACTGACGTTTTATGTCAGGCTTTCTCTGCGCATTCATGGCGTTCTTCAAGCCCGGCGATGAGTTGATTGTCTTTGAGCCGTTTTTCGATCAGTATGCCAATTCTACTGAAGCATTATCTGATGATGAGTGATTTACCAAAGGCACAGGTTTATCAGCGGGATCGAGCTTGCTGGCGGTGTGGTTCGGCATGTGCCGCTCAATCCTCCACAGCACGAGACGAACAAACGAATGGTCCAACGAACTGGACAGATGACCTTGATACACTCAGGAGCGTTATCAATCATCGCACAAGAATGATGGTAGGCACACCTCCTTGCCCAAGTCAAAGATCGGGTACTTGGTAGGACCGCCGTCATTGATCAATGCAGTGGCCGCCATCCACACCAAGATTTGTTACAGCACCGCGTCCCCGCTGCAGAAAGCCGACGCCGTCGCCTACATCCAGGCCGAGGAGACGGGGTTCTGGGAGGAGAGTCGTAAGCAGATGCAGCGGAAGATCCGGCGCTTCTGCGAGGTTTGGGATGAGCTGGGAATACCGGTACACCTCCACCATTCAGTTCTCTACGAGTGATCCTTCCTTTAGAAGCATACGCTGATCACTGTGGTGGGTAGTATACGCGGCCCGAAGGCGGATACTGCGTCCTGGCGGATTTGTCGTCGGTGCGGATTCCGGAGACTTAACCCCTTCCCGCCGTGAATTGCCACTCGTCGGCGCGACTTTCACCTGTAGGGGTTTTCGATGCAGGAGTTTGGGGTTGCCTCTATCCCGTCGTCGGTGTTTTATAGTGAGAAGAATGCGCATCTTGGGGGAAATTACCTCCGGTTCGCGGTTTTTAAGGAGGATTCGCTGCTTGATTTGGCGAAGGAACGGCTGCGTGGCCTGAAGAGATATATCTATGTGAGCGGGAAGTCTTGTTAATCGTTATTTCTGCTGTTTGTTTTGCGAAAGGGATCCTTGTCTAAAATAAATGAATAAGTGATGAAAAGGGGTATAAGACCAAAGAGAGAGAGGAATACACAGAGAAATGGATGTCCTTTTAATCAGGTAATGAAAGCGTGGCTGAGAGGGCTGAGGAGAAATGCTTTATGTATATTATTTGAGTTGACGGAAAGTGTAGGGCTGATCTTTATGTGCATGAATCTAATGCAAAGAGATGGCGGTGAAGAGATAACAGCAAAATCAATCTGCCACGCCTTCCAGACCTCGGAAGCGCAAGGCGGTCAAACACGTTCGACGCATCTTGTGAATGAAGTTCACCTGGCCATTCTTTCATCATCGTTCTCATGACCTCATAATCATGATGATTAGTTTCTATAGAGATGCAAAGTCAATCGAGCTTATCTATTCTCTCTGCTAGGTCATTCCTAGGAGAGGCTGATGAGCCCAGCCTTGTGGTCGCCACGATCGCACCATCCGCAGCGCCACCAGAGCAACGACCTGGCACGGGAACACCTAATCGGGATACAGAAATGCCAGATGCCTCACAGGAACAGCCCAATGCTTCGAGTCCGATCAAAACTCGACTGCGCTCAGCGAAGCGCGTAGGTCGACCTCGCATCGAGACCGGCGACCCGGCAACCCTCTCGGAAGACCGGCGCACCCAGGTTCGGCGCGCCCAGAAGACATACCGCCTCAAAAAGGAGGCGGTCTTTCGGCAAACTCTCGCTCGCGTATCGGACTTGGAGGAAAAGCTTCGCACGCTATCAGATCAGGTTGCTAGTACTTGCGAGGCTGCTACTGAGGCGCGTCTGCAGCTGTCTCATCCGGATATCTATGCCCGCCTAACGCAAATTCGTGGGGTCTTGACCGAGCAAGATGTCTCTCCCGGTTTAGCCTGCCAGACTGATCCCACTCTCGTTGGGGCCACGCCAGAATCTGATGTTTCTTCCGCCGCGCCATGCCAGATGCTGGGCTACAATTTTGACCAAAGCGAACGTAGCCGGGAGATTCAGCAGGTGCCACCAGACCCTCCGTGGAGACGGCAGCATTCATTACCCCGACCCATTTCGATCAGAGGCCACACCTACTCGTTTCAGGAAGGGCGCTTCGCCCGTCGACTGCAGCGATACTGCCTCGAGCACGCCTTCAATTTGTTCATCGATCCCCGATCGAATCCCCAACACGTGTATCGCGTGTTCCGTCTCGTGCCTTGCATACAGGACAAAGCGAAGATGCAACCGCGATTTGAGCAATTGCTACGAGGGGGAGCCGACTCCCCACTCGAGGTTCCCGCTCTTCCATTCTATGGTGTTGGTGGAGCAGGTACGCATTACCCCGACAAGGATGAATTAGGCACCCCGATACATCCGAAAAATATGAGGATGCCTCGTCGAGTGCTTGGGATTCTACCAAGTAGCGGATCTGGGGATGAGTCGACACCAGTGGGCCATCGCGCTCGATTACTTGAGATCTATGGGCTCGGGGGCCAGTGGTTCGATAGTCGGGACGTGGAAGGGTATCTTAAGCAGCATGGGGTGGATCTGCAGCGGTCGAGCTTGTTTCCCACAGTTCGAATCGCGAAGGAATCTTCGAGACGGATGCGCTCCGATTATGGGTCTTATGCTTTAGACGTAGAGAAATTTCTCTGGAGTAAGTGGTTTCCGGAGTTGTGGTTGACTTAGCTAATGTGGATAGGGCTTGCTCATGGATTCGTCATCCTCGGGCGCGCTCCCGGATTCAGAATGGTCGATGTCAACGCTGCTTTTCATGCGTCTTTACGACGTTTGGGCACTGCAGTTGCTTAAAACTTGGGAGGGGTTGATCATTTACCGAGGACTTCGGTCATTAATTTCAAGGTATAGGGAAAGTGGCATAAAATTGCGTGAATATGGGGAAGAGTGATCTGTGTCGTTTTGGAACGAGCATCTTCAGCAATTCGAAATCCGAATAGAATGAAAGGTCAGCCACTGTACACAATCTGCTATAACCAGTAGAACACCTAAAAAATCGCCAAGCATAAGCACTTTCCCGGCAGTCATCAGGGTCCTGCACCACGCGTGATTATAATATCACCCAGCGCATCACATGTCACTACGGTGCCCTCAACAGTCATTTAAGAACGATACTCCTACTCTGTGACCAAATGAAGACTATCACCAAAACAACGCATCATGGCAACCCTGCAAGATCAAATCGCGGTGAAACCGCTCGGCCCCGACCGATTCATCTCGCTCCTCTCGCCCACGCGCATGGGCGACCTCGCCGACTGGGTCTACGGCGGTAACCTCCTCGCCATCGCCATCAGCGCAGCCTACGCCACTACCAACCCCGGTCACCACCTCTATTCACTGACCGGACACTTCGTCCGGCCCGCGAGCCCCTCCCTCAAGCTCATCTGCCAAGTCGAACGCATCCGCGATACGCGGATCTTCCAAACCCGACATCTCCGCGTATTCCAGGAAGGCCCCACCGGCGACCAGCTATGCCTCCTCGCGACCGCCGACTATCACATCGACGAGACGCAGGAAATGGTGAATTATTCTGCTCGTCAGCACTGTGCACCCGTCGCCACTGCAGCAGCTGCCACATCCAAGATCCAAGAGTCGGGGCTATATAAATACATTAACCGGTTCATGGAGGTGGAAACCCTTCCGGCTAATGACCGGAAGGCTCAAGGAGATATCACTGGTATTATTTCGGCTGAACGCTTCCGCCTGCAGACCCCGCTGGGGAGCGAATCCGCTCAGCTCGCCGCGCTGGCGTTCTATATGGACCGAGGCCTCGCGTACATCCCCGCCAACCATGCGGGCCGGAGTCTGCTGGATGCGAGTGCCTGCGCGACGTTGGAATTTGCGTTGCGAGTGATGACACATCGGGTGGATGTAGGGAAGTGGCTGGTTAGTGAGCAGCAGACGTGTGCGGCAGGGGGTGCGCGGGCGGTTAGCGAGGGAAGGGTCTTTGATGATGGGGGCAGACTGGTTGCTGTGATGACGCAGACTACGATTTTGAGGCCAAAATCGGGCGAGAGGGCGAAAGTTTGATTGCAATCGCATGTGTAAGTGGATGAAGAGTATGATTACCGGTGCTGTAATCTGTGCAGAGTGTACAGTGGGATTCTGTATTTTTATATATAGGAACAATCTACTGCTTTGTTTGAATAGGATTAATATGATATCAAAAAATACATTTAAGGGGGGGAGGCATTGTACTTTGCAAGCCGGGCTAGAATCACTATTACAAAGCAAGTTGCGATATATGAGGTCTCGGGATAATGTGAGAGTTTAATATTCCATACTAGGAGGGATCTGTAGGGGGTGGGTGGGCTGTGGAGTAGAGATGGTTCTGATCTTCTGTTTTTGAGCGAATCGGTATGGTGTCACAGAGACGAGATCATAAAGATTGGGAAGTATACACGCAGGTCAAATGGAGGATCATCCCGACTTCTTAGTCGCTTTCACATCATGCTAAATTTCGTGATTGGTGGTGACGTGGTTGATTAGATTATCCGCTGAGGAGCCTCGGCATATAAAAAATGTGGGAGTTGCGAAAACTCACGGAGTATTGATATTAGGTCACCGATCATTGTTGCCTTAACATATGTGAGATCCAAACCAACATCACTCAACCTGATTTATAGTTGCATGTTTGAGCATACCAATGCACGCACAAAGCATGATAACACAAACATAGGCGCATCCGAGGTCAGGCATGATTATATTATCAACAATATCATCGCTGTGGACATGCGAGTGGCGCGTCGAATATAAGGAACAACAAAACCAATAAGATACAGTACCTCACAGTTGTTTCGAGACTTTCAATACATGTCCCCGGAGCCTTCTTCACCGCACTCCTTAGCAGACAGAACCCGCATCTCAAGATGCCCAACCTAAACTTACCCTCCTCTTCCTCCCAGCTGCGCTCCTTACGTATCATATTATTCTCTCTGTGGCTCACGACAACCATACACTACGCCCACAATTACCTCCGTGCGGAAGACTACCCGCCAGTCCCCGGGATCTACACCTCAGCGCGGGCATATCGCATCGGCATCACTATCTCTTATCCTTTCCATACGCTCTGTGGAATCCGTGGCTACTATCTATTGAAGTCTGGAGATCTACAGACGTCGCCTATTTACCTCGCCAGTTATGCGTCGCTTGGGATCCGGACACCGGCTCATTTCTTCGGGGGCGTGCCCCAGATCCCATGGTTCTGGTTCCTTACCATTTTCACCGACTTCTTTGCTGGGCTGGCGCTGGCGGTTTTCTGTTACAGAGCATATGTATCGACAAACAGGTTCTAATTAGAGGTGATGTGAATGGGCTTGGCTTGTTTTTATGTATGGATGGCCAAGTGCTTTGTCTGTTAACTGGTCAAGAAGCTAAGCCGTAAAGTCCGGACTCTTGACAAAGCTATTCTATGCATCAATTTAATGTGTTTGGATGGAGGAAATTCGGCTCAGTTCAGCTCAGCAAGCTTGTAGAACCTCAGCCATTGCTCTTTCTACCTGGAGGCTTGTTTTCGATGCAGTTTAATAGTCGTTAGCAGTCGAATGGTGCTCAGAGGGTATCAAAATTGTGTCCCTAAAGTGGATCCCCGGCCCATAGAAATCGTGCTTTCTTTAGTGGTATGATTGGCCACTTTATCAGCCAGCCTCGGCAGTTGGACCCGCAACCTCGGGCCGGGATTCCAAAAATAAGGTTATAGCACCTCCCAACTATAGTACAAATACAATCGTAGACCCCCGCTACGTTGCGTTGTACAAAATCCTTCCATGGCCGGGCCGTCACCACCATAATGTCCCCACCGTCCTCATCATCTCCCACCTCCGCTCAAGCGCGCACTCTCGCTGAGCACATATCCGTGAAACAGATCGGTTCCAATGTCTTCCAATCGCGCTACAATCCCGAGAAGATGGGCAACGCCGCCAATATCGCCTACGGCGGGTGCGCCCTGGGCGTCGCCGTCAGCGCAGCATGCCAGACCGTCTCATCCCAGTATCTCCTCTACTCGGTAACAGGGCACTTTCTAGCCCCAGTGTCAACCGAGCAAAAGCTTACCTGCTCCGTCCGACAACTCCGAGACACCCGAACCTTTGCCACGCGACAGGTAGAAATCACGCAGGAGCAGACCGACCAGACCACCAGACTGTGCATGATCATTCTAGCAGACTTCCAGAAAGCGGGCGAGCGAGCCATGCTCAGCTACTCCGCCCCGCCGGACCGAACATACTCGCCCCCAGAGGCCTGTCGTACCCCGCAGGAGATCGGCACCGACATGGTCAGGCGCGGGGTCCTCACCGAGGAGGCCTTCTCGCAGTACACCACGCTCTTCAGCCTCATCGCCCGCTTCTTCGAGACACGACCAACGCCGGAAGGCGTGTCGGGGCAGAACTTCAACGGGATGGCCAAGGCCCACCCCACCGGTCAGGACGCTTTGGACCTTACGGCCCGGACCTCGGCCGACTGGTTCCGCGTCCGCGATCCGATGCACCACCGCTCGGCGGAGTACGCCGGTCTGGCGTTTGTGCTGGATGCGTTTTTGAGTTTTCTTCCGCTGGCGCATAGTGGGATGTTTCTGGACGATGCGGGCGCCTGTGCATCGTTGGACTTCTCGATGCGCGTGTTCTCGGCGGATTGGAGTCTGGAGAAGTGGCATCTGCGCGAGCTGAAGACGGTCGCTGGCGCAGATGGGCGGACGTATACGGAGGCGAGAATGTGGGATCGGAGTGGGCGGTTGGTGGCGAATATGACGCAGCAGTGTATTCTGAGACCGAAGAGGGGGCCCAAGTCGGTACTTTAGGGGTGGGTGGATTTTCGTTGCCGGTGGCATAGCATGATAGGTAGTAATGGAAAGGCGGACGGCTGGATGAGCATGGAAGATAGAGGTATTGGGTATTGTATCGGTGAGCTGCAGATGCAGGGCATGGACATATAACGAAGTCATACATCATGATTTTTATGCCGCCTGTTGGCGTCTTAACATGGTCAGGCTGCACGCATGGATTAGAGCTTCGATGCGAATTCAACTTTTCCACAAGTGGCATCAGAGCCCCCAACCCCGTCATCCCGTCACGCAGCTGGTTGAGCTCCGTCAAAATGCGCGTGAGTCTCCCTAGGTGTCGCATTGTCTTTCCCGCAAAGATGAGTCGCTGCCGCAGTGGCAATTGCATGCTGCCCTCCGTTCCCCATAACTGTGGTGTTCAACCCCACAACATGCGTGACGCTGTTATGCTTCCCCGCCATCATCACGTTGGACACATTCTCCGAATAGAACGACTGGAAGGACACTTCGTAAGGCTCTCTGTCGTGCTCGCACAATGCCAGTACTAGAGACGGAAGTCATCTTAGCATCCCGAGACAGAAAGTGCCGTCATTCTTAACGGGAAGCCGTTTGTGCTTGCTGATATCCATTGCCGTAAGGATGTAATCGCCTCTGTAACGCCGGAACCCCCCCTGCGCCCCTACATGGGCGATCCATTTGAGCCAGAGGTTGCCGTACTCGACCAGATTTGTTGAGCGGAAGTCTCAATTTCGTTTGGCGGGCCCTCACCATCGCCGATTACAATATCAACCCTGCCGAGTAGCCTCACTTCGACTTCCCGAATCCATACACGAGATTTCCAGCATCAATATAGCCAGCGTAATCTGTCCCTGTAGTAAGTACCTTCAATCGAGCTTCCATTTGGTCATCGTCTCTATATAGATCAATCATCTCCTATGCCACAATGTCCGACACCATACAATCTTCGCAGAACAACCTCAATTGAAACCTCCCGCCTTGGCATGCGAGAATGGACAAGTCGCCACAGCCCTCGCCTTGATCTCCTCAATATCAGACTTCATCTCCTCCGCGCCTCGTTCCTTCTGCGGATAGGGTCCGATAGTCATCAGATCGTATCCCTGAGGATGGTAGCGGTCTCCCCGCGAACCTGGCACCTTCCCTCCGAGTATCCGAACAAGAAACGCACCTGGTCCCCAGGTCGACCAGAGAGTTGGTTCCATATACCACGGCTGTAGGGTCTGTCTGTCGAAGTGGTACCGATTCGTCTTCGGGTCGGCTGTTTCATGCACAGGTTTGACAGCGGAGAATCGCGGGAGGGAGACGTATCGCAGGAACGCTTTGCGTGTTTTGCGGATGCAGGCCAGTACAAACAGGAGAATGGGGCCGGGCTTCTCGAGGCTGAAGGATGTCAGCATTAGCATTTCTTGGACAAAGAGCTGACTAGAAAAGATGCACCGAGCCGGTCATAATCACCCGCAAGATTATCCATAAATGCTTCCGCCGCTCGATCGGAGGCTGAACCACTCACCAAAGACTCGTCCGCATGACCTCATCCAGGTCCGCAGCCAATATCTTCCGCACTGTCATCGTGACAAAGCTAGGGAGCCCGGCCATCGCCGCATCGACATACACCCGGACGTATTGATCGTTCGTCGCGACGGGCCGGGCCACTTCTTCTTCGTAGCGGATCGTCCAGTCGCGTAGCTCCATGGCAAAATGCAGCCCATCGCGCCAGCCTTCATGTGAAGATGCAAGAGGCGCAAAGGGGATTCCCATATCCTCGCCGAGGTTCTTGTGGAAGACGCCCAGGGCACATTTCTCGACGTCCGCCAGCTTGCGCCATTCGTCTCGGTCGATCACGTTGAGGATCTCCGCGAGTCCGTCACCGAGGGTATGCAGGAGGTCTGGGTCCGTGATCTTGTTGGCCTTGCGATAGCGGGCGTGTCTGGAGATATGAGGTGTCAGTGAACGGAATCTGATCGGAGAAAAGGGCATGGGAGCTGAGTCCATACAGATAGTTCATTCTAGCGACCGCAGTGCTATAGCGATCCGAGTTGCGAGGCTGCGACTGGGCTTCCCGGAGGAGGATCTCCGTGTCCACGGCGCGTTTGCCCGAATTGCGCTTGTTGTTTTGGCCTGTCACTGCGAAGAGCTTGGACATTGTTGGGATGCCGCCCGCCTGCAAAGGTTGAAGGCTTGGATGTTAGTCGCAGGTCGACATTACTCGCGGCGATGGCTTGCTGGGCAGATGGGGGTGCTGGGTTACTGGGAACAAGGGCTGTCGTACCTTGAGCAGGGCGATCTTGCGCGCCTTGTTGAAAGCGTATGGGAATTCGAGCTCCTGCAGCTGACTGATAATTGCATGCGCCTCTTCGCTTGTCATACTGGACAGTTTCCTCCGGCCATCGACAAAAAGGGCGTCGATAGCTTTCACGCGCCGGTATCGCAACAGTCGAACCACCGCAATATAGCCGGTTACGCTGAGGATAATGGCCCAGGGATGGTGGGCCCATAGGTTTTGGAAGAAGTTCAGCGCTTGCGACATTTCGATTCTCACACTGCGACTGCAAGAACTATGCAACAGTCTCAGGTTTCAGTTTCAAACCAATCGAAACAAAGCTCTCACGGTCGCTTCGTAGTTAGAGCGCCTTTCATGTGGGCAAAAACCTTGAGGATAGTATTACTATACAGATTTTGTTCTCGGGTGGCAGGTACTTATAGCTAACAATTAAGTCTTCCATTCATGGCAAAAATTGGCACCTGGCTTGTTCAATATCCTTACCAGAGGGGCACACTACTCAACAAATGAAAATGTTCAAAGTTGAAAAACGGTTGGGTTCGAAGTGTTGAGGCATGATTGCTGTGATATTGTAATCCGATCTCCAGACCCACAAAGTTAGCCGAGGTAGCTTATCCGAACCACATTCACCGGTCAGAGCAGAAGCAAAATGAAAAGACGAGACTAAAACTCAACAACAATTTCGGATCAATGGAAGAATGGAGACTTTGGGAACATATTAGGGGCATGACACGATTGGGTGCTTTGCACCAAATTCGTATTACCACACAACCTTTTCATCGGATTCGAGCAACGCATTCCCAATACTTTGTTGGAATATGGAGTCAACAATGATGCCACATGCTTTCCGGCAAACGCTGATAATAAACAAAATCGACACGAGTTACCGAAGTTCACTAAGCTGTGATGTCGATAAGGCTGTCCCTCGAATTGGGCTTGGTAGGTAAGATAGTCTTTAGAGTGATGAACTACAAGTCTTATGGTTGAAAGATGGATATCCTGTAAAGCTGACAGACTCGAAGAAACAGCTACAGCAGTGGAGTCATCTCATTGCCTCTCACTCATTGAGCGACAGATCAAAAACAATCTTGCCCCTCGCATGCCCCTCATCCAGCCTCTTGAACGCCTCCTGATACTGCTCCAACGGCCAAACACTGTCCACCATCCCGCGACACTTTCCAAGCTCCACGAGCTTCGTGATCTCCTCAAGATGTCTCCTCACCGGCTCCATAACGAAAAACACGCTCTGCACCCCTGATACTTCCCAACCTTCAGGCTTGACCTGCTCCGGCGGCTGAAAGATACTCAGCACGACCCCTCCCTCCTTGACCGTCCACCACGCATCTGCCAACGACTGCCGCCCGATGCAATCGACCACCACATCCACTTTCCGCCCGGGCTGCTCCTCCGCCCACGCCCGCAGGCTCACCTGCCGATAATCCAACACCTCCGCGGCGCCAAACGAGCGCACCAGCTCCGCATTCGCCGCACCACACGTCCCCACCACCTCCGCCCCCAGCAGCGTCGCCAGCTGCGTGACCCAGATCCCCACCCCGCCCGACGCAGCCGTCACCAGCACCCGCTTCCCCTTCCACGCTTGCTCCGCAGCAGCAAGATCCACCTCCCCAGCGCCGGCAACCCCCGCATGGATGAACAAAATCTGCCACGCCGTCTCCGCCGACACGGGAATCGCCGCGGCCGCCACAGCGCTCAGGCCCTTGGGCACGCGCGCCATCTCGCCGGTGACGCAGATGGTGAAATCACGGGCATTTCCCGGGCGCAGGTAGTTGGTTCGCGCGTAGATCTCCTCGCCCGGCTGGAAGGGCGAGTCCTTGGGTCCGGCCACGACGGTCCCGGCGACGTCCGGGCAGGGGATTAGTTCCCGGGGATTGGGCGGGGGGAAGTTCTTGGGCCAGAGGAGCTCTCCGGCGCATGGTGCGCAGGCTTTGACTTGGATGAGGTGCTCGCCCTTGGAAGGGTCGATGGTCGGGAGGGGGGCGGTGGCTAGGGTTAGGGTTTTGGCGTTTGCGTCGGGCTGGACAATCGTCCGCATCGTGGTTGGGGTGGACATTTTAATGGTAGATAAGTGGCTCAAAACTGCAGGAGATATGTCCCAGGAGGGTCTGTATGGTCGATGATAGTGTTATTCTCTTAGAGGACAGTTTGGATGAGTGTGGAGAGCAGGTAGCTTTATAGCATCGTCGTACCACTGCATAGTTGCCTATGTCTCATGTCTTGGCAACGATGGAACGGTTCGCCGGCTTCCCGAATAGCCTATCCGTCTGACAGCCATGACGCCTTCTAACGCCTGCGCTCGTAATGGGGTCGCAAATCATAGGCACGGAATCTTTTGAGAGGCACAGAGCTTCTCGTGTCAGATATGTGAGCAGATTGGGGCGAAAGACTAATTGTGCAGCACAAAGAATGGAAAGGAGCCACGGACGGTCGGCTCCACAGTACATGTCAAGGTATGGGTAATACGAGAGTGAGCATGCAAGCGGGGTGTATGGTTCCGTTTTAGAACTCTGAATACGTCACTAGTTGGACCCCGGCTTGACTTCTGACTGGACCGTAAACTCTCCTTACAGCCCATTTGCCTCTAGCTATATTCCAGTTAGGCTCATCGATAGGAGCTTTCCGAGCTGCACTTCCCGCGAATCCAAGTTTGCGCGCAAGCTCCTTATTCTGTTGCTCGTCGTCGGCATGCTCACGCTCCAACCAGTATGCGATAGAACGTCATGAAATATGATCTAAGCAAGCGATCCCGATTTTTCACATACGGCATACATAAGTTTTGTTCTTTGTATCTCTGTCAAGGTGTATGAGGATGTATACCTTACTTCTGTCTTACAAGTTAGGCTACTACTATACGTTGAGGACAAGGCTAAGATCTGACACGCGAAGTGCCTGGAGTCAGGCAACATTGTAATTCAGATCGATGGAAACCAGAGAACGAAGAAACGAAAGAAAAGAAGGTGAGACCCGGCTGAGAGTTGCTACCACTCAGCCTGCGGCTACAGAGGTAGACAGGAGATGGTAAAATGTTCTTTGGCGAAAGAAAGAATCATAACCGCTACAAAAACTTCCAAAGGACTCATTAAACACAATGTAGGTTTATCAAGTCAGACAAAGGCTGCGAGACAATACACAAAAGGCGTAACTATTGTTTACTTTAGGCGGCTTTGCTGACAACAAGACCTAGGGCAATAGAAGCCGCGATAAAGTACTTGCCAACACAAGGTTCACAAGTTGCAACAAGACGGAAATGTATCCAAGTCTGAAGTACTAAGCTGATAATGAATGAGCTTGGATCCTGAATCAAGCAAGATTGACGAAGGAAGAAGGGCTAATCAGGTGAGGAAGCACACGAGATCTTGTACATAAATGGAATAAGATTACCGCATACATGAGCACGCGAACACTACCACTTGTTGTTCTGCCACATCCTTGACATCTTACAGCGCTTCAGTGAGATCGCGCGCGATAGGTTTGTAATCCGTCAAAACTCTTGGCTTTTCACCATGTCTCACTCCGACGATTCTGACTCTGAAAGCGAATGGTAGGACTGCTGCTTAGTGATTGAAGGGGATACCGAGCTACCAGGATGGGACGAACTACCAGAATGGCTGCAGGTAAACCCGCGACGTCAAATCTCCGCAGGAACGAAACCCAAATCTGAGGATTTAGAAATCGTTCCGCCCCCGGAGGAGAATTTCCAGCAACAGCGCCTGACAGCGCCAAACTAGAGCGGAGGATATCTTTCCTTCTCCACCGGGCTGGAATCCGCTGTGTGCTCGGCGGGGAGACGGCGATGAGTATCGTCGGTGTGCCGATCGCGGCGCATCATTCCGCCTGGGCCATCCCACAAGCCGACCTTGCCAGGGCTGCAAAGGTGCTTCGTGAGGCCGACTTCCCCTAGTGTCCGGCGGATAGACAACAAGAAGAAGAGAGGAGGGAATGCACCGTGCTGGAAGTGCCGAGAGCGCCGAAGGAGGATAAGCTCCTCCTCAGCGAATACCTCTCACCGGCGTATCAATATCAAGGACCATCTCTACCCCGACATCGGGCGGATCCCAACCAAAGCCGCGGGGTCCTTTCGTACCCGAAGGAACTGCTCATTGCCGACCACTACATGGATCCCCCTGCCGGGCCCGCTTCTTACCATCACGATCCGGGGACGTTGGTATGTCGAAGAGGGGCGACGTGATAGGAACCGAGACGCCAAGATGTACGTGACCACGGACGACTCCGACCTCCCCGAAATGATGCTCGGCAGCTTGAAATATCGGGGTCGACAGTCACCTAACCAATACCCCGTCTACATGCTTGCACCTCACCACCAAGTTGAAAACCTAGCACGGGTGGTTATCTGCGATCGGTTCTCCGTAGTACACGATTGGTGGCTTCAGCAGCTCCTCCTGTACCTGAGTCTTCTAACTATAACCTGTGAAGATGACGAGGAGGAAGAGGAGAAAGTAGGCTTGGGGGCTCGTCCGCGTTTGTCTCAAATTGAGTCGACCCCGATCCGAAACTGGCTGGAGCAGATAGCGTCGGAGGACGATTTGTATAACGAGTATGACGAAAAAGGCAGTTGGAATATGATTGGTTTTAGGTGGGTCTGTCTGGCGATCGAAGGCAAAACCGAGTACCTCATGCGCTTGGCAGAAGAGGATATGTCTGATTTGTCCGATAGTGACATTTGCGATAGTGACATTGGCGATAGTGACACTTGTGATAGTGACATCCCTGGTAGTTATTGTTACTGAGGATATTTGAAGTCGTGCTTCGTCGTAGCAGGCAAAGAACAATAAAGGCAGTAAATTAAATTGAAAATATTGTGTCTATACAAGTTGCCCCAGTAAAGAATTTCATACTCTAGCGAGTGAATGTGTACGTCATCCGAAGGGTGATCGGCTATGTTTTGGCACTTAATAGACCTCTTTCCGGCACCACTGTTTGCATTGACGTGTGCGTTGGGCGAAGAGCAAACGCGCCCCCAGAATACAAAGCATCAAGTGAAGCTACGCCCACAGTAGCTTCTAGCCCCCATCAAAAACTAACAACATGTGCTGCATGGATCTACTCACTCGCCTTGCAGCTGTCTACTTGATTGCCATCCTTTTCTACTCTGTCCTTTGACGACTGATGAAGCTCGACACGTGGAATTTTAAGATCAATTCAGCGAGCAATGCTACCGCGCCAATAATGAACATGGTTGAGAAGTTGCGGGATCACAAGTGCAAGAACATCAAGATCATCGTGATGAGCAGAAGTCCCCCATTTTCTTGTGTGGATGAGAGCAGAAATCTGAAGTATTCCATCTTGCGCATTATTGAGAGGGACTTCTATCTCACATATTCTCCTGCTAGTATGTCTACGTCGGAATCGATTCATAGAAGAACTATCGAACGATACAGAAGGTCCTGCACGCTGACACTGCCGAGAGCACGAATTTTGTGAACATTAAAAATCCTGCCCTTTCCACCATTTCCATAGATTGTGAAGATCATGTCACGACCAAACGGCGCGCCTTTGCGTTGCGCGTGGTGCGGTTGTTCAAGCATGCGGTGAATGAGGTTGGGTCGTGGCTAAAGCTTCCCTTCAAGCGCAGGCGGTGTGTGAAATCCAGAACCCTCATACATAGACATTTCTACACCACAGAGCACTGGCGGGCAGTGGGAAGAGCCAGAATACTATGAAGAGCCAATGAATCAACGCGAACTACGCATCCATCTCTTCTGTATAAACACAGTCTTGCTTGCCCAGAGACTTCGTCTCAATGTCTAAACCTGCTAGTACCGCGCACCGAGTTTTACTCATTGTTCCCTTTATACAGTCAGAAGCACAATGGCGGACTACACAGGGTCTCTATCTCCGAGCTCCTCGATGCAGCGTCTCGTTCCACCGCCTGTTTGGTGAACATCTCTCGAGACAGATGGTGGCCAACGATAGGTTAATCGAGACACGGCGGTCCGCCACTGGCTCGATTGCAAGATATATAAAGCTTAAGGCCTCGACTGCCTCTGGTTGTAGAGCTTGTGGGATGTCTCATCTTGTAGATATTGGAGAGTGTCGTGAAGAGGTGCCAGACATACAAGTCGTCAAGGAAGTAATCTGCCTGTCAGGCTGTGAGCTTTGCATCCTCTCTGCGCTGCCTGGTCACATTGCTGTGAGATCCTTTGTATATGAAACTATACCGCTACCCTTCCCCTCCTCAGACACTTTGCACTCGTGTCTGTGAATTTATGGCGCGTCATTTGCCTCAGTGAAGCCTATGACCGAGCCGAGTACCTCATCGATATTGACTGCACAGGAGCCTACTTCTCTCAGAATGAGAGACACAGACCTGACGGAGTGATGTTTCCAGGCCTCTGCTCGGATTGATCTGGGCAGGGCTCCGGCTTTGGCTTGCAACGAATATGGTTGAGAAAGAAGTTAGAGTCTCGCTGATTTGTGATGTTAAAAACCCCAGTAAGAAAGAATGGATAACCGCTGCTAGGACATTTCACAGGGTCCACTTATCAAAACCATCGTGTCCAAATACTCACAGCCGCCCTAGTATGTTTCGAAGACTGGTCCTAAATAACAGACGACTGAAACATCAGGAGTGGGTTTATTGACTGTTTAAAGAGCTGGAGCCACAAAGCTCAGGAGGCGAAAATGCCGTCTAGACTCGAGAACTTAAAGTCCCTAAGTTCCAGGCCACATAGATTGATTGTTCTTGTTGTTGGGTGTGAAACAGTACCTCGGCTCATGGTGCGCGTCAAGCGCGGCACAGAAAACAAGACGCGTGTGCAACCCTCACCTCTGTCCTTCAGTATCTTCTTATTTTCCAAGCATAAAGTGCTGACGAAACTCCAAGAAAGGCCGATGTTGCGCAAGGGTATCCAGTTTGCGGCAATTAAATCCGAGTATACCACCCGCACCGAACCATTTTACCATGCAGGGCCCTATCTCCGACTCATCTTCCCAGTGGGGTAAAAGGGGGGTTGGGTTTACCACACCGCAGCGCGCCAAATCCGTCCGCTTTTGGCCTTAGCGCCTGGCTCCCGTCTAACCCTGCGTAAACCGGGCGGCCGGGGCCGCGTCATAGTCATGAATGATCGAATCTAATCAATCTACTCCGTATTAGGCATCGCATCGCATTCCAAGTTGCTCTTTCCCCTTTCTTTTCCTTTCATCCAGCGAGCTTTATAAAAGTCGCCAATGGCCGCAGGACCATTTGCCTTATACAATTTCTTCCTCTCTGCCAGCATCATGCGTCCATCTATCGCCCTAGCTTCATCCCTGGCAGCGACCGCCAGTGCGGCCCAGCTTCCAGTGCGCACCGTCTTCCAATTCGCCTCCAATGACACCTGGCTCGAGAACCTGGCGACCCGCTCCAACGGCATCGTCCTAGCCACGGAGATTGGCCCTCCCGCGAGCCTTCTGGCAGTCAATCCCCAGACGAATCCTCCTCAGAAGAAGGTGATCCACACTTTCGACTCCGTCCTGGGTCTGTCAGGGATTGCTGAGGGCGCCCACGACATCTTCTACGTGGCCGGCGCCAACACGACCTCCGACAACATCAGCGACCCGCCCAAGAACGCCACGCACGTGTGGAAGGTCGACTTCACCCAGAACAGCAACAACCCTCAGATCTCGCTGCTGTGCCGCCCCACCGCACCCACGGGCTTCAACGGCCTGGCCGCCTTTAACGAGACCATCCTCTTCGCGACTGCCAGCTACCAGGACGCCATCTTCGCCATCGATACAACGACCGGCGTCAGCTGGGAGGCCATCGCCCAGGAGTCGCTGATGTCGTCCATCAACGGCATCAAAGTCGCCGAGGACTTTGTGTACTGGACGGCTGGTGGCGCCCTCTACCGCGCGGAGCTGTTCTCAAATGTCACGGCCGGAACCGGCCAGTTGATCTACCAGGGCAGCCAGTTCGATGACTTCGCCATCGCGCCTGCGGGGTTTGCGCTCAATGCCACCTACGGTAGCGAGTATCGGTTTGCTTACCTGGCGACCGCGACGAAAAATACCATCCAGCAGGTGATCTTCACAAAAGAGGGAGTGGCCATGGGGAGTGAGATTATTGCGGGCGCCGAGGACTCCACGGAGGTCGCGGAGCCCACGGGGGTGTTCTTTGGGCGCGGGAAGGATGAGATAAATACCATCTTTGTCACGACGGGCGGTGCTAGCGCTGTCAATGTGGATGTAGATGGTGTGGAGACGGCTGTTGGGGCTCAGCTGCTTGAGATTCGGCTGAAATGAAGGGTTTGGGGAAAGAGCTCTTATGCACTACAACACAGAGGCTATTCCATATGTTGTATTATACTTCGCTGGGCGGGAATGGGAGCAAGTAGAAAAAGAGAAACTTGTGATGGTAGACAATTAACACGAATCAAGTCGTGTTATTATTCCAAGAATTGGTCTCGTGTGATACCTTCAATGCTTTTCTTTGGAAGGCCATTGAACCATCGGGCCATGACTGTACTTCTCGTAGGCAAGATTTGTCCAAGAACGAGGAGTGGCGAGCCAGGTGGTGGCTGAAGAAGTTGGAGACATTACCTAGAATCATTCACTAGGAAAACTAGGCAGGGAAAATCTGGAACAAAGATTTGTGATACTACCTTGCGAACTTTTAACAGATGAACTAGGAAGAAAAAAGCTGAACCTCTTTCTTTTAGCTTATAGTAAAGTTCAAGTGACCCTGGTCGTTGCTCAGGGGATAGACAATGTTACTATCACTATAGATGTGAATGATACCAGCGATAGGGATGGGAAAGAGGTCGTGCAGCTTTACGTGGTGGATCCGATCTCTTCAGACGTCACGCCCAATAAGCAGCTTAAGGGCTTCCAGAAGGTCTTTCTCCGGGCAGGTGAGACTGCTACAGTCAGTATGAAGGTCAGGATAAGTAGTCTTAGGCTATGGGATGCGGGAATGAAATACGCGATCGAGCCCGGCGACTTCATTGCGCATGTGGGTCGCAGCTCGACTGATTTGAGAGGCAATGTATCGTTCTTCGTGGTTTGAAATAGTCCGATGGCCTCATACAAAGTTGTAGTCCTCTACTTTGTCTCCCGAGGGAGCGCGATATTCGCACTGTTTGTGCACCGCCAGGAAGGCCGTGGCGGTCAGAACAGCAGAATGAACAGTCACACTACTGGCGACTCCCAGCACCATCAGATTAGCGTCCATCTCCGTCGGGGAGAGGGTCTTGCGCTGGCGCATGATGGAGAAGACGCTCTCCTCTGCATATTTGCCATTGCGGCTTCGCTCTCACACCTCGCCTGTATGACCCTGCGGGGATAGTCGCGAATGCGCTTGGGGATCACCGACCGGGTCAGCTTCTGCAGCAGAGGTGATACGCCAACCAGGCGAAAGTAGGTCCCGAAGGTCATGAATCCCATTGCTGCGAGCCGCGGATGGCTTTCCATGTTTTGCAAGCAGCCGAAGAGCTCCCTCCAGATCAAATTCCCTGCCAGGTCGAGCATGAACCAGCTGTATAGCTTGGTCATATCTACCCGACCTTCACCATTTCCTTGCACCACGACAGCGTCGAGTCGTTTACGAAAGACTGACGTGTTCCGGCGAATGACCGCCTGATGAGTCAAGAATGCGGGGCCAGTGACTGCCTGGTATATTGCTTTGCGGAACCGTCGGTGGTCGGACTCATGGTCATAGTTGGCGATGTCTTGTTTGCCTTCGAGGAACCGCACGAAGCGTTGAGTGTCGCGCTTGATGGCCTCCGTGGCATATATCTGTTGTTGGGCTGATAAAAGAGGCTTCGTTAGGCGCAGTTCGGACCACAGGGCCGTACTGCTCGTGGAGCTGGAGGTGGGCGCGGTGGCTCGATCCACTGACCCAGGTGAGGAACCATGGTATGGAAGTGACGCAGTGGAGGGGGCTGGGTATCTTTCTCAGTGGATGTCAGATGACATCGTGGGTCATCCTTGCGGTCGTATACACCACGAACTCGATGACGTGAATGAGAGGCTCCGCTCTAAAAAATCTGATGGAGACTTACTGATCAGGATCACAGCCACAGGGGCAACGGTTGTGAATGTTAGCATGCTTACTGTCTTTTCTAGATGTCTCTTCAGGAATAATAACTTGACTTGACGACTCTACTTCTTGGCAATAGTAGTCGCGCTGGTAGCGTTTAATATGCGGTTCGAGACGTAGAGGTATCTTATGTCATGGGAGCGGAAATTGGGTAAAAAGATGCTCATCCATGGTATGCAGCGCTGCAAACTGCATGGAAAATGATAGCAGAGTATCAGGAATGGCGAGGCAAACCCATAAAAATTGACAGGGATGATAATATACAACTGTATGAAATGCTACTGAGACGCTACCAACGCAACACCTCCGATGACCGTACTGTGCCGGAAGAAGGGATGTATCCCTACGTCTGGGGTTGTCAGCCGCATTGTTCTCACTGCAATCACCTATCGAACTATCGGTGTCAGCCTTGTTTCTGATTTGGGGTTACGAGCTGACGTTCCTTTTAAGACAACATATTCGGTTGGGTTCTCTGAAACTATGCTTAGACTCGGGGTCGCCTTCATTCTATCATGTCACCAGGTATTGTTCTCAGCAATCTGACTTCTGGGACAAACTGGTAGGAGGAACGGTCGTGAGGTGAGCCTTAGATCTATGTAAAATAACATCATCAAACCTACTCTTGGTGGACAATACAGGTTTCTGTTGATGCATGTGTTGAACAATGCTATTGGCTCATGCTAGCTAGTATCATGTGCGAATACGAGCTTTCCATGGAACAAGTGTACATTTGCAAGAACTACCTGGCTAAGACTTGCGTCTTGGCCGTAATAAATGTCCGAGACTTTTGTTCTATTTTTTGACTTTTCTTTTTAGACTTGGTACCGCAACTGAAGTCGCGGTCGCTCGATCATAACTGACGGGAACCGATCTGTGTTCAGGATAATATCTACCGAGAGCCGTTCCATGACCAGGAAGATGGACTGGATGGTGGTGGGAGAACAGAAGCAGTTTTGCCTCAGTCTGTAGAAGGATGTGAAATTTATTGACTTGACTATTCAGTCACAGATGAGCAAAGAGAATAGAAGCCATTGATGTGTGTGAGGGTCAGGCTACGGACATGGAAAATGAAGCTAAGGCTAATCATAATATTAACACGGCGACAATGACCATAAAATAAGCTCGACTGGCCCAGTGGTTAAGGCGTCTGTCTTACATTGTTCCGCAATAAAAACACAGAAGGTCCTCGGTTCGATCCCGAGGTTGAGCATATTCTTTTTCTGCTCATATTTTTTGCCCCACATATGCACGTCCTTCTGCCGCAATCCATGCCCTAAGAGACGGGCCGTTGCTCAAAACCATCTGGGCCTTGCTCACCCAGACCTACCACAGAGTCGAGGAACGAACCCCCACCAACCCCAAATTTCGCTAGACCCCCGCTCCTGCAGAGTGAGTCGACAAGGTGATGTATGGTCTAAAAACGCGCAACAACTCTTTCTGAAAGTTCCCTCATATCATGTTCAAAACAAAGGGATCGTGGGGAGAAAAGCATGGGACCGCCTGCCCTTTTTTAGAACAAGGAGACTGGCATCTAACTCACACATAGTTTACGCTTAGCTCGGGTGCGAACAGTACTGCCATCCTGACATCCATCCTGAGCATTGTTAAGTGGTAATAACAATTGAAAATTATTGTACACGAGAGCATCGCATCATGCAACCAGGGATGTTGAGGTCCGGCGAGATGGTAGGCGAGCGAGGGGCCGGGCCAGCAGCGGGGCGCCGACAAGTTTCATTGCTATCATGCTTCTGAGGCTGAGAGCGCGAGAATGCAAGAACTCAGATGGCTATTCTGATAAAGGAAAAATGGTCAGAGTCGAGTGGCGAATGCTATTAACTGGGTGTGTTGTAGTCTCACTACAGGAGGATGGAATTTTGCGGCGACCTTGTCGGGCGGTCATGGGCGGTCACGGCCCGATGACAGGCTACCTACGACTATTCTGCCGGCAGTACGCCTACCAATCACCTCTTTGGAGGGCTTCCCTTATCGAAGCTGCCCTTCCAATTAGGCCATTCAGTGAGCTTGTTTTCTTGGAGCACATACATATATACATGGTTTTGATCTCGATATAGGAAGGACCATCTGGGTGACAATCGATGTGAGCGGGTCAAGCCGACCAGAATCCTCTCGGGAGACGTCCCGAGATCGTAGCCCCTTATCTATTGGTCTCCACTTATCCTCTCGGTTCAGGCACGATGCGCTTTAGCTCCGATTCTGCCTAGCGACCTCCCAATAAATAGAGCTAACCACCCACCGGCCGCAAAATTGTGAAGAAAGAAAAAGAAGAAGAAAACCAAAAGGAAAAATATATGAAACAAAAGAACAAAAGAGACTGACTACAGTTGCAATATGATCGTCTCCAGAGCCTTTCTCGCTCTGCTGCTTTGGCCCGTCTCCTTTGCGGCTGTGGCGCAGGAGACGTGCGAAAATGCGCCTCCCAACGACCCCATCGGTATCGATCTTGGCCACCAGTTTGTCATAGCCTCCTACGCCAACTCCGCAGACAATTTCACGCTGCTAGGCGCAATTAATCACCAGGATTATCAGAGACATATTCTGGAATTATCCATGAATCACTTTCGGCAATCAGGGCTAGCGGGGCCAGGGCCGAACTCCCGGGGTTCGACGCCGTTGGCGCTCCTGAGCAGCGCCGTTTGGCAACTGTTCGAGGTCATCGATAGAAGATTCGCCGTTAGCAGCACTTCATATGTCGTTTGGACCCGAGGTTCGATTCGTTCGATTTATGATGATGTCTCCAGGACTATCCCCACCCCTATCAAGCGATGGATCAAGTCCACCCTCATCTCGTGCGGCCTCTTGAAGAAGAAGCGGTCTATATCTGACATTACCGAAACATTTACTGAGGTCTTGGCCGAGCTCAAGACGACGGCTTTCGAAACTCATGGCGTCAACGTGACCTGGGCCGTGGTCGGCGTGCCGGACTTCTTCAACGACACGCTGAAACACGCCGTTGTGCAAGCTGGGCAGCAGGCGGGAATCGTAATTCTGGAGGGGGCAGTTCCACCGCGCTCCTTCTGCACACACTACCTGAATCCGGTGGTTGAAGAGGATGCTAGTGTGCTGGTTATCCACCAGGGACAATTCCATTGTGGCGCCCAGTTGTACGACAGGCCGCAAGCCCGCCGCCGCCGCCATTCAGGGTATCCATATCTTCCGTTGACTCCGTGGGCGAGCGAGCGGATTCAACGCCGGCTTGTGGATGAGCTTGTTAGCGGTGATGCACACTTTAGGACTCTGATTAAACAGGGAGGCGACCTGGGATTTTTGACACACGCGATACAAAAAACGAGGTTGACGTTGATGGGGTATGATCCGGCAGTCGAGCTGCTGCTGGGTTTGGAGTCGCTACTATGGAATCAGGCCAGTGGTAACGGAAATGAAGGCGGTTATGATGACGGGGAAATGCTCGACGAACTTCCGATCAATCTGGACTCCTGGTGGCCACATGGGAACTTCCCAGATCTGGTCCTCACACGTAGTCAAGTCACGGCGGTTGAGGACGAGTATGCGGAGTCGCTGGCAGGTAGCATTCATGCTTACTTGCAAGCTACTAAAGGTATGTACTCATGATGCACCCCAGAATCCATAGCATCACCAACCTAACAAATTTACCCTCAGGATCACGCAAGAAGACAGGCGCAACGAACGCCGAGAAGGTGGACTACGCGATCGTATTGACGGACCACTTTGACGGCGAGCTTGTGCGTCGCGCTGTTCGGGAGGCTGTCGGGGATGGAGTCCCTATTCTTGGTTCGTTGAAGGAAATCACTATGGTGGCAGACGGTGCTGCGAGATTGGCGTGGAAGCGGAAGGAAAATCTACTTCTGAGGCAGGACAGTGCAAGGGCCAGGCATGATGAGCTTTGATGGTAAGGGTTGAGAAGGGATAGAGCTAGGTGTGGCTCTGCGCCAATTATGTATATATGTACAGTATCCGTCACACCCGCTGTAGGGATCTCCGAATATGTGCCACAGTTCACTTTTGATTACCAGGCGGTGCAGAAACATGCGTGGCAGAGCTTCGGAGGCCTTGTTGATCGACCCGCTTCAACCGCCGCATCGCCATGTCGGCCAGTTCGTCTTGACAGCCTGGATATTACCCCCATCGAGCCTTCCATCAGTGTGAGGTAAGTTTGAAAGCTGCCATTTTGTAGATGGCTTTCTGCTCACCAATCTTCCTGCGATAGAGATTAACGTAGATTACCGTATTCCAACGTTGCTACCTCAGAGGCAGTACAATACTTCGGTGGCACGACAATTGGATAGGGAATTTTCGCAATTACTTATTTCCCATTTATTTCAGTCATCAAGAACGCTTTGTTGAAGCCCCCTTCCATTTTCTCAATCTTGGATATACAGTTAAAAATCTTCTATATTTTAAACGAACTGCTAAATTATAATTAGATTACGATTAAGGTATAACACTCAGGTTAAGCCACTCTAGTTGCTGCCAGGGCTGTCAGCTAATCGGGTAGCAGCTGGCGCCCTACAGGTTGAAACACCCTATGTACGGTGTTTTAGGGCCTTTAGAATAGAATACTATAATCTGCCTCATTATTTCTGCTGGCTTTCCTTTCCGACTCTGAAAAAATAAACTGCTTTGAAGTTCTTTTCTGGCGATGTAATCGGCGACGGAATAGAAAGGGAGGTAAGATACCAAGAATCCGATATAAGAGCTTGTTAGAGATCTTTTGAAAGTGGTAGTATCTGGTTAAGAAGGCTATGATTTGGCAGGCCTGTGTAAAGATACTATTATCAAAATTCTGGAAGTAAGGGGTCTAACCTGACAAATCTTGGACTCTGTATAATAGTCTATAGGCATTGGTAATTGTTGCTCAAGAGAAATGCCTTATTTACAGCCATAAACTAAAGGCGACTATGTATATTGAGGATGTAGCGGAGTTCGACTGCATGCTGCTGTTAGTAACCGAGATGATATTCCAGTTTGGGTGGCTTCGCATACGGCTACTGCTCTTCTATCAGCTGGCTGCTATTACCGCGCCCACGAGGATTACCCGCGGTTTGTCGACTGGCTGGTAAAGAGGGACAAGCAGGTCACCGAGAGCGATACCGCGAACGGCAAGCGACCGCTCAATGTTGTTATTTAGAAGATGGCTCCTGATACGTTCATGGGCAATACTGGCCTCGGCGGCACTTGAACACGCCATGAACAACCGCGATGGCCAGGCGTCAGCGCTGCGGGCGGCAAACGCGGAGGGATCCGAGGCTCTTACAAGCCTGCTTCGTTCTATTAACAAAACCACGCGTTGAGACGGCGAAGGGCTTCCCTTGTGGGAAAATTTGCGCCTACAGAAGAGTCATCGACTGCATTTTGAGATGCTTTATAGGAACTAGAAAGGAACTGGGGACCCCAGCCAGAACCCTATTCTACGAGGTCAAGTACTTTCAGTTTTTACTTCGGGACTGTTGACGTTTTGGTATCTTCCACGCACACTGCCTAGCTATCACTACCACTCTGAGAGCTACAAATCAACCAAAAGAATTTTCTCGCCTAGCCTTATTAATGTGTTCTTTTCTGGAACATGTTGGGCCTTAGATACCTACCATAAAGGTTGGTTGCTCCTCGTAAGCATCCTCGCCGAAGCGATTGGGTCCGTGACGAGGATAAACTGATTATCGGCAGACTGGCTGGGCACGTGGACTGGGGGTAGCCCAAGAACAGTACCTGGAATGGGTCCTGGTATCCAACAGGAACCATTATATTTGCAGAGGGTCCAGTTACTCAGAAGGAGATAATGTAGTTACCTAGCTAGGTACTACATCCTTCACTTTCGATTGCGAACAGTGGTTGGCTGCTCCCCCTCCTTATCGGTGCTTCGACCAAGATTGCGGGAGATATGACGTGCGAGGACTTTTGAGACAGACCAATCAGTCTTCTTAATCCATGTTTCATGGATGATTCGCAATTTAGCCGTCAAGCCTTGCAACATCGCGGCTACTGGCAAGCTTCCTTGTATTCGTCTTTTCTCATCACCACATCCTTTCCCCTCCACGTGTTTAATATATAAACCGCGTGCGTCTGAACAACATTTATGTGAACAACATCAGCATATGTCAAAGGGATCAACCAGAACGCCCCTGCCAACTCAAAGATGCCACAAAAAATCACCCCTGTCCTAAACCCCACCGTCTCATACTGGCTCAGCGAACCACACTGGCTGGACAACCACCGCTCAACCCCCGAGCTTCCTTCCCACGCCGATATCGTTATAGTCGGCACTGGGATTGCCGGTGTGTCCACGGCATACCACCTCATCGAGACCTACAAACTAGCCACTCGCAATCGCAATCGCAATCTCAACGACACCGCACCCCCCTCGCACCAAGGCCAAAGAAGAGCGGAAACGCCACCACCTTCAATCCTCCTTCTCGAGGCCCGCACAGTGTGCTCAGGCGCAACAGGCCGGAACGGCGGCCACATCAAGAAACTCCCGTCAACCATCAACGAACTCATCCAGGTGCATGGCTTTGCCGTTGCGGGGGAAATTGTGCGGTTTATAAAGGAGAATATTTATGCCGTCAAGAATGTTATCGAGAAAGAGGCGATTGCAGCTGAGGCGGAGCTACGGAGGAGTTTGGATGTGTGTCTCGATGAGGATGATGCGAACGCCGTGAGAGAGGAATACGAGAAGTTGAGGGAGGACGGGTTTTCGCTAATGGAGGATGTGGGGTGTATCACAGGAAATGGGGATAAGGCGGTGGTGGAGAGGGTATGTACGGTCGATTCGGGATTGTCAAGATCTGCAAGGGTCTTGATTGCTAATGGTGTGGGCACAGATAACCTCACTTCATGGCGCAGAGGTAGCCCTCAGCACACCCGTCCTCTCACTATGGCCCTACAAATTTGTGACCCAGCTGCTAGAACGAGTCTTGCGTACAGGACACGCAAATCTACAAACAAACACACCTGTGACAGCTATCGAGACACAGGTCACTGAGAAATCCGGTGATCGAGAAGAAGAATACGTGATAAAAACCCCGCGAGGCGACATCAAAACTTCAACCGTTATCCTCGCAACAAACGGCTACACGGCTGGCCTCCTTCCCCAATACCACAATGTCATCATCCCCGCAAAAGCCACCGCATCGCACATCGCTGTTCCACCAGACCACTATGCGCCGTACCTCTCTAACACGTATAACATCCGGCACGCGTCTGATCGCGTCGATTACTTGAATCCACGGCCGGACGGTGGCATAGTCGTTGGGGGAGGAAAGGAGGCGTACCGCGACCACCGCGAGCTGTGGTATGATGTCTTTGATGACTCGACTCTCGTTGAGCCGGCGAGGCATTACTTTGATGGGCTCATGCAGAGGCATTTCCGGGGTTGGGAGGAGAGTGGTGCTGTTACGGAGAAGGTTTGGACGGGGAGTGAGTTGCTCTACAATATCTCACTCGATCCCCTATAACAGAACTTCTTGATGCTAATAGGTATTTCCCAGTCCAAGGCATAACCAAAGACGGCATGCCCCATATCGGCAAGGTCCCAGGGACGTCGGGTCAATACGTACTTGCGGGCTATAATGGAGGAGGAATGGCGCTTGCGTTTCTAGCTGCAAAGGGGGTCGCGAAAATGATAGGACATGGAGTTGGGTTTAGCGAGACAGGTGTCCCAAAGTGTATGGAGACAACAAGAGAGCGGATGCGTAAGGGTCAATGAATGCGAGACAGTCGGCGCCCAGAAGCTTTCAAAGGCCACGTTAGTATTAGAGGCTTAGCGGGTGAAGTTTTGGGGTTCAGACCCTTTAACCGAAAGACTTATAAAGTAGGGCAGCACGGGCGTTGGAGCAAACTAGATAGAGCAAACCGAATAAAAAAAAAGATATGAAAAAAAAAAAAAAAAAAAAAAAAAAAAATGAAAAGAAAGGTATTAACAACAACAATAATAATAATGGGTGAATTCAAACGTGGCCGCCCACCATACGACTAATCTACCAGCTTTTGGCCACGCTTAAGCCAAACGCTGGGGGATGCCGCCCCTGGTGAGATT